AGCAGCCACCCATTGCCTAATTACACATAATTTTTCTGCTGTACATGAAAATTTTGATTCAGAAAGTTAAATCACAGGAAACATAGTATAAAATTAAATAGTTATATTTTGATGGCTATCCATATGATTTACGGGTGGATTTCTCCTTTTTGATTTGGTAAATGTTCTCGCTTAGGTGTTCTTTAATAACAGTTTTTTAAAATGATTCGGTAACATAGCGTTTGAATTAGCTTTTAGAAATTAAGATAATATTATATGAAAAATTAATTCATATTATGTTTATGAAACGCCGTTAAAACAGATAACAACTACCAAAATAATTAATTTTGCCGAATAAATTTTTAATAGATTGTTGATCTTTTTTTTTTCTTTTTCCAGATATATTCATTTTAAATTAATGTTAATTTGAAACATATCAAATTAAAAATTTATTAATTATTTTAATGGAAAGCGGAAACGTATTAAAAAATTATCAATTTTGAGCTATAATTTTGAAATAGTAATGAAAATTAATGGAATTATAGTATTGAGCCCTTTAATAAGCGTGAGAGCAAAATTATCATTCCAACTAATAATTTTCAGCCGACGAATTATTGCAATACGTTTTGTTTCGAACATCAAAGCCATTATTGAGATTTGAAAACCTTACCTTACGCGATTGTGCCTAATGACAACTATCATTATACGTACTGCGTAATTGACTCAGTCGGGTTTGAAAAATTATAGCTAAAGAAAAAAAATAAATAAAAAGTAAAGATATTAAGAAAAAATGTCATTTTATATCACTATTAACTTACAGCTGGATGTTTCTTCAGCTAAAAAGTAAGGTTCTACTCATAGCAAGGAAATGGTAAAGCACAAAGCGCGAAAGCGCTAGAGAGAGATACGTTAATTGAAAGTGATAGATCATAAACTTTTCTTCCCCTTTTTTTTTTTTTTTTTTTTTTTTTTTTTTTTTTTTAGCAAGGGCAAATGGCTTAAAGCACCAAGCGCCGGAAAAGCCGCTTAGCAGAAGAGATACGTTACAATCTGAAAAAAGTCCGATAGATCATAAAATATTTAACTTAACCCCCATTTTTATTTTTTTTTATTTTTTATTTTGATTTTTTTTTTTTTTTTTTTTTTTTTTTTTGTTTTTTTTTTTTTTCGTGTTTCGTTGAAAGGTTGAACAGACGAAAATAATATTATGAGCTATATAAATTTTAATTATTTTTATAGATATTAATTATTATAATAGCTATTGACGGTTAGCAAATAACTTTAAATTAAAACTGTTTATTAAAAATAATTGTTTTATTAGCTATTTAATTTAAAATAATAAAAATGATATCAATTGTTTAATTAGTTGACTTTGGAAGAAAAAAAAAAGATATAGTTGTCAAAAAAATTTAATTAAAAATTAAAGATTAGAGTGTTTAAGATTTTATAATAAGCTCCCTCAACCTCTAAAAGTTATGTTATCAAACAGTAACATAGACCTCAAATTTAAGACCTTTTATTCTCTAAAAAAAAAAAAAAAAAAACAGAGCAACACAGACGTAGATTATGGTTAACTATAATATTTTTATCTTTTAATTCTTATATAAGGATATTCTATATTTCAATTTTTAATTTCATTCTTATTTCCGTATTTGAATGAAACAAATTCTGCAAGTGGATATAAAATTCATAATTTTATTACTACCCTTAAGCTCAGCATTTAGCAGCGAATTTCTCATAAAAAAGCCAGTTCAAATTGATTCACTTTACTTTACATCCTTCCAAATTATACCTACTTTAAGTATTTTTTCTTTATATGTTTGAAACCATGAATATTAAGCTTAGAAGAACATTCTTCTTGAACTTGCTCTTTAAAAGAAGATATGAGATTAAAAAAAAAAAAAAAAAATGAACAGAGCAACCAGACTAGATATGGTTAACTATAAATATTTTTATCTTTTTTCTTATATAAAGTATTCATATATTTATTTTTAATTTCATTCTATTTCCGTATTTGAATGAAAAAAATTTGCAAGTGGTATAATTCATAATTTTTACTAAATTAAGTGCATTTAGAAGGAATTTCTCATAAAAAAAAGCAGTTCAAATTGATTCACTTTATTTACTTTTCCAAATTATTACCTACTTTTAATTTTTTTTTTATATTGTTTTGAAAATGAATAAGCTTAGAAGAAAATTTTTTGACTTGTTTAAAAGAAGATATGAGATTATAAATTTTTTTTAAAAAAAAGTAAAGAAAAAGAAAAGAATTGAATGGATGTTTATTTTTGAGTAAAATAGTTCCTTTACCTTTTTCATAAAATAATCCGATCAAATTGTTTTTAAATTACAATATTTTTTCTAACAATTCAAATATTTAATTACAAATTATTTTATTCTTATATCAAAATAAAAAAAATAAAAATTCATACATCATTGATAGTCTCTAAAAAAATTAGAGAAACTATTTAGAGCGTTTAGGGTTAAATTTAAAAAAAAAATCCTCTTTATTATCATAGGATTAATAATAAAATTCTCAATCCTAATGGAAATTCATATAATATATCAACATTTCTAAAATTATTATGGTCTTTTAGACAAAATTACATTTAAATCCCGAAAAATAATTGAATTGTATGAAGTATAAATAATAATTAATCCCAATATTTTGAAATTGACAGTTGCAATTTCCATGAATCACAAGAAAGAGAATTGATTTCCCTTATTCTATGTGAACAAGCATAGCACGTGACAAGAGAAACTATTGCGGAATCAGGAATATAGTCCAACCCTTCATTAATTGCCACTCGTTACAAAATGACGCCTTGAACGGTTCAAATTTCAAACATTGAAATTGAAAGGTCCACCGCTCCCATTTTTGCTAATTACAAGCGCTATTTCTAGATTGCCACTTGCCTTTTGATGTTAAAATGATATACATATATGAGTTTTTTCTTCTGATCAGATAATAATGGTATAAAGAGAAAAGACAATGCAATTTAACCAATATTCAAATTAAAGAAAATCCCCATTTACTAATAAAAGAAAATCCCAAATATAGTTGTTTGGCATTGAAATTAAAGTTTTTATTTGAATTAATGCCCAAACTTAGTATTCGAAATTGAAAGATTAACACTTTTTTTTAAAAAAAAAAGATTGAATTCTTTCGTTATATCGAAAAATATCAACACATTTAATAGAATTTTTATTCAATTTAAGGTAAAAAAATTCGACGTGGTAATAATTAATTTTAAATCAATTGAGGTTGTCTATATTAATTCTGTAATTCACAGTAGTAGTTGTCACAAAATTAATTATTTTGATAATTATTAACTCTATTTGAATAATTTTTTATAAAACGTTAAAATCTAAATAGTACATAATTAGATTTTTATAAAATATTACCTTAATATTTAAAAATTAATTTAAATACTGTATTATCATATACTATAAAAAATACGATTTAATATTTTCACCGGTTAAAATAGAAAACTTAACTATGAGAGCTTTCTTCGGTGCAGTTTCATTGTATTAAATTCAATAAATAAAATTTTAATTACTATTTGACCTCCATAATTCAAGAAAATAACGTTATTTATTGATTATCCATCAAGAATTGGTTTTTCTGTCAATAGATTAGACAATGGTCCTGTCCACCCTCCAGTCCCCACTTGTTAAATGATGACACATAAATACTAACAAATTTGGAAAATTTTACTCAACCCATCCTTCCTACTCTATCCACTACTAGGTGCCCATAGAATTTAACCAAAAAAACCAAGAGCCCAATTTATTAAATAAAAATATTTATTTATTTATGGAGTGGATATGTGTCAGTGATACGTGGAATATAGAGCTAATGTGTCATTATTATTTATTATTATTTTTATTTGGCCACATAGTCTTTTTAGTATTCCGAAAAGGTGTCAGTGAAACTGAACGAATTTCCTTTTCTTTTTATCGTTACTGATAGGGGAAAAGAAAGAGAAGCAGCCCATAGCTTTCCTTTGAAACCGTTGGATGCAACCAATTGGATTGGATTCCTTAACCCTACCTATCGACATCTAACCGAACCAGAGCGTTTGGTTAGGTTGGGTTGGGTGTGGTTTAGTTATGTTTTTTATACGTGTTCGACACTGCATATTATATTTTATTTTTGCATCCATGCCCCTCTGTTTTCCAACTATTTATTTTTCTGTTCTATGATCTAAGTTTTTATTATTATATCTGTTCATGCCTTCACATGTTCTTTTAGATTCCCTGTATCTATAGTCTTCTATTCGTTATCTTACTGGAAAAATATGCCCGTTTTAGGAATATTTCAACATGGGTTGAACGTGGACAAACCGAAAGGGAAATAAATATTTTTATTTCTTTTCTATTTTAGATATTAAAATAAAATATTAAAAATGAATTTCATAATCCTGTTCGCTTCAGTAATCGTATATAGAAAATATGGGTTGGTATTTATCAATTTCATATTTTTTTTCATGGTGTACTATATAATAAAAATACAATAACTTTATTACCAATTGTTTCTTTTTAATATCCAACAATGTCATAAATTTTATTGATATTATTTGACGAATCAAAAATATAGCACAAAAATTTAATTTATCAAGTAAGGTAAAGTCATAATAATTCTATAATAATAAAGAAAAATTAGACGATTTAGTTACCTTTTTAGGCTTTTTTTTTCTCAATTAGCTGTCATATTTTTAGTAAATCCTAAATTTAGCTGGTATTTTTATAATCATTTTATTTAATTTCATTTCAACTTTTTGCTGCCTTTATTGTACTAAGAAAAAAACTTGAAATAACAAAAATACTTTTAAAAGGGGAAAAAAAAAAAAAAAGAAGGGTGTGATGAAAAGAATTTGCAAAATCCCTCAAGAAAAAACAAATAAATAAAACTCAGGGACACGTCAAAGAAAATTTCTAAATCAAATATCGTAACTCTGCAAAATATCGCGAAAACTTGAACTCAAAATCCTATAAATACATGGCTCGAGTGAAGACAGGTTTGCCCAATTAACCAGCCAAAACCGGCTTACAGGAAAAAAAAGAAAAAAAAAACCTCTCTCTTTCTTGCTCTCTAGAATAGAATCTGCTGACACCCTTTCTCTCTCTACTGCAAACCTAAACCCAGAGCCGAAAAAAATGGCGGCAACAGCAACCGGATCTTCCAGAAGAACCTCAAGCGGACCAGTTATCCGATCTCTTTCTCCCTCCGGCAGATTTCATCTACCTCACTCGTCTTCGTCTTCAACAGCTTTCGCCTATTCGAGCTCGAGCTTTGCTTCACGTTCCTCCACTTTATTTAGTGGCAACCACCATCACCACCAAAGATCTTCATCACCTACTCGTGTTAACTTGTACGGAAACACTCCTTCAGCTCCCTCCGTACGTATATCGCTTGACCGTCCGAGTTCTCCCAACCGTTCAATCTCTACTATTAATCCTTCCCGCGGCCACCAAGTGGTAAGGAAATCGAGTACTCCAAAGAGAACTTGTATGTGCTCGCCTACTTCGCACCCTGGCTCCTTCCGCTGCAGTCTACACAAGGGCTTCAACAATTCAAGCAGTGCTAATTACTCTTCAAACACTCGCTTAAACGCGCGCAGATCGGCAATGACGAACTCGTTGGTGAGGATTGGTGGAGTGGAGGGTGATTTGGTTAAAAGAGCTTTGTCGGCTTTGATTCGGCCTTCTTCACACCAGCAACGGCGTCGCGGCGCATTCCAGCCTCGTCCGAGCCGGCTCTCCGTGATGTCCAAAGCCGAGGATTTGTTATAATTAGGGGTATGTTGGTTAACGAACTTCTTTTTGTTTAGCTGTCATAAATTCCCGGCGACGATGAAGATTGGAGGGGCTGAGATTCCGGCTATGGCTGAGGTGCGTGTGGCAGCGCGTGAGGAATCATGACGGACGTGTTTTAATGGATCCGATATCAGAACCTTGATATATGAATATTTTTGAGTGTACATACCTATAACGATATATGAAAACAGTTGGAGCCATCAATGGCCTGTTTCAGGACTTAAGTTTCTCAGATCTAATTAAATTTGAACCTAAAACTATTCAATTAAAAATTGATCATAACTCTTCTGTGGTCATGGGATATTCATCATCCTTGAAGGACCATTTAGACTTCTTTCCATCGTCTTTCGCGACTCTCAGAGTCAGTCGTGTGTGTGTTTTCTCCGTTATCTTCGCCGTTTGATTTGACGTTTTCCGTTCACTTCATACAGGGTTTTCGGCATCGTATTTGTATATGTGCTTTCTGCTTGTACTTGTTCACCGTTTCCGTGTTCCATCCGTTCCGTTGAGGTGAGTACTGTTTTTCTTATTTATTTATTTATTTGGATTATTTGTTATTTATGATATTATTATGTTTTTTTTCTTTCTTTTTCTCCCTTTGTGCAGGTATTTTTAGAAAATTATTCCAGTTGGAAGATGAAATTGGGAACGACCTTGGCTTTTTTGGATCATGAATTGGGAGAAAATTTATTGACTCATGGACTAATAATGGAAATTAATGAAGCAGGACAATAGGAGGAAAAATAAATTTAATTAATTTAATTAATACAATAAACATATTAAAAATATCGAATTATGATTTGCTGCTACTGATTTAATTATGTCACCTAAAGATTTGAAAATTCTCACATAATATTTATTAATTAACTCTGTATTAAACAGAGTATGGAATGGTTTGCTGCCTTGACGCGGTAGGCGTTGTGGTATTCCCGTTCCGGTTTTCTGCAATTTGAATAAATTTTAAAATCAAATAAATAATTGATTACAAATTGACTAAATTAGTAAATTAAGTAAGTTATTTTACATCTGGATGTTAAATTAATATGATTTTGGTCGATTTAATTTTGAAAACGGTTGAAAATAAATAAGGTGGTTTCATAATTGGCAATAACAATTATTGCAAAACTAAATTTTCTCAATATATATGTCAAATTACACATCATTTTTTTTTGTAATCAAATTAAAATAAAAGAAGAATTTACTTAATCTAATTTTATTCTAATTTTTTAACATAAAAATTTTCAAGAGTTTTCTATTTTTAAATTATTTTCTAAACTACAATAATACAAATTTCAATCCAATACTATTGACTTGTGAAGAAAAGTTTTTTTAAGACATGACTTTTTTTTTTTTTTTTTTTTAATAAGGCTGCACTCAATTCCATCATGCACCAACTGTAACGCAGCCTCGAAGACAACTCCCCCTCTCTCTTTTCAAAGAAGATAAGGTTTTTGAAAAGGATAGGTGTGAAGTGAGAAGAAGAAAGAAGAAGAAGAAGATTTTAGGTGGGCTGGTTATTTGGGTTTGGGTTTTTGGTCACTCTCCATGGAGCTCTGTTTTCTTGCTATAGGTCAAACCAAGAAAATGGAATCTCTTGTGTTTATCACTGGTTTTTAAAATATGCAAAGAGTATAGTATTAAGTTTGTAAAGCAACAATAATGGTGAACAAAAAAAATATTTAAGAAATATCTGTAGATGAGGTTTTAAATTTTAATCCTAATCGAATCTGAAAGAGAGAAATATGTTATTGTAGTGATCTTATTGGATGAAAATGAAAGACTGTGGACTTCTTAGGAACTACGTTCAAGGAATTAAGGTCAAATAAATAAATAAATTTCGATGGAATTTAAAATTATTAACTTGGGTCTAAAGAAAATTATGGAAAATGATGTACAAGTACTCATTCTCACCCTTATCTTCTTCATTTCTAGGTTTTATAATTGTTGAAAGTAATTTTTGGAAAAAAAATAGTATTTGAATTTTTTTTTTTTAAAAATTGTTATAATTTGTTTTGTGTGAGATAAATATAAAGGGGATTTCTTTTTGGATGTATATACTTTAACAATATAATATTTATATGAAATATATAAAAACTATAGAACAAAATTTGCTCTATTTTAAGGCAAAGAAAAAAAAAAAAAATCTAGACTTGAAGATATGTATTGAAAGAATATACATACTTGAAGATATGTTCCAAATCAAGGTTGAGGATAAGAACATAAGAGTGAGATAGAGACTTACATAAGAGATGTGTTAATTTTATATTTTAGTAAGCTATTCATCACTAATTACAAAGAAAAAAGAGAGAAATCCCGAGATGTAAGATAGGATGACATGGATTTTTTCTCCTTTAAACAAAGGTTTTGAGTTTAAATCCTTGATATAGAATCCTTTAAACACTCGAAAGAGAAAGTATTTTGCCCTTTTGTGAATCTGTTCGACGTGAATCTAAATTAGTAGGATAAGTGGACTTTGAACAATAGATGTTTAAAATAAAAAATAAAAAATACCAGAAAAGTATAAATAAGTTAATAGTTAAATATAGGTTATAACACGTTCTTTAGACACCCATGTGTAGGCCATTTACACCTGAAACATGAACCATAAAATGATAAATTTAGGCATGGCATCTTTAGCAATGAGAACTGTTTGAACAGATAAAGTTCGATCCTTTATCTGCTTATTTATTGCTTGCATGGGGACACATTACAGTTTAAGCAAATGCTTTCAGTTCAGATATTTTTCTACTCATGTATAGCAACAAAAGACACAGATCAGATCAGCGCAAATGACATATATATACGGGGGTGCTATCCTCCGAAACAGCCATCATAATTTTATTGCTGCCGCTTGTTTTCCGATTGATGTCGGGACAGCTTATGATGCAGAGCTTGAGGCTTTGATTTGGGGGCTTTTTTGGAGTATTGATAAAGGTTTTTATCCCCTCTAGGTGGAAATGGATTGTATGGAACTAGTTGCTCATGTTAATCGGGCACAGTGGATTAGAGCAGGTCCTTCGGTTTTACTGCGTGTTACTGATTTATTGTATCTTCACTCCTCTTCCATTCATCACATATATCGTGAAGGAAATCAAGCTGCATATTTTTTGGCCACTCATCACAGACTTCATCATACTTCTCTTTCTTTTACTTCTTTTATTTCTTTGCCTCGTTTGCTTAAAGGAATTGTATTATTGGAGACTATAGGGACTAAATATTTAAGATATAAAGTAATTTTTAGCTAAATAATCTGCGAAGTGATTGTTTTCTCTGTTTACATATGATGGCTATTTCCCATTCAGGTTCTATAAAAAACTTGAAAAAAAAAAAAATAAGTAGAGAAATGAAATATTTGCATTCCGACAAGATTTATGTTGAACTTTATCTTTACTTGCTTCGGAGCTCGTTGCTAAACTCTACTTTGTTTTTTTCTTATATATTTATTCATTACAAAAGAGATCTAATAATTCCATACAAAGCAAATCAAAACCACCCTATAATCAAAGAGTTAAAACAATAAAAAACAAAAAAAGCCGAGTCAGAAATTTGGAAAGCTGACCCAAGTCCTGTCATGTGTTTGGTTGGAAAGAAAATGGAACAGATCATCATAGAAAAATAATCTTTCGGTGGAGAATTCAGTAAATCTGTAATCCTACCATGTGGGCTCCTCGAGAAATAGATAGTGGGCCCATGTGTATGGCTTGAGATCAGAGGGTTTTTTCACAGGCCCATGTGCATGTACCGGCCACGTGGGATGTTGGGTTTATTGACATCGTTTGTTCTTTTCTTCTTCATCAAAGATGACAAGGATAGAGGTAGAAGAAACTTAAGAGCTGTTTGTCTGTAGCATTTTTGTATGAGTTGGCAACTTAAGTAGGTGTCTTTTGTCTTTCTTTGTAGCAAGCTAGCAATTGGGTTTTTTTTTTGTAGTTGTCAAAGAAAAGCAATTATTTATTATTATTCACAGTTTTAAGTGGACACAAAAGTTTTGAAGTGCCAAAGTTTAGGTATTAGTAAGATTTGTTCTATCATACTGCTTTTTATTCTTTACAAATCATATGCATGTGTTCATCTTTGAGATATATATTAATTTCGCTCCTCTTAACTCTTTAATTTTTGTTAGACTCCTAACTTTAATTCTTGGCTCCGTCACTGAAAGAATATATAATGTTGTTCTTAAATTAATTAGATTGTATAATATTAACTAATCAGTTGTAATCTATTTGCTTTTTTCATTAATGTGAATAGTGAAAATAGAGTTTCACTAACTTAATAAGTCAATAAAAGAGCTACCTAACTTGATTAAATCATTAGATAAGATATTATAATACGACATCTCACTCGAGGCAAAACCTAATAAAGTATTTTGTTTAAATTTTTTAGTTTATTAACACAAAAAAAAATCAACAAAATATAAATTTTAGTAAAACGACTATTCAGTTGAATGAACACAAAATAAAGGAATCATTTAATTGATTTTTGAACATATAAGTCTCGATATATAAAAATTTCACCAAATTATAGGGATTAAATAAAAATTAACATTAACATATAAGACTTTTAAAAATGATGTTTATTGATTTATTTTTTTTTTAAAAAAAAAACAGAAAAAAATGATTGCTATTGCTTGCACTCCTATCCTAAAAATGACATTGTGGGATCCTTTTTGCCTGTCGGGCCCATCTCATAAACGAGGCCTGGAATCTTGGACTAGCCTTGTATATCATTCAGGGCCTTAACCTCCCTTCTCATCCCAAGCAATTGTCCTTGGTGGAGTTCTTTAGTCTTTGGGCCTGTGGCCTATATAATTGTTGATTCTTTTTGCCACTTCTTGAGCTTCTCCTTATGCTGAAACTTGAAAGTGAGGATGAAGAGACCAAAATTTCTTTTTTCTCCAATATTCCCCAACATAGTTCCAATTGGCTATTTCTGATGCTGTTCAGAAATTATAAAAGCACCACATTTGAATTATGAAAAGAAATGGTAAGATGGTAAACTACAAACACAAGATTTTTCAAGTATTAATGATGTCTCTGCTTTAAAATGGTCTTCACAATATCTGTCCATACTGCCATAATAGCTTATGAGACCACACTTTACCCTCTTTTTTTCTTACTTTTTTATTTTTAAATTTCTAAGAAGTACAAGCATCATATATCTCAATACCCTTTTGTCTTCAAAATTGAAGACAATTATATATATATATATTTTTTTTTCTTAGAAAAGAAAAGAAAAGAAAAGAAAAGAAACATCATTATCCCTAAGGCCAATACATTAAAAGCAGGCTTTGGTGGAAGGAAGAGCGTTGAAGGCCCCAGTTAATGGCCGTGTGGAATGTAATAAGTGTGCTTCCGTAGAGGCCATTACGCATTTGAGCCAAGCCAATGGTAACGTGAATCACTCACGCCATTGAACGTGAATGGGAGCGGGACCGACCAACCAATTTTGTCAGTTCAATTAAATATTAAGTCCAAGTATTAATTTTTTTTAATGTCAATTATAATATAAAATATTAATTTTTAACATTTCTAATTGAATTAGTAAGTTCAAATATTAGTTTTTTTTTTAAAGAAAGTCATTAATTATGATATAGGTATTTTTATTTCTCAAAAAAAAAAAAAAGATAGGTATTTTTTAACTCAAAAAGAATATTTGAATAGGAAATTAGAAACTTCGTTGCATGTAAACATTTGAGCACAAACCAATGAAATTACAATTTTAATTTAGTAGTTAAATAAAAAAAAAGTACTGGAAAGCATCGTTTGGAACGTAATAATTCATTATTGACTTAGAATCCCAAGGTTAATAAATTAATTAGTTCGACTATGGAGTAGTAAATTTATAAGGATTTTTTAGTGTTAATAAGCTTTTAACCATTTTACCTTTCACTTTTCCACAATTTCCTTCGAATTAAATTTTATAATATACGTTCCATCTATTTTTAAATTATACCTAGGCCACTATAATTATATATAACTCATCCATAAACAAATAATATTGGCAATTGTTAATTAAGTGGTAGTCTAATTAGTCCAATTTAATGAGTTAAGGAAAAAGCATATAAAAATCTCCAACAAATTAGAAAAAAAAAAAAAAAGCATATGGCAATTTGCTATAACTGAATGATCCTTTCCTTGATCACAATTTCGAAAGTGACAAATTTACAAGAGATAGTCCTAATTGCTTGCCACAATATCATGCATGTAGTATAGGAAGTTGGTTGGACGGTCCACACAAGAAATTTCGGAAATTAAGTAAAAGAATAAATAAATAAATAAATAAATACTTTAAAATCCTTTTGAAGTAACGTGGAATCAAAGCAAATCAACAAACAATTAAGTTGCCTGCTTTGAGTACACATGGCCCCTAGTTGTAGTTTCATCTGGACCCATCAGACTAATACTATGTATCTAAAGGTAGACCCACAAATCATGCGGACCAAGACATCTAATCAAAACATGCTCTGGTACATCGTAGATTTTTGCAAAGGGCACCGACTACTCCCCGATTCTCTGATTTTAATTTATTTAAATTTTAATAAATTATTAAAAATTAAAATAATTATTAATAATCAATATATAAGAGATAAAAAGGAATAATAATTTATTATTTATCAAATTTATAAATATAATAATTATTTTAAAAATATAATACTGTATTAAATGCGATAAATATTTAAAAACAGAAAAGTATTTAATAGAGAATAAAGATTTTGATAGGAAGTTCAAAACATTAATAATTGGATTGGCAGGAGAAAATAAATTACTCCACTTATTTATTTTACAATATTATTCATCTTACTTAAAATGTTAAATTTTTTATTCACAAGAAGCACAAATAAATAAATAAATAAAATAATCATCATTTTCATAAATGCGAAATTAATAGTACATTTTAACTTTGAGAGGCTAAATTTATAAAAATAAAACACTAAATTATGGTAAAAGTTTTACTTCCAATTAATTTTTTTGGAGTGAAACAGCTTATTTTTTCAAAAAAAAAGTGCAACAGTCAAGCTTGTGATTGAAAAACATGTTTCATTTTTTTTTTTTTTGAGAATTAAAAATAAAACAGGTTTTATTAAATAATAACTAGGTTGTAAGAACATTCTTGTTATGGAGGAAACAAAACTGCCGCTTGCGGCATGTCCAAACGCCAAGTCATCACATTTTTTCATTCTCGGACAAGTTCCAATTTTCCTCTCCACTTTCCTCTTTCTTTCTTCAACTTCTCTCTTTGTCGCTTATTTATCCAGAGCTGATATAGCACCAAAGGAAACAGAGAGTATTAACCCATTACCTTCTAATTAGCATACTCAATGGTGACCCTCAAAGCAGGGACCAGGCCACCATGGGTAGGACTTGGAGCAGCAGTCTGGGTCCAAATTGCATCTGGGAATGCCTACAATTTCCCTCTCTATTCTCATTCATTGAAATCTGTGCTTGGTTTTAACCAGCACCAGCTTACCATGCTTGGTGTTGCTAATGATATTGGTGAGAATGTTGGACTCCTTCCTGGTTTTGCCTGCAACAAGTTCCCTCCTTGGGCCATTCTTTTGATTGGTGCTTTTGCGTGTTTCTTTGGTTATGGTGTTCTTTGGCTTGCTCTTAGCCGTACTGTTCAGTCTATTCCTTACTGGAAAAAAAAAAAAAAAAAAAAAAAAAAGCAAAAAGGGAAGAAAGATAGCTCATTTATATATCCAAAATTGCAGCTTATAGTACAATTCTTGATGATATTCGATTCATATAAATTGGCAAATTTCCAATTGATGTGCACATCCTTGATGGGTGCTTGAAAGTGCAATGCTTTACTATCAATAGCTTGGGAAATGTAGAGGGCCTGAAAAAAAAAAAAAACAAAAACGACCAAGTTGCAAAAGAGTTCATATATAAGAGCAGGATAAATAAGCAATCGTTAAAATTTGTCAATTATATCTGAAATTCTAGAAGCGCGTTTACTCCTGAATGCATCATGTTAGAAAAATGTTAATGTGTGCTTTCAGTTGCTATATTTAGTCCTTCTTTAAGTTGATTAATGCTTTAGCTTAATCATGATGAGACTTTGCACATTCTGCCATGGAAGTTGATGGTCAAGCAAAATAAAAATATCAGCTTCCAGCAATCATGAATGGGAAAACAATGAGAGATAATTTTGTCTTGCTCAAAGTTGTTGTTGAGTAAAACTAGTTTCCATGTTGCTACTAATGAATTCTATCATGGGAATTAATACCTGTTAAAGAATGCTCAAGTTTCTCTCTAGGTGTATCTCGGCTAGTACCTTCTATGTACCTTAAAGAATTCTAAGTTGTTTGGTTTATGGTTCATATGGTTTACCTTGTAATCGATTTGATATACTCTTTGCTAACACCTTTATTTGGCTGATGGCATGTATAATGGTGCTTGCCTTGAAAATTTTCTACCAAAATGAACTCATTTTTATATTCTATGGTGCTGCAGCTATGGCTTGCACTTTGTGTTGCCACTAATAGTAGTGCTTGGTTGAGCACTGCCGTACTTGTGATCAACATGAGAAACTTTCCACTTAGTCGAGGTACAGTTGCTGGTATTCTTAAAGGTTATGGAGGGATCAGCGCTGCAGTGTTTACTGCAGTTTACAGTATGCTGCTTCACAATTCCTCCTCTAAGCTTCTGATGTTCCTTGCACTTGGAATTCCTGTTCTGTGTTTGTTAGTGATGTATTTTGTGAGGCCTTGCACTCCAGCTTCTGGTGAAGACTCTTCAGAACATGCCCATTTTCTTTTTGCCCAAGCAGCTCTTGTTATTCTGGGCGTATATATCCTAATTACCACAATATTGGATCACATGTTTCATTTGAGTGATCCTTTATCTTACAGTTCTCTAGTAGTAATAGTTATCCTTCTCATGGCTCCACTTGCAATACCCATAAAGATGACATTTTATCGCAATAGGACCTGCAAATTGGGGATACTTAATGGATCAGTTGGGTCTTCAGACAGTCTAACACAGGAAGTTGGCAGTGCAGACAAAACTGAACCGTTGCTCAATTCAACTTCATCAGCAGTGACACTCGGCAGCTTTCATGAAAGTGATGAGACATCTGAGGTGGCCATGCTTCTAGCTGAGGGTGAGGGGGCAGTGAAGAAGAAAAGGAGGCCCAAAAGAGGGGAGGATTTCAAATTTAGTGAAGCTGTAATCAAAGCTGATTTCTGGCTTCTTTTTTTCGTTTACTTTGTTGGGGTTGGTTCTGGGGTAACTGTTCTGAATAATCTGGCCCAGATAGGAATTGCACAAGGTGTGCATAATACTACGATCTTGTTGACTCTCTTCAGCTTTTGCAATTTTGTTGGACGGCTTGGTGGTGGTACTGTTTCTGAACACTTTGTCAGGTTAGTTTAGTATCTCCATTCGAGCTAACCACTTTGGCAATTGAATTCAAATGTTCAATGCCTAACTAGTTTTCTATGCCTGTCATTTTAAATAGTCAATATGAAAAATTTTCCAAAGTGTGTTAAGTTCCAGCCAGTGAACTGTCTAAGAAAAGTACTGAAAAATGCACTGATGATGCAGTTAACTGTACAATTATTAGGTCATAACTGGTTTTTGATAAGCTGTCTCCTTTTCTCATTAGGCACTCATAAACTTGGAGTGGATGTCAGAATGATCTTTTGATTGTCTACTTAACTTATGATGGGTATTCTGTGACAAGATCAGGAGTGAACTGTCTTCCCATCCATTTAATTGAACATTATGAACTTCCTTTGAGAAATAAATTATTGCTGTTTTTATTTCATTTTGGGCCAAATGTTTTTAGGGCATATGGCTTTGCACCCCTGATTGTTTTTAGGGCTTAGGTTCAAGTGATGTCATGGGAGAGAAGAAAATGGACTCTGTAAAATAAGCTCTGCACATTTCCTGTAATCTGTCATCAAATATGGGCATTATTTATCATCTGCTTTGAACTGCTAAAGTTCCATATCTGTGCATCATAATTGTTTGACTATATCTGCCCAGATGGTATCAATTGATTCTTTTTCCTGTTGTATTACATTGACCTCAATATAATTGTATGTGGAAATTTTATTTGTTGTAGGTCTAAAACAATCCCTCGTACAATATGGATGACATGCACTCAAGTAATAATGATCATAACGTACCTGTTGTTTGCTTCTGCCATTGATGGTACCCTTTATGCTGCAACTGCATTGCTTGGGATTTGCTATGGGGTTCAGTTCTCTATAATGATTCCCACAGTCTCTGAACTTTTTGGCTTGAAACATTTCGGTATATTTTACAACTTCATGTCACTAGGAAATCCTCTTGGAGCATTCCTTTTCTCAGGTCTCCTTGCAGGATATATATACGATACTGAGGCAGCAAAACAGCATGCTCTGGATGCATTGCTTAGCTCAAGCATGTCTTGCATTGGTCCGAATTGCTTCAAGCTCACATTCCTGGTTCTTGCTGGTGTCTGTGGTGTGGGTTCCATCTTGAGCCTTATTCTAACTATGAGAATATGGCCTGTTTATCAGATGCTTTATTCTGGTGGTTCCTTCAGGCTACCTCAAACTTCAACTCATTAAGATTATTGAAGTGATGCATGGAAGTTTGAGGTCATTTTAGGAGACCATTCTAATGAAGCGCATGTTAGTATACTGCTCTATTTAGTTTATGTTTATAGGAAATTTTATCAATGAAGCATATGTTTGAGTGACCATCTATCAATTCAAGTTGCATCTAACATATCTTATGCGCATTAGATGCTAAAATTCTTTTCTTTTTTTTTTTTTTTAAATTATTACTAATCCAAATAGATGGCATTCAAAAGCAGACTATTGCTTGAAATGTGTCATAAGAACTAGCATTTTGGATTTTTCTGCCAAAGAAATTCAAATATATTAGAATAACAAGAGTTTTTCTGAAACAGTATGTACAGTTCTAACAGCTAAATTTTTTTAACAGTGCATGAAATGGACATAACACTGATCTGCAACTGATAAGCACGGAAAACATCATGGCCTTATGATCAATACAAATCATACATCATTCCTTCAGATTCTATTGTTCTACCTATATATGTTTAATGTTTATGAAGAAAATACTTCAATGAAGCATAAATAAAACTAGATTAATCAGGAAATTACCATTCTTATAAATTTGTCTCGATAACTATGGTTTGGGAAATTACTACTTTCATCAGTTAGTCATGACGACTGTGGTAAAATACCATTATTTAGCATGTAGGATGGTAGATAAATCCTCATCAGTCATCTTCTAAGTGCATATATCTTTCAACTCCATATCTGAATATTTACTGCATTGCCATTGTTTTCTGACATTATATAGGACATTCTAACTGGAGCAACTCTTTTGGCTTGAAGAGAATAGTTCTTTGTTATTATTAGTAAATGTTGTTAACTGGAGATCAGTTAAAGGGGTTCATGGTAGATTTTACCAAGACAACATGCAAGGTGTACGTACCTATAATTCCTGTTGAAAAATCGAAAATGATTCTCATTTTCTTCCTCCTGTTAGTTGAAGTTGTTGACTAGTAGTATAATATCAGTTGTGGGGTTTGGAGTTGGCCGTGTAATGAAGCATGCATGTATTAGGTAAGTTATTATTTTTCTTTATTGCAACCTACGAAATTTGACTCTGCAGGGATTAAAGAAAAAAAAAAAGTAAAAAAAAAAAAAAAAAAACAAAAAGAGAAAAACCAAAATAAAACAAGAAAAAGTTTTTGAGTTCTCCGTGTTCAGTTACCATTGAAACGAGGGTAGTTGCTTTAGTTATATGACTGTCTCTCTAATTGCAGGCGAGTGGAAGCGCTGATTCAGATAAGCAGTTGTTTAAAAAAAAAAAAAAAAAAACAGAAAAAGTTTTTTGAGTTCTCGTGTTCAGTTACATTGAACGAGGGTAGTTGCTTTAGTTATATTGACTGTCTCTCTTAATTGCAGGGGTGGGAAGGTGATTCAGAATAACAGTTGTTAGAGCAGTAGTTGGTGTATTTTTCAGCAGAACAAACTTCCTTCATAACAGTTGCTATAGATGAAAATTCAACATTCATAACAGTTGTTACAAATATTTATTCAGTAGCAGCTAGAAAAACAGAAACCAACGAACTGATATGAGGTTCTTTTAATACTGGATTTAGTTAGCAGTTGCAGTGAGTATCAATAACCATGAAAGTGTATCTGCCTGCTTGAACTGCTATTTACTACAAAAAAAATTTAAATGCATTTACAATTTGTTGGTGCTTCATTGAATTATTACATTATTGAATCTTGTTTGCAGGCTTGTCAACAACATCAGAATTCAGAGTCTTGAATAAAGAAAGATTCATAATATAGAAACACTCAAATCATGTCAACAGTAAAATAAGACGTACAGAGTTGCTCTTCTCTGAAGAGCAAATGAAACCTCTCCATAAAAAAAGTAAAAGTAGCGAGAAAAAAAGAAAAAGAAATTGAAGAGAATTAATGGACCTGATCAATTGGGTTTCATGCCCTGAAAAAGTGTAGTCCATAGTGATTGATCATCAAAATCATCATTTACCATTCTGTCCTTGCCACCATCCAATGGTTCAGGTGTTCTTGGGCTTTTACCACCAGCCATGAATCTCTGATGCACTCTTCCTTCTGAATTCCCATATAATTTAGGGATTGGACTCCTATAAGCAAAAACCAACCTATCATTAACTTTCTCATCCAATGGCCCAGATAACTTCAAGTTTCTATTATTAGGCATCAAATTCTCAGGCATCAAATTCTCAGGCAGTCTCCCATCCAATGGCCCAGATAGCTTCAAGTTTCTATGATTTAGCATCAAATTCTCAGGCACTCTCCCATCCAATGGCCCAGATAGCTTCAAGCTTCTATGATTTAGCATCAAATTCTTAGGCACTCTCCCATCCAGTGGTCCTGATTTTGCCTGTCTCCTTATTTTAATAACTGGAGGCTGCTTCTCTACTTGAATATCTTTATCACTCTTGTAATTCCTTGTCAATCCTCCTCTCCATTGCTCTCTATATCGGGCCGGCTCCGGTAAGGCCTTAAAAACTGACTGTTCATGGAAAGCAAAATTACAAATACACTTCCTAAGGCTCTTTTTGGTTTTAGTTATAGCCAAAATGAGCTTAGAAAGGCCATTTGTGCTTGTTCTATCTTTCTTAGCAAGCTTGAGAATTTCCAATCTATGCTTAGCAATTGAAATACCCATACTTTGAAGAAATTCATGGTTGAAGTAGGTTAAATCTTCTTCTTGGAGCTCATTTCTTGAAAATGCAAGGCCATATTCATAGATTAGAGAAGGGTCAAGATTGCTTCTTGATAACCAAGTGAACCAGTCCATTGCTTTTCTTGGTTTTGTGTCAAAAATATAAGGTGGTCCTTGACATGTATATATAAACTAAGTAGATAAGGAGAAGATAGCAAGTAAATGTGGTTGGGTAAGTTGTGATTGAAAATTTTTACATATTTTTTTATAAAATTTTGGATGGTAGTTGAGATTTGAGGGTGACTACCAAAAATATGAAAATTGAGGTCACTAAATTTCTTACCCAAATGCCCTAAAGCCCAATAATTGTGTCTTTCAAGTGCATTAACAAATTGGAAGGTTTTCCTCTGCCAATAGACAAATTTTTACATTATTGGCAGAGGTTATTTCTTTCTTTTTTTTTTTTAATCCTTTAATTTTCACATGAATGAATATTTATTGAATTTAAGATATATACAAAAAATTAGATTTTAATGGTAGTGAATTTATAATAATCCATAATGATAAATGTATTTAATCATAATGACATATTTTTATATATACAACTTGAATAAAAAATGACTCAACTATACATAATATGTTGTAAAAAGATTAATATTATAAAAATTAAAAACTGCTTCATTATCGAACCAAATTTACATAAAAAAATAAATAAAGAAGAAATAGCAAAAATATTTTAATTTTATAATGGAACTCCTTAGAGTTTTTTTTTATGATGTTCGGTTCAATTAATTCATTTAATTTACAAGGAAACTCCTTAAAGTAGTTTTATGACATTTAGCTCATCTGCATTTAATAATATAAAAAGTAATTACATTTTGAAACCTTTTCTTATCAACAGTTTATTGATTTGTATTTAAATTATATTTAGACTATATTAATTTTATAAAGATAAATACCATGAAAATTACTTTTTCGAATTAATATTTTATGTGATCATTTTATTATTATGCTTATTTAAAATTAATAAATAATTAATAAATATTATTATAAAGATTTAATTAATACTTTTATTGATATAATACATTAAAATAAAAAAACAATATATTCATCTTAAAAAATAATGTATTATATTATTTATACTCTATTTAATTATAATTTTTATTAAAATTTTACAAACAACTAACATTATCAATTGACAATAATTACGTTTACTATCATCTATTAGTAATTTTCTTTTTTATATACTTGCACGACGTATTTAGGGCTGTGTTTGTTTAACGTTCCACAAATCTGATTAATCTCCGCTCATCTTCGGAGGTAAAATGATTGACCCAGGAGAATTTGCGTGGCAGATGATCGAACCTATGACCTAAGCATTTTTTTTTTTTTTTTTTGAACACCAGGAAGAATTTTGCGTGGCAGATGAATGCGAACCTATGACCTAAGCATTTTTTTTTTTTTTTTTTGAACATTTGACCTAAGGCATCTATTAGTAATTATTAGCTAACTACTTAATATCAACAACTATATATAAATATGATATTAATATTATATTATGAGAATATAAAATTTAAAGGTAAAGTCTAAAAGAAAAAAAAAAAAAAGAAAAGTCAGGTCATAACCTATCATGATAATATTAATTAAGAGTTAAGTCATAAAAAATTTCAACCAGTTTAAAATGTTCCAATTATTGACCGTTTTTAATTTATTTAATTTTCCTCCATGTGGATGGTTAGGGTTTTCATTAGATACGGCAGGTATTTATCAATTTTAGAGGCCCATAAAGACGCCCCTAAAAGAAGGAGTCATTAAGCGCCTTAAAAGTCCCATTAATACTAACGCATTTCCAGTTTTTTTTTTTTTTTTTTTTGACATTTGACCTAAGCATCTATTAGTAATTATTAGTAACTACTTAATATCAACAACTATATAAAATATGATATTAATATATATATGAGATATAAAATTTAAAGGTAAAGTCTAAAAGAAAAAAAAAAAAAAGAAAAGTCAAGGTCATACCTAATCATGATAATATAATTAGAGTTAAGTCAATAAAAAAATTCACAGTTAAAATGTCATTATTGGACGTTTTTAATTATTTAATTTTCCTCCATGTGGATGGTTAGGTTGTCATTAGATACGGGCAGGTATTTATCAATTTTAGAGGCCCATAAGACCCCCTAAAAAGGAGGTCATTAAGCGCCTTAAAGTCAATAATACTAACCATTTCAGTCAAAGTTTATTGATTTCTCCTTTTTTTTTTTTTTTTCCTTTTATTCAATTTTTTTTTATGAATTGTAATCTACGTGGGCTTCAGTTTTCCCCCATTCATTTATATTTAAATCTATCTCTACGTAGATAAAGAAATACTCCGTTTGTCTCAAAATATAAATCATTTTTAAATAATTATTTTATTCTAAAATATAAGTCATTTTAAATATTTTGGGAAATAATATTAGACAAAATACCCTTACTTACATTAGATAAAATACCTTTAGTTTTGTTATAATTTAAAAGAATTAATTGTTTCCTTAATCACCGTGCAATAACCTTAAACGATTTATATTTTGAAAAAAAGAGAGTAATATATTTATAAAATTAATTTTATTTTTTATATGTTAATATCTCATTTGAGCTATAAAGACTTAAAATAATTATAAGTCCATGATTTTTTATCATTAATTTTGACAAAAAAAAAAATTCATAATAAACGGTGATTCACAATTGATTTAAAATATCCATAATGAATTGATGTATCAATAATTTTTTTCTCCAGTTTAATTCATCAAACATATGAACAAACGAAAGGTGGAATAAGGTCCATAAATTTCCTGATGAACCTCTAACCTGGTATAATATATGAATTTTAAAGATAATTGACTCAATTCGACCTATTATATTTTTCAATCTATCGGCTGGATTGGGTTAATTAGATCATTTAGGTCGAGTCAGTTTAACATAGTTCACAAAACTTTATTCTTCTCTAGATCACACATATATATATATCTTTGAAAATTAAGAAAAAACAAAAATATAAATTAACTATATATTTAGACATTTTGCACCAACAGCCTATAAACTCTCGTTCAATGTAAGGTGTAACGCATAAACGACCCGTCGTACTGTCGCACCTGAGCCTGTTGCCTCGACTATCACATGATTTCAGTGGTTACCACTCATCACATCAGGAAGCCATAACCCATGAGTAATTTCCAACCATAAAATAGTATATTAGAAATGTGCGGTAGTTTGAATTAAAAGGCGCGCTTAACTGACTCAGAATAACTAACTTATGAAAAAACCGTTACTAATTTTCTATATTTCAACTGAAACCATATAACTAACTCCAATTTTCTCGTTCAACAAAAATCTTTCTCACTCATTTTTCTCTTCTATTTATTTCTTTCCAATTCCTACAAATCCCGTTTCACTTAGAAAGATTGCAACTTTTTTGTACTAATGTTTTCTCGAACCTCCGTGAAGAAATCTTTTAATTCCATCACTCAAATATACACCAATCAAGAAAAGCTTTGCACTCGTCAATTCTTCAACCAATCAAAAGGGTCTGTCTCAGCATCTTCTTCATTGAGGCCATCTTTTGATGGGTCAAGCTACGGTCATGATCAGGAGAACGGGGATGCATTTTTCAAGTTGTTATTGAGATCTGTCTCTTCAGGTGTTTTGATTATTGGTTCTGGCTTGGGGCTTGGCTATTGGTACCATTCTTTGGCTGATAAGAACTCTTTAGTTTCTTTTGCTGAAGCTGCAAATGGAACAGTATGGCGGTCCAATGAGGATCTCCTTTTGCCTAAGAAGAAGCATAGATTCCTATTTGGAGGTTATTATATTGATCATTTACTTTTTCTGTTTTTTTCTTCTTTGAATTTTCTTTATTTGTGTTATAATTGAATTATATAATTTGCAAATTTGGTATTCAGGTTGAAGTTGCTTTTTCAATAACATACCATTTTAAATGCTGTTGAGAAAAAACAATTTGGGATAAATATTTAACTATTTTAAAGTTTTTTACAGTTAGTATATTCAACGTTTTAAACATAATGCTTTTCTTATCAGTAGTATTAACAATAACGTCAAACAGATACAATGTCTATGCATATCGTGTTTCCAGAACACTAGATTTATCGTGCACACAGGGTATTTGATGAAATACTAGTCGAATCTACCAACAAGCTTGGGCTCAGTGGTATTGAATTTGTTTATTGGGTTGAGTTTGAACACCCACACTGAGGCTAATTAGCAAAAAAGAAAGAAAGAAAGATAGTAATTCAGTTATTCATGTATTTGTCTGCTTTTGTGTTGTTATAGATGCACAAATACTGATCAGTTTACCTATATTTCAGATGCATTCAGGAGAAGAGTCTTCTTTAAATATGAAAAGCGAATAAGGACACAAAGTCCTCCTGAAAAGGTATTTAATCTTCCCTAAGTTCAATATGTTCATCCAAAGTGTAGTTTATATTAGCTAATGTATGTCTGGATCCTTGATTTAAGTTTTTCTCTCTAATAAAATAGTTGTTAAATCATCCCTCAATATGCAAACATATATATAACAGAAAAGAATAGACCGTTTTTAACATTTTCTTCTTCCTGATTCATCATTGTCTTTATGCATTTTGTAATTAAGGTTTTTGAGTATTTTGCATCTCTCCGAACACCTTCTGGAGATATACTTATGACACCAGCAGACTTAATGCGAGCAATCGTTCCTGTATTTCCTTCATCTGAATCAGACCGGGTTAGGGAAGGCTTTCTGAGAGGAGAGCGAGTCCCTAGCGAGTTGCATTGTGAGCCTTCACAATTTTTCATGCTTTTTGATACTAACAATGATGGACTCATATCTTTTCCAGAGTGAGTGTTTGTCAATTGTCCATTTCAAGCTTCATTTCATCTTTCTTCAAAAATCTAATCATTTCAATTTTGCTATCAGGTACATCTTTTTTGTTACACTTCTCAGCATTCCTGAAACAAGCTTTTCTGTTGCATTCAAAATGTTTGATCAAAACAATAATGGGTAGACCATTTCTGCTCTCTAGCCCTTTTACCTAAGAATTGTTGTATTCATGTTCATTCCTCTAGAAGATAATCAAATTCACGTTTAACATTGAAAATTCTAGTGATTATCTGTTTTCTGCATAATTTGTGCTTAATTAACTAATTTATGTTTCTATTGCCAGAGCGATTGACAGAGAGGAATTTAAAAAAGTAATGAGTTTAATGCGAGCTCAAAACAGGCAAGGAGCATGCCATAGGGATGGACGGAGACTTGGGTTCAGAGGTATGGAGCCTGTGGAGAATGCTGGCTTGTTGGAGTACTTCTTTGGCAAAGATGGAAACAAGTGTCTGCAACATGGAAGATTTGTCCAATTTCTAAGGGACTTACATGATGAAGTATGTACCTTTTTGAGGATTAAAGTGTTCAAGGACTAAAATGTTGAATCTTTAAAAAATCTCAAGCGCATGTTAACAATTCCTAATCTATTCACTGGGATCAAATTGCATCTAAGTTCAAACTTCATGGAGTATTATGTAATTAACCCTTAATATAATTTTTAGCAATAATAATGATTTTTCATCAATAGATGGTGAAAATCCCGATTTTTTTGCAGATTTTGAGGTTGGAATTTGCGCATTATGACTTCAAATCACGAGGAACTATATCAGCAAAAGATTTTGCCTTGTCTATGGTTGCAGCAGCAGACATAACTCATATAAACAAGTTGCTTGATAGGGTTGAGGAACTGAACAATGAGCCTAATCTCCGCGACATAAGAATTACAATGGAGGAATTTAGAGATTTCGCAGAGCTCCGAAAGCAGTTGCGGTCTCTATCTTTGGCAATATTCAGTTATGGAAAAGTGAATGGAATGCTAACAAAAATTGATTTTCAAAGAGCTGCCTCTCAAGTATGCAAGTTCTAATAAAGAAGCCATCTTTAGCATCATATTAGTTAATGCCTATACTAATTATGCTACTCTAAAATTTTGCAGGTATGTGGAATCTCCATTACAGATAATCTGGTTGACATAATATTCCATGTGTTCGATGCTGATCGCGATGGAAATTTAAGCTCAGATGAATTTATTCGTGTCTTGGAAAGACGCCAGAAGGACATATCATTACCTAGAGACGCAGGTTTCAAGAATTTGATTTCTTGCTGTGCAACTTGTGCCAAAGCCAACTCTTTAATTTACTAAGCATCAAGATGCTCCACGAATGGAAGGAGTTTTTAGCTGCTAAAAAGAGTATAGGGCTAGTCTTTATATATATCGAAAAGGTAACAAGGATGCTTCAAACACACAGCATATACCATATAGGTGAGGTAAAATTTATATTTCTTCGCATAAAGGTTTCATTAAGTATTGTTGTGGAATCCAGGTGTTCCTGCCAATTTGCGCTTTTCTTAAGTGGCTTATTTGTTTTTTGGTTCGTTTAGCATGCTATAATACTTGAATATTCTTATGTTCCCTTCTTGGTTTTTTCTTATTTGGTTATGAAATGTTAACTCTTAGCTTGGTGGCCACAACCAAGATTAAGAAACGATATGTTGTTTTTTATTCTTACCTTTTATTATATTATGTAAATAGTAATATGGATTGAGAAGCATCCCCGGTTATGCCTTTTTGGGATTGGGGGTTTGTCCAGTGTCCTTAGCATATTCAGGATTCATATCTTAGCAGGGAAAGGAAGATACTGCTAGTTTTCTAAGAAGTAATGTGAGACCGGATCTAGCATTTGCAGGATTAGCAACTTCTTCTGTCTAATTAATGGGCTACTCTAAAATTTGCAGTATGTGGAATCTTCCATTACAGATAATCTGGTTGACATAATATTCCATGTGTTGATGCTGGAATCGCGATGGAAAGTTAAGCTAGATGAAATTTTATTCGTGTCTTGGGAGAAGACGCCAAGAAGAGGACATATCATTACCATAGAGACGCAGGTTTCAAGAATTTGATTTCTTGCTGTGCAACTTGTGCCAAAGCCAAACCTTTTAATTTACTAAGCATTATAGATGCTTTCCAGAATGGAACACGGAGTTTTTAGCTGCTAAAAAGATTATGTGCTAGTCTTTTATATATTTATAAGAATATATAATATATATATAATACAATATATATTAAGTATAATATAATTTAGGAATTATTTTTCACATTTTGTTTGAAGTGAAAGTGATGATGCCTTGCGATATGCCTTTGCAATATTGCGAGCTATTAGTTCCTTCTCTGTTATGAATAACAACCTATGTAAATATTTGGGAATAACTGACATTAAAAATATGTACAGTCTTTGTTTGTGGTTTTATAAATATGTAAAATATTTTCATTATTTTTATAAATTAAAGTTTTTCTTGTAATATTTCCCTATATATATAATTTTGGAATTATTTCACATTTTTTTGAAGTGAAAGTGATGATGCTCTATGCCCTTTGCATATTGCCAGAGCATAGTTCCTTCTCTGTTACTGACTTAAAAATATGTACAGTCTTTGTTTGTGTTTATATATGTAAATATTTTTCATTTTTTATAAATAAAGTTTCTTGTATATTTCCCTCTCTTTGCATATTATGAACTATTGTCCCATCTAGTCCAAGTTAGTAATAATATAAAGACTGGGTTACTATTTTGAGTCTCTGAACAGTAGTGATTACACCAATCAACATGTTAAAATAGGTGGATCTCATTAAATAAATGAACATGACCAGTGAATTGGAATAGTCACAAAGGAACAAGTCAAAAATGACATTGGCGGTACTGGTAGGTACTTCTTTAATATCTTATCTAAAAGGTTGACTATGCGTTCATATTGGTCAATGATGGTATATTTGGCATCCCATTTAGTAAGACTCTTAATACTTTCATAGGCTTAAATGTAATTTTTCTAAGAATTTAAATATTTTTTCGGGACAAAAGATATATTTTATTTTAGAATATAATTAGATTAGGAGATCCACTTCTAATTTTTCACGCATTTAGTAGCCAGGCCAACCTCCTATTATTGAGGGCTTATTCGGTAAAATTAGCTGTTTTGATAGTAACGTTTAGCTGATGATTATTTGAATAGTTTTTCAATAAACGCTAAACGTTATAAGACTTAATTTTTTATAAAATATTGTCTAACTTCTAAAAATTAGTTTAAACGCTATATTACCGAACACATTTTGACTTAAAAGCTATTTAAAAAGTTATTACCAAACTCACGTTAGTCTTGAAATTTCTTGGGGAGATAATCTTCAATTTTTCCATTCTATTACTTATTTCTCTGAATAATTCTAAGAATATTTTAAATTAGCACTGTGAAGGAAATATTATTTTAAATATATATATTGATTAAAATAAGTTTAAAAATTGTTATAAAAGATTTAACTACTGTTTTAAGAAAGAAAAAAAAGAAAACAATACAGTAGAATTGTATGTCAAAGTGTATTTTCAACAAGAAGAGGTGCTACTCTGTTCCTATTTAAACTCATTGCTTTTCCTCCATGAAATGCAAGAAGTGGTCATACACTGACATGGGTCTAAATTTGAAGCAGTTATGGATATCAGTGATAATGGTGTTATTATTAGAAGGAAGATGGCGGTGTAATGGTTGCTGGGAGGATGACAGAATTGCTTTACTTAAGCTCAGAGATTACTTGAATTATCCTAATGCGACGGCTATGTCTTCTTGGAAGAAAATTCCCAATTGTTGTTATTGGGATTACGTTCAGTGTGATTCCGTTACTGGCAGAGTAACTGGACTTTATCCTTGGAGGGATGGGATATTAGGAGATTGGTATCTTAATACCTCTTTCTTTCTTCCCTTCAAAGAATTGAAATATCTCGGCTTGGAGGAAATTAACATTTTGGGTTGTGTTGAAAATGAAGGTTCATACTCCATATCTCTCTTGCATAGGTTTTGTTCAATTATCTGGCAAATTTCAATTTATGGGATTTTTTTTCAGGGTTTGAAAGATTATCAAGTCTTGCTAATATTGAGTCGCTCAGTTTAGATGGTAATCAATTCAACAACAGCATCTTGCATTCTCTAAGTGGTCTTTCATCTTTAAAATCATTATCTTTAAAAAACAATAGACTCAAAGGAACCATTGATATTCAAGGTGAGTAAGGTTCCTTCCTCCTTAATTTCTCTTCCTTTTTTGTCTCTTTCAAGTAAAACCCATATTAATTAAGAACATTGCAAAGGAGCAGATTTAAGTAATTTAACAAGCTTGAAGGAGTTGAATTTACAAGGAAATGAAATTCAAGGTTTCAAATTCCCTCAGGGTATGAATTGAACTTTTCACTGTTTGTCATACGTTCTTTTCTGAAGTAGTTGAAGAAGTATGAATGATATTGAAGAATTTCTACTTTTTTAGGTTTAAGCAATCTGGAACTTCTTGATCTGAGTAATAATCAGATTAACAACAGCTTGCTCTCATCTCTCAAGGGATTTCCATCTCTGAAATATTTGAATCTAGGATACAATTCACTCAAAGGAACACTTGACATGAAAGGTTAGTTAATTATGTTTTGTATCTGTTTTGTCTAGTTAAAGCATCACGATTGAACTTTTACAGTGATCTAATTAGTTTTGGTTTTTGGATTGTCCAGAATTGGATGGTTTGAGTAACTTAGAGGAGCTAGACTTGAGTGGAAATCAGATCATCAAGTTTCAGGCCTTGAGAGGTACCTGTTATTTCTAAGCTTGATTACTAATTTCTGAATAAAAAAAGCTTGGCCCTGTTCAAGCAAGGAGAACAGAATAATTCAGCAGGGTTTTACCGGTTGATAGAATGTAAATTTATCAGGTCTAAATTTTGTTCATTTCTTTTCTCATTTTGCAGATAAAAGAGGTCTAAACAAGTTAAGCAAACTAACTCTGGATAACATCACCGCAAATGGAAGAAGCTCTTCACTGCTACAATCACTGGGAGCATTTCCATACTTAAAGATTCTTTCTTTACAAGAAAATGATTTCGAAGGAAAAATATTTGCTCAAGGTAAATTATTGTACTGGTAATGATGTCTAAAATTCTTGTTGCTTTACTTTATTCTGATTCTATGTACTGTGTCTTAGAACATTTGTTGTTGTTTTCAGAGTGGCATAATATGAACAGCTTGGAAGACTTGTTCCTGGACTCATCTTCTTTGAGTGAAACCTCACTTCAAAGTCTTGGAGCACTGCCTTCTCTTAAATTTTTATCTCTGTGTTCACTTGTAAACACTCTACCAACGGAAGGTAAATTGACCATAATTCATTACTTGCTAATACAATGGTATATTGCACTAGTTAGAAATTCTACTTTTTAAAAATTAACTTAATAACAATTCAGCCTTGATGATTAGCATTAGAAATGGTAATCTTGTTGGAATCATTTTGAACTTTTCATTATTAATGATTATTGCAGGGTTGCCAAATTTCAAGAACCTGGAAATTTTACACTTGAATTCTTCTACTACTAGCAACAACATCCTGCAAGTAATTGGCAAAATTACGTCTCTCAAGGCTTTATCATTGGTTGGCTGTGGACTCAGTGGCACTATACCAGTTGCATCAGGTAAGATTGGTTTTTCCTCTCTCTCTCTCTCTCTCTCTCTCTTCTTCTTCGTCCTTCTCTCCCTCACAAAAAAGTTTCTAACTGTAAATAAATTGCAGGCATGTGCGAGTTGAAACATCTACAAGTTCTAGATATGAAGTTTAATGATCTCAATGGTACATTGCCTTGGTGTTTAGCAAATATGACATCCCTTCAATATTTAGATGTTTCTTCCAATCATTTTTCTGGACAAATCTTTCCCCTTGGGGCATTGACATCCCTCCAAAAATTAAGACTTTCAAACAATCACTTTGAAATCCCTATTTCACTTGGTCCATTCTTCAACCATACAACACTCAAGTACTTTGATGGTAAGGATAATGAAGTCCATTCAAATATAGAGGCACACAATTTGATTCCAAAATTTCAACTAGAGACTCTTCTTTTGTCTGGTCTAGGATATGGTAAAGCATTTCCCAAGTTCCTCTACTATCAACATAACTTAAAAGAAGTTGATCTCTCACATATTAAAATGGAGGGAGGTTTTCCATTTTGGTTGTTAGAGAACAACACGAAACTAGAAAAACTTTATTTAGCCAATAATTCTCTCTCAGGGCCTATTCAATTGCCAATTCATTCTCATATGACTTTGTCGGAGTTAGATATCTCTGATAATGGCTTCCATGGAAAAGTTCCGATAGAAATTGGAGCATTGTTACCAAGGTTACAAGATTTGAAAATGTCTCGAAATGATTTCAATGGTAGCATTCCCAATTCATTTAGCAATGTCAGCTTCTTGCAAGTTTTACAATTGGATGGAAATCAATTCACAGGAAATATCCCTAACAGCTTATCCAATTGCTCCTTCTTGGAAATGCTAGATGTTAGTGATAATCATCTCTCAGGTATTATCCCACGGTGGATGGGCAATATGTCTTTTCTTACAGTTTTGGACCTTTCAAGAAATGACATCTCTGGATATCTACCATCAAACTTTAACCCTCCACAGTTAGTACACATTTACTTATCTGAAAATAGAATACAAGGCACAATCTCCAATGCATTCTACAATTGCTTTGACATGATAACATTAGATCTTAGACATAATTTGTTGACCGGAACCATTCCAAAATGGATCGGTGTGAAGCTTTCCCTTTTAGGTTATCTTTCTTTGGGTTATAACAACTTTGAAGGAGAAATTCCAAAGGAGCTATGCAAGTTGGACATTTTAAAGTTAATTGATTTGTCTCACAATCATCTTTCTGGTCATATCCCTGCTTGCCTGAAGTTGACAGGGGGTTCTGGGGTTATCTCTCCAGGAAATGATCCACAGACTTTAGATTTTACAACAAAGGGGATGACGTATCCTTATCAGCAAAGTATTCTCTTGTACTTTTCTGGAATAGATCTTTCTGATAACAAATTGATTGGAGAAATTCCTCCTGAAATTGGAAATCTTGATATGATCAAAGTGTTAAACCTTTCTCACAACCGTTTGACAGGAGAAATTCCATCATCATTCTCCAATCTCAGTGAAATTGAGAGTTTGGATCTTTCTTACAACAACTTGAATGGGAAAATCCCTATTCATCTTACACAACTAAATTATGTAGCTGTTTTCAGCGTATCACATAACAACTTATCTGGAAAAACACCTGAGAGAGTTAAACAGTTCGCTACTTTTGAAAAGAGTAGCTATGAGGGAAATCCTTTCCTCTGTGGACTTCCATTACCAAATACTTGCAGTGCAACATTACCACCATCATTGATGCCTAGAGTTTCAACAGATGAAAAACAAGAGGAGAATGGCTTCATAGACATGAATGTTTTCGTTGTTAGCTTTTTGGTGGCTTACGTGATGGTATTATCGGCAATAGCTGCAGTTTTGTGGATAAACCCTCAATGGCGACGAGCATGGTTTTGGTTCATTGAGGTATGCATTACCAGTTGTCAATATTTTCTGGAAGACAATGTTTATGTTTTATTCAAATTCAAACTTCCATAGCCAATTTTGACATTTTTTTGCTTATTAAGATGATGATAAACTAAATGAATTAGTGGCTCTTCATGTAATCAATAAGATAAGAGGACAATGTTTGTATTCTCTTCCAAATGCCTTTTATATCCTTTCTAGCTAAAGGTATGGTTTTATTTTATTTTATTTTTAAATTCTTCATCTTTCAAGTGGTGAATTGTAGAACCTGATAATGTCAAATGATAATCTTGAATGTTTCTATGGTGTTTTTCCATTTTTCTATAATCTGTCAATAATAAATATTTCACTTGTATTGGTTACATTATATCTTTAGCAAGAATCACTATCTGGTGGAATTCCAAACTGGATTGGCAGCCTTCCTGAACTGAAATTTCTTCCATTGAAGAACAAATTAAAATTTATATTAGGCTTCGTAATTGTGTTGGAGACAATTCAGCTAAAGTAATTTCCAAGAAGCCATACCTGGTTTAAATTACTCCATTAATAACTTTTATATCTTTATTACTTTGTAGAAATAAAGGCAAAAAAGAAAAAAAATATAATAACTGAGGAGAGAAATCCACCAAGTCACTTAATTTCTCAGTCACAGCCTTAGAAGTTGATTTGGAAACCGTCAAAAAGTAGTTGATATGGTAGAAAAGAATTATACATTAAATTTTAGGAGTTTGAAAATGATTTTAAAATTAATAAATAAAAAATTCTCAATTTTGTTTCTATATTTCAATTAACAAATATGAAATGGACTGTGGACACGACAAATGTTTTCTTAATTTGTGGTCATAAGACTGTGGCATGGTTAAGCATCTCTTATAATACAATTTTTAAGTGACTTTTAACGTTTTGATTAGATCAAAATACTATATTTTATTATTTTCAAATATTATTTATAGAAAAATATTTTTATCACAACTTTGAGTGTGACGTAAATTTTAGCGGAAAGTTAAAGGAAGATATTGATTCTATTAGTTGTATGGAAATAGCTTAATGAGGAGAAAAGATAATGAAAATGTGTAAGCTTATATCGGTTATTTCTTTTATTAAATTTAAATTCATGTCGGAACAAGTTATACGATTCGAAGGATTCATAAATTAAATTCAATTGGTTATATATTTATATTTAATTTCTTTTCTACAGAGTGGATCCATTGGAAATCGATCAATGTCGAGCCATTTTCGAAAGTAATATAATTTTGTAAACATTTTTCAAAAGTGACAGTGACAGTGACTGTCGCACCTAGCACTACACGAAAAGATAAACTCAGGGCAAGAAACACGTCAAGCATGGTGGAAGACTTTTTTTTTTAAGTAAAAAAGTTATTCTTTGATTATGATAGTACACATATTAATAAAAGCATAGCAGGAGACTAGAAAGATTTTTCTACAGAAAATTATATTTTGAAATTATAATGGAAAAATGTATTAATGAGTACCACATTAATCATGGGAGATCAATTTTTTTTTTTTAGTTAGTTTGATCTGCAATTTGAAACCAAAATTTTTAGAACCAAGGTTATTAATTTAGCTTTTATATTTTATTTTTAAAATTCATAGTAGAACAAATTAAAAATACAGTTGGATTAGTTACAAATCAAGAGATATATATAGTGCTTAATTAAACTAGCAGCCAAATTATGGAATTCATTTTTCTTTGTAATATGTGAAATGAAGTTCAATATGTATTTATTTTATTGAATTTTATTAGTATATAAGTTTTCTTAGTAATTTATATGATTTTTCGTAGTAATTTCATTAGTGTTTGACTATATATAAGCTCAAAAATTTACTTGGTATTAGAAATTTATATTAATTAATTAAAATAAAAGAATTACTTAAAATAAGAAAAGTACTTGTAGATTTTGTTTTAATGTTGAATTAGCCAAACAAAATGAAGTTTACTATACAAAATATCAAATTGATTAGTTAATTGGGATATATATATAAGCTGAAAACTTAATTTTTTATAATTTCACGTATGTTATAATATGTGTTTGAAGTGAAAAATTATAAAATATTAATATAATATCATATTTAGATATTCAAATGTAGAAATAAAGTCAAATAAAATTCATTTTGTAAATAACATATAAAATTTTAAAGATTATTGATCAATTGATCATAGAAAATTGCTTTATTAAACTTCAAAGCTTACTTTAATCACCGTAACAGCACGGAAGATGATTCCAATTATTGTTCTCGGGATTATGTTGAGTGTGATTCCATTACCGGCAGAGTAACCTTACTTTTTCCTTGAAGGGATGAGAAATTAGGAGATTGGTATCTCAATGCCTCTTTCTTTCATCCCTTCAAGGAATTGAATATGCTCGACTTGAGTAGAAGTTGCAACATTTTGGGCTGTGTTGAAAATGAAGGTTCAAATATCATATCCCTCTTGCATAGTTATAGTTTAATTTATTTGGTGAATTTTTCAATTTATAGAATTTTTTTTTTAGGTTTTGAAAAATTACCAACTCTTCTCAATTTGGAGTATCTAAATTTAAGTAATAATAAATAAATTCAACAGTAGCATCTTGCTTTCACTGTGTGGTCTTTCATCTTTAAAATCATTATATTTAACACGTAATAGACGCAAAGGAACGATTCTTTTCCTCCTCAATTCTATTCTTTTTTGTCTCTTAGTAAAACCTATGTTAATTAAGATTATTGCTAAGGGGCAGAATTGAGTAATTTAACAAGTTTGGAGGAGTTGCATTTAGATGGAAATAAAATTGAAGGTTTCGAATTCTCTCATTGTATGAATTGATCTTTAATCTTTTTTTTTTTTTTAAAAAATCAATTGAAGAAATATAAATAGTTTTAACGATAACGATCTGAATTTTCATATCTTAGTAACAATGGCACTAACAAGAGCTTGGTCTCATTCCCCAGGAGATTTCCATGTCTGAAATATTTGGATCTATAATAGAATTCTTTGAAAGGAACATTTAACATGAAAGCTCAGTTAATTACGGTTTTTTTTTTTTTTTTTTTTCACATAAAGCAACATGATTAAACTTTTACAATGATTTAATTGGTTGTTGTTTTGAATTGTCCAGAATTGGATGGTCTGTGTAACTCAGAGGAGCTATATTTGAGCGGAAATCAAATAATCAAGTTTAAAGCTAAGGAAGGTACTAAAGTAACTTAAATTTAAATTTGATTAATTAAATCAAGGACCATAGTCTTGAAGCACTGCCTTCTCTTAAATTTATATCTCTGTGTTATCTAGAAAACACCCTACCAGCTTAAGGTAATTCATTATTAATTAACCTCTTTAGGTTTTGATAATTGGGTGAATTACTTGGTGTGTTATAGTATATTACATTAGTCATTGCTTTTAATAATGAATTCAATGCTTCTTACATTTTATATTTCTCAAACTATACAGTAATTCCACCTTGATAATTAGCATCAAGTATGGCAATTCTACCCACATTAGTACTATCTTATTTTAATCTTGTTTACAATTTTAAAATTTTCGTATTACTATTATTATTTGAGGATTGCCAAATTTCAAGAACCTAGAAATTTTATACATGGATGATTCTCTGGTAGCAATGACATCGTGCAAGTAATTTCAAAAATTATCTATTTTAAGGCCTTATTATTACAGAACTGAGGACTCAGTGACACTATACCAGTTGCCTCAGGTAAGATTTGTCATCCCTCTCTCTCTCTCTCACACAATTAGAGTTTTTCGTTATAAATAAATTGCAGGCATATGGAGTTGAAACATCTCCAAGTTCTAGATATCAGCGATAATGATCTTAATGGTACATTGCCCTGGTGTTTGCCAAATATGACATCCCTTCAAAGTTTAGATATTTCTTTCAATCATTTTACTGGAAAAATCTTTCCCCTTGGTGCATTAACATCCATTCAATATTTAAGTCTTTCAAACAATCACTTTGAAATCCCGATTTCGTTTGGTCCATTCTTCAACCATACAAAATTCAAGTACTTTTATGGGAGGGATAATGAGATCTATTCCATATGGTATGTTAGCTTTTTGGTGGCTTCATCGACATGAATGTTTTCGTTGTTAGCTTTTTGGTTCATTGATGTCTGCATTACCAGTTGTCAATATTTTATAGAAGACAATGTTTATGTTTTATTTAAATTCAAATTTCCATAGCCGCTTTTGATGTTCTTTTGCTTTTGAAGATGATGATAAACTTAAATGATATTATGTCATGTAAAATATTTGTTTTACTAGCTCTTCATATAATTAAGAGATCAATGACTATACTGCTAAATTTCATAAAAATAAATTTGAAAATTCTAATTTTTCCTTTGTTTTTTATTTTTTAAATCCATAATATAAAGTTAGATTTTATTTATACATAGTTAAAACTAACAACCAAATATGGAGAGATGGAGGTGTTGGTAAAAGATTATTTTTCTGAGCTTTTTCAGGCTGAGAGGCAACCGAATAGAAGCAGTTTCTTGAGGTTATTTCAGAAAGGTTGACTGATAGTGATGCAGCGAGTTTGTTAGCTCCATTCCGGAAAGATGAATTTCGAGAGGCTTTATTCAGTATGCATCCTGACAAGGCTCCTGGACCTGACGGCTTAAACCCGGCCTTCCTTCAGAACCTCTCTGGCAGTATGCATCCTGACAAGGCTCCTGGACCTGACGGCTTAAACCCGGCCTTCCTTCAGAAGTACTGGCATATTATGGGGGATGCTATTGTTTTGAATGCTATGGATTGGTTGCAGCGAGGTATTTTTCCTTCTGACCTCACTTTACCAAATATTGTGCTTATTCCAAAAATTCCTGTTCCTGAAACTGTGAAAGACTTTCGACCTATAGCCTTATGTAATGTTATATATAAAATTATCTCTAAAGTCTTAGCAAATAGGCTTAAGAAGGTGTTGCCTCATATTATTTCTGTGAATCAGTCTGCTTTTGTGCCTAACCATTTGATCACTGATAATGTTTGTCTGTAATACAGTCTGGGCTTTTGTGGCCTAACCCATTTGATCAGCTGATTAATGTTTTTGTGTGGAGCGTTTGAGGACGCTATACATAATTTGAAGAATAGGAAGAATGTGGGGATCTGGGTTGATTGTGGGGCTTTGAAAATTGACAATCGAGTGAAAGCTGTATGACAAGAGTTTTAAGTTTGGATTATATTGTCTGATCGGTGATGCATTCGTTTGGACGATTTACCAGCCCTGGCTGCCTGGTCATTTCGCAGTGGATCTGAGTATGTGTATACTGCAAGTGTCAGCTATTCATCACTGCACTGTTTTGAATACGATTGGCAATCTCCTGTTGGTCACCCTATCAAGTCCTGGGCTAGAGGTCTCCGTCAAGACCGTCTATTGGTCAACCCATACCTGATATATTTTTACTAATTGTGCTAAAAGGTATTATCTGCCTTTATTTAATCGAGGATGAGCGGAGGAGCGAAAGGTACACGCGTGCTGCATGAATTCTAGGATGATACGGAGTTGTAGAGGGTTGTCGTGCTCATTTAGAGTTCACATCTTGATTGTTTGGCAGATGACTCTATATTTTTCTTTGAGAGCTAATGCTCATGAAGGCTACAATGGTGAAATCCAATTCTCTGTGGAGCCATTATAGGAGCGGATGCTGGGACAGGTCAGTAAAATTTTTCAAAAAAATTTGGTACTTTTATTTAGTCCCTGGTGTTTCGGGCCAACATACTGTAAGATGAGCATTTCTAAATATCTTAGGGTGTGAGGGGTTCTAATGATTGGGGATAGCTTTTTATCTTGGTCTTGCCTTCGTCTTATAAGGAGCGTGAAATAAAGAAGCGCAATATGTCTCTTTTAATTAAAATAGACAGTTGTGGAAGAACTTGAATAGGGCTGGAACATATAGATTTTTGTCCATAGAGGCCGGTAGAGAGGTTTCTTAATATAAATCTGTTGGCTACAGATGGCTATTACACTTAAATTGTATGTCATGTTTTCACTTGTTGCCCTCTACTTTGTGTTTCATGCAGGCTTAGCAGGTTATTAATGAATCGCTACTGGTTGGACCTACGGGAAGGAAAGAACAAGGCAGAGGTAGTTAATTCTGGACTTTTGTGGGAAAGGATGTTCTTTTCTAAGCAGCTAGGGTTTTCGTGATCGTTCGCGGGCATTTTAATTTGGCTATGGCTTAGCTAAAAGCAGAGGATGGCAGGTTATCTAGCAGGGCCGAAAGATACTCGTTTTTTAGCAGAATCTTCAAAGCTAAATTATTTCCCCGGAGAGAGGGATCTTTTTCAAAAGCTCAAAAGGGTAATAATCGAGCTTTGTTGTGGTCGAGGAGGGTAATAATCCGAGCTTTGTGTGGTCGAGTATCTTTGCTTCTATCAATTTGCTTCAGCAAGGGGTGCGTTGGCGTGTTGGTGATGGTAGAGGTATTTATGCTGCTTCGGATCCTTGGATCCCTAAGACTGACTCTTTTCTTGCGGAGGATGGGACTCGATTCATTAATTCTGTGACTAGAGTTTGTAATTTTTTTGTGGATGGTGAGAAAAGGTGGGATGTAGGCAAGTTGATGACTTCATTTTCTGCTAGAGATGTGAAGGCTATTTTGTCTATACCTTTATCTATTCATATGGTGGAGGATGTGGTTTTATGGCATTATGAGAAGGCATTATGAAGAAGCGTTGGGGTGTATTAACGGTTAGAATCTGGATAGTCATAGTTAGGTATGGGTCTGGTATGAGGTAGCGCAAGAATGTTTGGGAAATCGCCACGGTTTATGGACAGCGTATTCCTGGAGCACTTAATTAAGTGCCGCTCCTAAAATAAGGGATTTTTTGTGGGCGGGCTTGCTAAGTGAGATGTCCTCCCTACAAAATCTAACCTTGTAAGATGGGGATTTTTTGTGGCGGGCTTGTAGAGATGTCCTCCCTACAAAATCTAACCTTGTAAAACGTGGTATAGCAGTTAATGATCTTTGTTTTTTCTGTCCTTCAAGAGAAGATGGTGACCATGTGTTATGTCATTGTGTTCGGGCAAATGCTTGTTGGAGTTTGCTTGGTTTTAATATTCCCAGTGTGACTGCAACTTTTATTGATTTATTCATGCAGTGTTGGGATGGCCTTGGACAATAAAAAGCCGAACTATTGGCTTTTCTGGCTTGGCATTTATGGAAGGCAAGAAATACTTTTTGCTGGTCGGCAAAATTGGTGCAACCAACCCAGATTGCCTGTATGGTTTCTACCCATTGTATGGAATGGCATTCTTTTGATAATTTAAATGTAGCTATAGGACAAAGACTTTTCCATGGAAATGGGCCAAGTGTGAGGCCATGTGTCAACTTGAATAATGTTGGCTGGCATGCATTTTGTGATGCTTCACTATTTCAAAGAGAAGATGTAACAGGTGGTGCGACCATGTGTCAACTTGAATAATATTTCAAAGAGAAGATGTAACAGGTGGTGCGGCCATGTGTCAACTTGAATAATGTTGGTTGGCATGCATTTTGTGATGCTTCACTATTTCAAAGCCTGCTACAGCTGAAGCTTTGGCTCTTCATTCTGCTCTACTTTTTATTGGTAATCATTATCAGTCTAGTGGTTATATTTTTATTGATTGCCAGGTTTTATTTTGTGCTTTGAATTCTAAAACTTTAGATCTTTCGGAATTTGGGGTTATTGTGAAAGATTATAAGCAACTCGTAGTTGATAGGCCGGATATTTAGATTAGATGGATTCGGCGTACTATGAATGGTGCTGCTCATTCCCTTGCTAGAGCATCCATTCGCTTTTTACCACTTTGTATTTGGGAGAGTGTCCATGATGTTCTCCTTTCCCACTACATTTAATATCACACGCTTTCCCACTACATTTAATAAAATGATTGGCCCATTTTGCTCTTTAAAAAAAAAAAAATAAAAAAGAATATATCATTTTGAAAAATGACCCAAAATGTGATCACAGCTGCGCTTACCGGTCGAATCAGTCACTATGAATGGTGCTGCTCATTCCCTTGCTAGAGCATCTATTCGCTTTTTACCACTTTGTATTTGGGAGAGTGTCCCTGATGTTCACCTTTCCCACTACATTTAATAAAATGATGGCCATTTTCTCTTAAAAAAAAAAAAAAAAAAAAGAATATATCATTTGAAAATGACCCAAAATGTATCAGCTCGCTTACCGTCGAATCAGTCATTGTTAATAAAATAAACAATTTATGTATTGGAATATTAGAGAGTTAAACATGCAGCGAAATAGAAGATTCAAATTAAGCCTTTTTGATTTCTTTTGATTAAAAAATAGAAAATTCTGTTCTTCTATCTGATTGCAGAAATTGTACTGAATTCTTTCCCAATTTCTCTACCATCAACATGACTTGCAAATTGTTGATCTTTCCAATATTATCTTGAAAGGGTAGTTTCCAAATGGTTGGAAGTGCTCTTTTTAGCAAATTATTCTCTTTCAATAAATTTGCAGCTTCCAATTTATCCTCATATTAGCCACATTCCTTTGGAGATTGGTTTATATTTACCAAAACTGAAATACTTAAACATGTCTAGAAATTATTTTGATAGTAACATTCCAATTTACATTAGGCCTTGTAATTGTGTTGCAGACAATTCAGCTAAAGCAATTTCCAAGAAGCCATGCCAAGTTGAAAGTTTTATATCTTTAGCTCCATTGATAAATGTATAGGACATCAATAGCAAGTTCAAGTCACATCGATTAGGAAAAAAAATTTAAAGAAGGGCCGCAGTAATGACCTAATTTTCATTAATTAAGAGCAGAAATTCTGATTCTACATAAGAAGGTGCATGCAATGCAGAAATTAGTGCCATTTATTTACAGAAAACTACTGCAACTACTACTACTGCTACTTGCTTGCTTAACATTATTTGCTTATTTATTTATGTTCTAATGCTTACCCGACTCAAGTGCATAGCAAGAGCATCTCTGATCCTCTGTCCTCTCTCATCTGCCTCTCCTTGGAAAACCGGCAGCTCCTCCTCCTGTAAAAACCCTCCAACACACTCCTCCGGCAACGGCTCACTGCATTTTATTAGAAAATTATGCAGCAAACAGCCCATTACAATTACAAAAGGGAAAAATTCAACACACTCTTCTTTCCATTTCCTCGCCAAAAGCTGCCACCTTTTTTTAACTCTCCCAAACGCGGTGGCGACTAACCCCATTGCTCTACTATGAGCAGAATTAAACTCTCTCTGAGCTGAACCAAAACTGTCCTCCTCTTTAGGCCTAATGTAAGGAGTTAATAGCCAGTTCAACAGAGGAAAACTTGAATCCCCCAATATATATTGGGGGATAGAGTTTCCATTGCTTAGATTATAACAAGGCCCCTTTAATAGCTCTCTGGATTCTTCAATACGTGAATAGAGCTTAGTTTGCCGGAAAATGGATTCCGGTTTCATTGTACAAGGCCATCCAGCTGAAATATCTAAAAATCTACCTTCCGAATCGACTAATGCTTGAACTAACAAAGTCCCATTTTTCCCCAAAATCTCACTGTCAACCCCAAATGTTCCAAATCCTAAAACGCCACAACAATTAGGGAGAGAAATCCACCCGAATCCGGCCATTATATGCTCCAAATCTCTCCCGAAATCCACCAAGTCGCCTAATTTCTCAGTCACAGCTTTACAAACACTATAAAAGGAAAGGCAGGCGGCGGCTGACGAGTCAAGTCCGAACATACGCGCCGCTGATTCGTACGACGCTCCGTGAGAGAGGCGGAAGAGAGTGGCGGCAATGGCCGAGTCAGGAGGAATTGAAGGAGGAAGGAAAGAAAGAAGAGATGGAGACAGGAGAGAAAGGAGTTGACAAAAGGTCGGCTTTGACATGCGGAAAAATTCAGACCAACGAGGGTCAAAGTCCGACGCGGCGGAGGAAAGGAAACGGTGGAAGAAGGATTGAGAAGAAGGAAAATGAGAAAGAGAAGGAGAAAGGGAGAAAGGAAGGGAAGAGAGGAGGGATTCAATGGAGAGAGATTGGGAAGGCAGAAGACGGAGGTCATTATGGGAAAGGAAAGAGTAGGCGGCGGAGGCAGCAGCGGAAAGCAGAGAAATGAGTTGTTGGCTCAAACGTTTGTTTTGGTTTCTGGGTTTTCTGGGTTTACGTTTCGTAGCTGGTTTGGGGCTTGTGGAAGTCTTTTGGGCCGTTGATTTGGAAGATCCGCCAGCTGCAGCCATGAAAATAGGCAGAGGAGTTGAGTTGAGCGATCACATTTTTTTGGTGTGTTAGTGGAGCGGTGGTGATAGTTGCGAGTGGTGGCGACAAAACCGACGACAACGGTACTGTAACTGGTGACGCGACATTGTTTTAAATTTTTTATTATTTCGAAATTGGGAAAGAGCAAAAGCTAGTCTATCCAATAAAATAAATAAATATAAAAAATAATTAGTTAGATGCAATAATGTAGAGGCGGACACAGTTCCGGAATTGGCGGTTCTGATTCTAAAAGATTTAAAATCGGAATCGAACCGAAAATTGACGGTTTTGATTACTGTTTAGAACAAAACGGTCATGATTTCAATTTCGGTTCTTTAATGATTTCAGCTTGTTCTCCAATTAATTTTCCGACGTTATAAAATCAAAAGTTAGAAAACATTTTTTTAAAAGAATTTAAAATTTAAATATTTATGAAATAATTTTGAGAAAAAATTAAAAAAGGCTTAACATAATTTATTTGTTAAAAAAAGGTTTGAACGTTTTTTTTTTTTTAAGGACTTGAACTTAATTTATTTTTTTAAATGAAATGGGTATTTATAGTAAATCTAAAAAATTAATTTTTCATAAATACCCTTAAAACTAGCAGTTATACAGTTGTTAGAAGGGTTAATTTTGAGATTTCACAAAAATATTTGAAAAAATAAAAAAATTAATTGAAACCAGGTGGATCCACTGGTTCGAACCGTTGGGTCTAACTAGTTGGAAAACCAACGGTTCTAACGGTTTCGACCGATTCTTGAAACCGTCGGTTCATAGTCCTCAAAAGTTGAAATCGAAACCGAACTGCAGACCTCTGATTTCGATTTTATAGTTCTGATTTTGGTTCTCCACCGACTTCGAACCGACTGTTCCGGTTCCAAAAACCGAAAAATGGCCACCCCTGCACCTATGGATAAACTTACCAACTCAAAACTAGCAAATAATAATTGGTAAATGAACTTAAAGAGTTATGGAAAAAGTTTTTTAAAAGGAAAATCCATAAAAAATATATATTGTGTTACTTTATTAGTTCATAATAAAAAAAATATATTGAGATTTTTATTTTTATGAAATTAAATTTTTTATAAAATATTAAATATTATAAATAATAATTAAATAATATTAAGAGGAATTGTAAATATATCCCATTAGAAATTTCCATAATCTCATCCAACCAAAAAAATTTAACAATTAAAAGAATTAAGAGACACAGCAAATCCCACTTCAAATGTACTGGTCAAATCCGAATTCAATATATATATATGAAAGCTGAAAGAATGTTTAAGGTATTCTCTTTATTCAACATTCTATTTTTCTTTTTTTTAGAAAATTTGAAAATTTTTCTTATTTTTCTGCATTTTGATTGGTCAACTCAAGTAATTTTTCAATTTATTTAGTATTTAATATGGATATTGATAAGTTTTTAAAATCTAATCCAACTAATAAAAATTTAAAATTTAAGAGAGAAGATTCAACGCTATAACACTATTGTATTTATTTTTTTTATAAATTTTTAGAATTTTCTTTCTATTTTCTACCATTCGATTGTATGTAAAGAATATTTTTTTAAAAGTAAATTTTTAAAATTTTTAAATCAATACATATATAATTAAGTTTTTTAAAACTTTAAATATTAAATTTTTCGATTAGATAAACATTGATCACACAAGTATTAACTTTGAATACAACACAAATTTTTTTTATATAATCCAATTTATTTATATCATTTGCGTGCAGTCTGCTCTAAACCAGGCAGACTTCTTCAGCATGGATTCTAAACCTATTAAAGGTCATACTACTTTAAAAGCAAAACTTAATCACAATTCTTATATCAATAAATCCTGAAATACCCACATTTGCTTTCTTTGCCTCCTACAGCTATGAAGCCTCAACCCCAACTAGCTGCATAACAGGGGTCGAAGTAGCTCTCAGGTCCTGGGTATGTCTTCTTTTGTTGTGCAATTATTTATCATATGGGTTTGCAATGTAGTGATTTTTATTGGAAAAATTGTTCAAAATTAGTTGATTTACGTGTTATGAACTCATGCCAAAATAAAATTATATAGTCAAAGTTGATTTATTATTATGATCTAGTATATATGCGGGGAAGAAATATGGTTAATCCTACAGTTTTTATACTTTCTGAATTGCAAATGTATGGCATTATCATGGAGAATGTCAAGTGATCATAATTATAGGATTCGTGGTGTTGATGGATTAAGGGTTATTGACGGTCCACTTTTCTTTGCTCGCCTGGAACTAATCCTCAAGCTACTGTCATGATGCTTGGAAAGTAATTACTAACTAATTGTCCTGTAATCACATTTTAATATATAGTATGTATTTATGTATCTTACTTTTGTAATGCAGGTATACAGGGATGACAGTCTTCCTAAGAAGAGAAGTAAATGATGATAATTGTAAATCTGATTTTACGTGACAGACTTCCTATATAGATTACAATGTTAGACTATTACTAATAATTTCATAGTTTTCTTTATTACAAATCATTTTAATATTTACTATTATTAATTATTTCAAGTGAATTTTAATTTCTCTTTAACAGTTTGATAATTCATAATAATTTATAAAAAATAATATAATAATTAATAAAATAATATTTAAATATCAGTGCGGCTAGTTATATAATAAAATTTAGTAGTTAAATGATTTTCAACATTCTCCAATGCCTCGTCCCTTTCCTTTTCGCACCTTTTTCTTTTCCTTGCTTCTAATTGTTTTTAAGATTTGCTTTTTGGCACCTTACTTACTCGGAGAGGTTTCCATTCTTTAACGTTTTAACTTTATTTATTTATCTATTTTCAATTTAGTAAAATTAAATAGATTAAAATAATATTAATCAGTCTTTCTCTTTTTCTTTTTTTTAATATCTCTCGTTTAGTGCATGTTTGACAAAATTAGTTGTTCTGTTCAAATGGCTTTTCATAAAGTACAAAAAATTTAAATGTTACAAAGATTAAAATTTTTATAAAATACTACTTTGACATATTCAACAAAATTAGTTGTTCTGTTCGAGTGGCTTTTCGTAAAGTGCAAAAAATTTAAATGTTACAAAGATTAAAATACTTTGACATATTCAACAAAATTAGTTGTTCTGTTCGAGTGGCTTTTCGTAAAGTGCAAAAAATTTAAATGTTACAAAGATTAAAATTTTTATAAAATACTACTTTGACATATTCAACAAAATTAGTTGTTCTGTTCGAGTGGCTTTTCGTAAAGTGCAAAAAATTTAAATGTTACAAAGATTAAAATTTTTATAAAATGCTACTTTAACACTTCAAATGTTACATCGAATGCTATAAAAAAAATAGTGTTTGAATTGCTTTTTATAAAATGCTAAAAACTAAACGTGTTAAATTTTATAAAACAATGCATTAATCTTTAAAAGTTAGTTCAAATGCTATGTTATGAATATTATAAAAAATAGCGTTTAACATTTTAACTAATTAGAACGCTAAAAATTATTTAAAAAATTATTGTCAAACGCAGTCTAAATTTATGAAAATTTCATGATAAAAATTTAAATTCAAAATTTCTCATCTCCACATATTCCTTAAAGAAATATATAATAAATACACTAATCATATCATATCTTGTTGACGGTATTACAATATTTCAACGGATAATTTCATAAATTGAAAACTCAAATCGGAAAATTGTTTAATTTTATATCATTTTTTTAAAAAAAATAAAGAGATCGATCAAACTGTATCATATTGACAGTCTGATAATTTTTCAACAGATATAAATGCTAATAATTTTTATTGGTGTCTAAAATATTGGTAAATAACTAATGTAGTATAAGTTAATAAGGAATTATGTGAAGTATATACTTTTGAGTATATTCAGAATTAAGGAATTATTCGAATTATACGTATGGAATACATTTATAGTTTAATAAATTTATTTTAAATAAAATAATAATTTTTTTGAAGAATATAAAAAATAATGATAATTTAGATCAAAGAATTTAGTTGATTGAATGTAGTAATAAACAAAAAATACAATGAACAATATGGATAAGAACATCATAAGAAAATGCAGGTAATAAAATAATACCTTTAAATTTAATGATAAGGAAATAATCCCTGTGATAAAAAGACAACATTTTTTTGATAATTTTTACTAGCGTAATATCAAAATCAATAATTACAAGTTTATATATTTAATATGACATTAATTACAACATGGTACTTGGTAATTACAAAATAAATAGAAGTCAATAAGAAGAAAAATTACAAGAATTGAATATATTAATATGAAAATAGATAAAAGTTTCAAAGTTTATATAGGTAAAATGGTAAGGGTTTTATAAATATAGACGTGTTCGAGTGAAGAATATAAAATATATATATATTGATATTTGTCGAATTTATAATTTAAGTCATGATAATCAATTTCACAAATGCTCTTTATAGTTAAGATATCCCATTTGGATTAAGCTTCGTATATTTATAAACAAGTCCTTTGGTATATTCAACTTTTTTTTTTCATTGTATAAGATTATGTATAGTTTTCAATTTATTATTTGAAACAGAGATGACTTCCTTTTTAATGATGGTGGACAAAAGTAAATATATAAATTTATCTTTTTTATAAAATTTTTTTCTTATTTTTAACTTTTACTTTAACTTGTAAAATTACATTCTTTAAACACTTTAATTTAACCCATAGAACACTTTTTAATTTATGAAATTATATCATCAAAAATCTTAATTTTAAAGGCATTATAAGTTTTGCAAAGTTTAAGATATTATAAAATTTTTTTATAAAAAGTACAACGTGAACTTATATACCTAATTGGATGGAAAAAAAATGGATTTCAAATTATTTTAAAACGTCGTGTCATAAAATTATACTTGAAAAAAAATATTATTATGCATCATATTTATAACCATATCTTTTTTCTAAAAGCATTTGAGAAGGTATAATTAGAGAAAAACAAGGAATATATATATATATATATATTGTTAAGTAAAATAATTAATGTACTCATAAAATATTAATATTAATAACTGCTATTTTTCTAGCAATTAGCTAGAGAAACAAATAAAAGTAACGGCCATATAGTTTTTAACTTTTTTATCCATAATATGGTAGCCGAAAGGCCAAAGCGGAAAGATCCAAGTTGCCAACCCAATTGAAAACGTAACCGTAGTCTTCAAGCAAATGACGGAGTCAAAATTTCAACCTACAAAGTTCCCTCGGAACTGTTATCTATATAAACCCCTAAATTAATCATCTTTGCTTTCACGCTCAACACACAAGAACTAACACTAACACAATCTCTAACTTCAGTGTCTTTAATGGCGAAACTAAAGATAGCTGGGACATGGGTTGGTGTGCTAGAGGTAGAATTGGAGAATTGGACGGTTCACATGCTGAGAGAGGAGGTTGCAAAGCAATCAAAAATGGGTTCTGAGTCGATCAATTTAATATGCGCAGGCAAAGTCTTGAAAGATGGCGATGGCAATGAAAAGCTTAGCCAATTGGGTATCAAAAACAACTCTAAGATTCTCGCCAGTCGTGTCTCTATTGAAGAGGGTAAGTCTTTGAAGCAAGAGTTGATGGCTGACGAGGAACGCAATCGTAGACTCGCTCGAGTCAAGTGAGTTTTTGCCTCTCACGCGATTTAGCTGTGGTTTTTGGCTTTTGAAATTGGTTTGATGTGTTCATCGACAAACTCAAAAGAAAATTTTTTATGTCCTCTCTCTTATTCGATATGCTTATGCCTATTTTTGGTGTATAATTCGTCAAAACTTTGTTTCTTATTATGGAAGTAATTTTGATTGAAAGGTTCTTATCAACGAATGTTTCTCAATGATGCTATTCATATCTTGTTTTATGTTAGTTGGATTGCTGGTTATGATGAGTTTCTGAGCTAGTTATATGTTTTTGAGCCCTTGATGTCTTGATGAATTTCTGGGGTTCCTTTGAACAGTATGACTTCGATGCTCAGTTGAATGAGTAAGCTAAAATTCACTACATTATTTGTTATATTTGTTGTTTTTATTTAGACTTAAGAATTTGCTTTTCTTCAATAGTATGCTAAAGTTTCACTTGGGTTGAAGTAATATATCTGATTGAGGCAGTTCTTTATGGTTGGCAATTCTTTATGGTTAGACTTCTTTATTTTCCTGGTCAGAACAATTCTCCGTGTTTTCTTTCTATTGTAAGTTGAAATTGATAAAAAAGAAAAAAAAAAATCTGAATAAGCTGTCATCGATCAAAAGGAACTTTCATTTAAAATAAAATCTTCAATCCTACAGTCTGTAGCTTTGAATATCTGCTCTTTCGCAAGCACATTTTTTATTATTTAATTTTAAGGTGCATATATTATGAGATGAGATGAATCTTGGACCTTTTCTGTAGCAAATAGTGTAAACTCAACAATGAGTGTGTTAAGGTGTATCGTGCTGCCATAGCAAAGTCTTGATGCTACTTGGTAATGAAGTCTTGACTTTTCAACTGTACAAGTATTCGGTTTCTGTTGGATTGTTCCTTATGTTGATTTCCATAGAGAACAGTACCTTCTCGCACTTTCTTAAGTTTCCTGCTTGGACGCATCTACATTTTTCTAATTTAATGTCTTGGCTTCGTTCTTAATTGGACAGGGCATCTGTTACTGCACTGTCCAAAAGACATGCAGATGGTTCATTACCAATTGAGGACTTCAATTTAGAACTTGAAGATCAAAGTGGGCAGAAATTGCACTTTTCGGAGACTGATAGACAGTATGCTACTTATTCTGCTTGTGCTTGCAATAGTTCTAGGTTTTATTTATATGAGGATCTATCCCAACTTTGATTGGAAATAAGATTTTTAACTGTTTTTTGACAGGGCTATAATGATGGGTCTGATGCTTCATGCAAATGGAAAGGGACTAATCAAAAGGCAAAAGTTTAAAGATGCTCTAGAAGTGCTCACCATGGGAGAGGTTAGTTTACGTCTGTATCTAGTTGAGTAGCCAATCTATCTTAAGTGTGTTCCAAATTTATTTCCTATGTCTAAACCCATCAATTTTAGCTAGTAATAAGTGGCCAACTTTTAATTTTGAGCTACGGATATACCTATTGTCTCTTTGTGCCTTTTCTTTTCCACTTAGACTAACTTAATGGATTTCTCTTCATTCATCATAGATATTTTGACATTGTCTGTTATAATTGCTGTAGTTTAATTTATGGTTGCAAATGACTTTTTATTGAAGGCTTTCTCATACTTATCAAATGATTTTAGACTCTCATTGAATTTTTTTTGTCAGGATAGTTGATCTTTTATTATCAATTCCAAATTTTTCCAGTGGTTTAGAATTCAAATCATTGTTAAGTATTTTTTTTCTTTCTTTTTCTTTGTTGCAGGAATCTTTTTCTCTTTGCAATCCCAAGTCCATCGAGGTCAGTAATTCATTTCTTTGCTATTTCTTTAGTTTTTAAAATATTTTTATGGTTATAAAGTTCTCTTCAATCTTGGGTTGTGTTGCTTCTAGCTCGTTGACAATATTCCAATACTGCAAATAGACATGGTCTGGTGCTATTTCATGCTCCGTGACATTGCCTGGCTCTCAGTAGCAGGAGTACGCCTTGAAAAGGCTAGAGAAGGACTTGAACGTGCTCATGGAAAGGACTCCTCCCGTTTTAGACTCCTCCAAGCAGGCCGCTCGTCAGAGCTTGCGCTGTGAGTAATTATTAGCAAAGTAGCACCATGCTATGGCCAGAACTAGAAATCAGAGTAGTCTTGGTTGGCAATTAGAGGCTATTTCTTTTGAATATAATTTTACAGGTATTTGAGACTGGAGCTGTTGGAAGGAGTGGTGGCATATCATAATGGCCAATTTGATAAATGTAGGAGGTTTTTGACCTCTGCACAAGCAAAATTCTTCCAGGTTAGACATAATGTGTTCTTTTTCTTTCCCCTTCCACCTATGTCCCCCCCAAACCTCCTCTCTCTCTCTCTCTCTCTCTCTCTCTCTCTCTCTGACTCTGACATGAAATTGAGAAGACCAAACATATTGAATTATATGTTTTTTTGTAAAAATTAGAAAGGGCTGCCAGGGTTTGAAACCCCAAACCCTTGCATTATGAGGCAAGCAACCAACTTCTGGACTGCTAGCCCAGTGGCAACATATTGAATATCATAACTCTGTTATTCTATTCTGAGATAATTGATGATATTATTAAGAACTTGTGTCTGACTTTCAAATTTTGTCCACAAATAACATATATGCATTTTTTGCAACTTTTTGAGCAAAGCAAAACCTCCATGCTTGCTTGATGTACCAACACTCAAGACTCAGACCCCTAGATGAAATTTCAAGAGATAGCGTTTTTACATTCATAATTGGATTTAGGAATACTCTTCAAATACTGTGTTTTTCTGCGGGCCTTTGTATTAAGGGAAAAGAGAAGGGGTGGGGCTGGTTTCTGAATGATCATCAACTTTTCTCTGGTGTATTTGAATTACTAGCTGATTTTTTTACCTTCTTCTCATTGTGCTCCGCCTCTAACTCTCTTATGGTACAAGTAATATAGCATCTTTTCATTTTTATTCTCCTCAACATAGTTACTTTTGGTCGGTTCCAGTTACAAGTGCAAGACGAAGCCTTATCAATTGTTATGAGCATGGGCTTTAAGGAACAAGATGCAAAGAGGGCATTGAGGATGAGCAATCAGCATGTTGAGAGTGCTATTAATTTTCTTGTCGAAGAGAAGGAAAAGAAAGCAAAGAAACGGGAGGACGACATTCGTCGAAGAATGGAGATTATGTAAGTATCATGAATTTGGCATTGTTTCTATATGATATTATTTTGTGTATGTGCTCTTAATTGGTCTTATAATTTCACAGGGAGCAACAACGCTATGGAGTAACACCCTTAAAGAAGGCCGTCGATCTCCAGAGATTGAAAGAGTTGGTCTCTATAGGGTATGGAGTTGTAATATAGTTGTTAAGGATATGCTTATGGAAACGTAATATCCAATGTTCAAAAATTAATTTGGGTTCATGTTTAATATAATTTCTTCTTCTATTGAAAACTTATTTGGTTTTGGCATTTGGGACTGCTGCTTACATGTTGGGGCTTCTCCATTTGGATACTCTAAAAATTTAATGCTCATCTTTCATGGTGTAATTTGTATTGACTCCCAACTATTTGACATATAGTATCCACACAGTTTAATTTTGAGGGCGTTTTCCTATGTCAAATTGAAACTTCAATTACTGATGCATCAGGTTTGAAAAGGAGCTTGCTGCTGAAGCTTTACGAAGAAATGAGAATGACACTCAGAAGGCATTGGATGACCTAACAAATCCAGTGACCAATACTACCATCCAGGTTGGTTTAAGGTATCTCATGAAAATTTTGAGTTGGATTTTTATTTTAAAATTGCAGCATCACTAACTTTGTTTGACCAGCAGCGTGATATAGAAACAAGGAAAAGAAAAAGACAACAAAAAAGAGAAGAGAGTAGAGTTGAACGGCTTATATCCATGGGTTTTGAAAGATCAAGAGGTAATAATTAAACACTTAAACATTATGGTGCCACTGATTTTTTCGATCATTAAGACAGTTTGCTTACATGTTATCTTGTCTGACCTCCACAGTGGTTGAAGCTGTTCAAGCCTGTGGCTCTATGGATCAAGCAATGCAACAGTTGCTCGCACAATCGAATCCTAACCCCACAAATGCTCCTGATAGCACTCCTGGGTTACCTACTAATAATGCCTTGGAGGGTTTGAGTCAAGATGATAGTGATAATGATGTTGCAGGCCCATCAGCCAGCGAAATTGAACAGAGGGATGTGGAAATGGAGGATGAAATTGCAGATGAAATAGCAAGAGCAGATGCCTTATCTGATTATGACATTGAAGTAGCAAAAGAAGGTGAAGCCATAAACGAGTATTTAGCATTGTTGGATTCCATGGGCAGCAGCAAGAAAGCTTCATCTTCACAGTAAGAAGAAAACATGTTAAACCAATAATGCAAAGTTTATTTCTATGAATAGATATGTCAATAACTTATTTAGCTTATGTTGATGAGATGGAAGGATGCTTCAGAAATCTGAGAATTGAAAGTGAAAGTAATCTATGTAACAACTTTCTACTGACCAACGATGCAGAAAAAAGGGCTGGTAATAGATCATGTGTTAACCTTTCTTATTTTCAATTTTCCATTTTCTTGTTTTTTTTATGCTGTAGGGAAAATGGAAAAGCCTTTTTCTCATGCCCCAATAAGCAGCCCCAATCCTAAATCTTGCAATGCATTTTGTTAAAAATGGCTAAATCACCAATTGAAATAATGATATGTGGCCCTTTTTATAAAAATCTTCAATTGGCCTCACGAAAGGAGAGAAGAGAAGCCTAATTTATTTCTGGATTGAACAAAAATAAACTCAGAGTTCTTACCAAACAAATCAAGTTTACAAGAATTAAGCTGAACAGTTATATGCAAAAAAAAAAAAAAAAAAAATTCAATTTGGCCTCAACGAAAGGAGAGAAGAGAAGCTAATTATTTCCTGGATTGAAACAAAAATAAACTCAGAGGTTCCTTACCAAACAAATCAAGTTTACAGAGAATTAAGCTGAACGAGTTATAATGCAAAAAAAAAAAAAAAAAAATCCCTTAAAATAATGGATTTAATTAAAAAAAAAAAAAAAAAAAAAATCCCTTAAATAATGGAATTTAATTATAAAAAGTAAATATATCTATAATATATAAATAAACAAATGTGAAAAAAAAATTTACAAAGTCATTAATAAATTTTTTAGTAGTTAAATATAAATTTATTTACTTTTTAATATACAAACTGGTTTCTAATTATTATACCGTTTATTTTTCATATTCAATTTCATTGCTTACCTAATTAATGTGTTTGCAATTCTTTCTATTTCATTGAATTACGATAAATATAAGAATTTACATGTTCTCAACTCAATATCACATAACATAGAAGCAAGTATATTCCAAGAAAAAAATTTTAGGTGAATGGTTTTAATTTTTTTTCTTTTTCTTATTATTTTAATATATGGTATTTTTTTTATCATCATTAGATGTGTCAAATTTATTGCTATGCATAAATATAACAAATATGTCTTTAAAGTAAATTAATTTGTGTTCTTCATTTACTAGATAACAATTAATTTTGTAAGTTTTTAGAATTTTAGTAAAATTATACTACTAAAATAAAACTATTTATAGTGGAAAATTTAAAAACTTGTATTGATATAGAAATTTTTTTAATTTTGAATTCATTGTAAGCCTAATGAGTTAAAATAACACTGCGGAATACACAAAAGGTAACCTTCCTCTTAGCTTATCAAATTTGTCAAAGTGTAGTGGAGAGGTCTCTCACTCTTCATATAGAATTTTTTTTTTTTTAACAGTTAGATCTAAAATATTTAAATATAAATCATTTGATATAAAATTAATTAAATTAACTGGTTACCTCTATATAAAAAATAAGGTATTTTTACCCTACAAAAAACGGTATTTTTAATTTTTGTTTAATCTAATATGTAGTTCATTTACTCAAACTAAATTACTTAAAAAATTAATCTATAATTATCAATTTTTAATTATCTTATCTTTAAAATATTTATCATATATATTTATGCAATTGAAACTAAACGGTATATACATAACATCGCATTTTTTTTAAAATATAATTTTTAATTTTTATTGTCTATTAAGCAATAACTTTATCTTTACTGAATTAAGACATTTAACGGCAATAGAAAGTTGATTTTGCAATTTGATTATGTTTATGGTGGTGTGCCCCTAAAGTTCTGCTTTGTCCTCGGTTTTTGCTTTCTCCGCCTTGGTTCCTTTGAAATCCTTGGGAAGAACATTGCAGTTAATGGTGTGCCATACGGGTCTGTCTTCCTCGAATAATCTGTCGCAAATTAGCATGCACACAATTCAGAGGACACAAAAATTGCACATTGCCAAGTGCATCTCGGACTCTAGAGAGGCTTGATGTACGTAATTGCGGAACAAAAAATTTAGTCAGTGAGAGCAATATATAAAAAAATAATACAGTGGGAGTAAAATGTAAAATTTTAATGTCAATCAAGTGATGGTCTAGTTGATTTTCTCATATCGACCATAGTTCAAATTTTTGACTTTCTAGTCATAATGACGGAGTAACTTTACCGTTACACTAAACCGACCTCTTACGTGATCAATTGTTAAGCAATTTATGTAGCACCAGAGAGAGTGCCTACAAGAGGGGGAGAAAGAGGACTTACGGGTGTTTGCAAAGCATTGGGGATTGTATTGTAATGGCATACTTGCAAGTAGAAAGCTCTGTGATGGAACTTATCCTAGCTTTAGGCTCTGAGCATACAAATCTCACCTGCACATTAGCACCTGAAGGTAAAGCAATACACACACAAACTATATATTACATAAACAAAAAGAAGTAGAAGGCCAAAAGAGGCTATTTCTTTATTCTATACCTCTGTTTCACGGGGCTGATTTGTAAGGTCACACATGGTTCCATTTGTATATTGATGAACATAATACCTATACAAACAATTTAAATTTTAGTTCCTACTTTTATCTCTTTTTCCTTCGCCAAAAATGAAAATTTTCTCCTAATCCAGTAAATTCATCAACAGAAACCCATAACATGTACGTTCTTACCTTTGAGATGCATCTTTTGCACGAGGATCTTTCAATGTAGAAATTTCAGAGAGATTTTGGTTGAATGCTGCAGTGGCTTCTTCGTCGTAAAATCCCAAAACAAATTCCTGTGCCACCTGTAACGACAGAATACTTCTCTCAATGACAAGGAAGCTTAAGGTTATCAATGAAACTTAGTGGTTTTTGGAGTTCTGACATATACAATCTGATTAAAATTTTAGAAAACAAGTTCACTGCCTGTGATACCAAACTCATCAGAAAATTAGTTGGAAGCATAATCGGAAGGGTAAGAGAAGAAACGAAAAGCTGCTTGAGCAAACTACCATTCGATCTTCGAAATGAACTTGCCGTAACTTCCTCTGGTAGCAGAATTCGTAAGTCCACCAACCCTCTTGCTGCACAAAAAACAAGCGTAAAGTAACACTTCACGAAATAGACAAATTTGTTTAAGAATGCAAATAAGAACAGTTACAAGCATTATATCTAATTCGAATCGAGAAATAAGGACTGCTCATCATATTATTGTACTCGGAAGGTGCTATATAACATCAGTATGCTCAAGATAGTTGTTCACAGCAGATACTAACACTGGCGATACATTGATCTTTCAACACTTCAAGTAGCTCATCTGGTGTTCTCAGATTGACCCTTTTCTCGGTTTCTACAATCATGCCGCTGCTCATATTCAGTTGATTGACGGATTCTCCACTCTTGGCTTTCTCCACCTTTGGCAAGTAACATAAAAATTTCTGTCCGTTTTTTTTGGGCACAACCACCGACTCCTGGTCATCATCCTGTAGAGTTGTTGGCATTCATATTTATGTTAAAATAAAAGCAATTGTTCTGAAGTTAACATAATCCATAAAAATATTCCATTCCATGCACAAACTTGGAGTTGGAGGGAAGTTGATCACAGGTTCTATTTGCATCAAAAGAACAAAGTGACCACTAGGTTGCTGTAGCAAAACTTTCACCGAAGAAAATAAGTGGTGAAATGCATTATGGCTAAATTAAGGATGGTATATTAGACTGATCAGAATAATTATGGCTAAATTAAGGATGTTAGCATTGTGGCTAAACTTTTCTATGATATGCAGGTTATTAAGCAAATAGATGAGAATAAGCCTAAGCGTTCTTACAGGATGGAAAGGCGAGTCTTCTGGGTGGAATTCAATCTTATACTTCGGATCACGAGAGCTACGACTGGATGTACCGCTACCGACTGCCAGTTGCAGAAAGTTAAAGCAGAACAACTGAATATAACAACAGAAAGAAAGGAACTTGTCCTCAGGAAAAGGGTATTGTTAGGAAATTATTTAGCAGGAACATATATAGCTGGTACGTAATTCGCTTATAAAGAACCAATTGATTAACATTTAAGACACAATTATACTTAACAGCCTCGCCATAACTGATGGAATGTACCAAAACAGGCATGGAAACTGCTAAATTCTAACACTTCCAAGAATACACTGTAGTATCTTCGTTCTGTTTTTAGTTATCATGTTCTGCACCAGGTAGATGATAATGAAGACTTACTTACCCACAATAAGACCTAGAAGGATCTCATCGGCTAAAACATAGTTGCAGAAAGTATTTATGACAAGAACTAACCAAAAAATTCTCATCTTTTCTGTGGTTTTCTTCTTCTTTGTCTCTAATTATATCTATAAACCTTCAAACACACACCAAAATTTTTCAGCTTCTGGGTTTTGTTGAGCATGCGACTCTTCCTACTCTTAGCATGTGACTAGTGTTGTTGACTTGACGAGGTCAACTTCTACGCTAATGACCAATCATATTCGGCCACGTCATGGACTATTGACTTACGAGATCCACTTCTACGCTAATGGACGAATCATATTTGGCCAAGCCGTGGGCTATCATGACTTTTTTGGCATGCTGAATTAGAAAATTCGATATGTATCAAATGAAAAATTATAAATTAGTAACATAATGTGAGAGTAAGCTACACTTACAGTTTTATTTTAATCCCTTATTTATTAAAATTTTTCTAAATTTATAATAAAAATAATACTAAGAACAATTTTTTTAATATTTATTCTAATTATCTTCTCAAAAGCAAATTATCTATATTGAAAGTGGAAAATTTACAAAAAAGTAAAAATAGATCATTTTTGTCCACTTGGAAAAATTAAATTTTAATCTATAAAGTAAAAGATAAGCTCATTCATCTAAAGAAAAGATTCAAACCTTTCATATTTTCAATTTCCCACTTTTCTTCTGTATGGCAAATGGAAACAACAAAGTTTTTTACTGGAGATTCACAAGAAATTCACTTCATTCATATCAGAATCTCCTTCCTTACCCATCTCCCATATATTCCAAAATCATGTATCTTTGCCAACGGAAATGCCTAAGTGCAATTACTGGTTTCAAATCTAAAAATGTAAAAACAACAGAGAAAACTATTGTATCACGAAATGTATATGTATTGGTCATTAGATTCAATAGCTTCAACTTTTCAAAGGGGTGAAAAACGGTCAGTAAACCATCAAGAACATAAATTTTCACTGCATTAATTCAGTTAGTATTAACAGAGGCCCGCGTGTCCAGTGCACCACCTATCATTCATTTGACTCAGAATTAGATGAATATTCAATGCCTGTGACCATAATAATCTGCTTCTCTTCAGTTTTCAATTTCTCCGCCTTGGTTCCCTTTGAATCCTTGGAAAGAACATTGCAGTTAATGGTGTGCCATACCGGTCTCTCTTCTTGGAATAATCTGTCACGAATGAAATAGCATGCAACAAATTCAGAGGACAGAAATAGCCCATTGCCCCTTTATTTTTATGTTATTAATGTCATATACAATAACTGTCAGAACTAGAAGATGGTTCTAGGAACCAAAAAATTTTCAGACTGCACTTACTGCCTTGCTCCATTTAAGCAATATAATAATTGAAGATTTACATCTAATTTATAATAACATTTAGAGTATCAGAATACAGTTTTGACGAAATTCAATAACTCAGCCCAAAAACAAAAATAGTTACTTATAGTAGCATTGAAGTCCATTTTTTGTTACATTCTCATTCTTTTCCTTTTTTTTTCCAGAAGAAATGCAACGCATCAATCTAATTTTTAACCAAGAGATTGATTAATTCTGCCCTCCAAGCAAGAGAATTCATTCACGTGCAACAATCAAATTAGTGGCCTGCAACTTGAGATGAATTTTCTTTGCAACTAAGTTACAGCTTGAACTGTTTGAATGCCCCTAGCAATTTTGTTTTAATAAACAAAAAGCCAATAAAGAGGGTGCTTAAACATGCTCTATGCATTATGCTTTTAGACAGCATTTGATTATAAAACTTAAAAGTGGCTAAAGATTTCTCATGTCTTATCTAGCACCGGTGGTTTTTACCTCCACAAAAGAAACAGAGAGAAAGAGAGAGAGAAGACTTACGGGTGTTTGCAAAGCATTGGGCATTGTACTGTAAGGGCATACTTGCAAGTAGAAAGCTCAGTGATAGAACTAATCATTGCTCTAGGCTCTGAGCACACAAATCTCACCTGCTCGATAGCATTGAAGGTAAAAAAATATGCACAACATATATATTAAATAAACAAAAAGAACTGGAAGGCCAAAAAGAGGCTATTCTTTAGTCTAAACCTCAGTTTCACGTGGCTGATTTGTAAGATCACATATGGTTCCATTTGTATATTGATGAGCATGATACCTATACAAACAATTTAATTATTAATTCCTACCTTTTGTCACTTTCCTTCGCCCAAAACGAAATTTCTCCCAATTCATTAAATTCATGGTCACCACATGCCCATAGCTATGTGTTTGTACCTTTGAGATGCATCTTTTGCACGAGGATCTTTCAATGTAGATATATCAGACAGATTCTGGTTGAATGCAGCAGTGGCTTCTTCATCATAAACACCCAAAATAAATTCCTGTACGACCTGTGATGACAGAATACATATCTCAATTACAAGGAAGCTTAAGGTTATTCATGAAACAATTTTTTCAAAAATTGTAATTGTAGTAGCAATTGACTGGTGCTGTTGTTATGAGTATGACAAGTACTAACCATAGACACAGTGGAGTTTGGAGTTTGGACATATAAAATACAATTAATATTAACAAATAAGTTTACTGCCTGTGAGTCTCATAGAATCACTCCATAATACTAGCATGCTTCCATTTTCAATATCAAAGGAAGCATAATTGGAACACAACACGAGGAAAAAATTAAAAGCTAAACACAAGAGCAAGTTAAACATGCCTAAGCAATTTACCTTATCATCTTCCAAATGAACTTGCCGTAACTTCTTCTGATAGCAGAATTCATAAGACCACCAACCCTCTTGCTGCGCAAAAACAAGCATAAAATAAGACTTCATAAAATAGGAAAATTTGTTCAACAAGTTACGAGAATGCAAAAAAGAACAAACCACTAGCATTGTATTCAATTGCAATCAAGAAATAAGGATTGCTCATAGTATAATTGTGCTCAGAAAGGTGCTATTTTAACAGAGGTATGCCCAAGATAGTTATTGACAGCAGATACTAACTCTGACAAAACATTGATCTTTGAACACTTCAAGTAGCTCGTCTGGTGTTTTCAGTTTGACCCTTTTCTCAGTCTCCACAATCATGCTGCTTACATTCAGTTGATTAAGGGATTTTCCACTTCTGGCTTTCTCAACCTTGGGCAAGTAACACAAAAAATTCTCTCCATTTTTGTTTGGCACAACCATTGACTCCTGGTTATCATCCTGCAGAATTGTTGGCATCCATATTTATGTTAAAATAGAAGCAATTGTTCTGCAGTAACATAAAGAACAAATATATTCCATGCATAAACTTGGAAGGAAGACCAAGCACGGGCTCTATTTGCATCAAAAGACCAAAGTGACACTAGACTGTGGTAGCAAAGTTTTCACCAAAGAATTTAACCAAAACTAGCAAAAAGCATTATAGCTAAAGAAAGGATGTTGATATATTAGCCTGAGCAGATTAAAAGCTAAAGATTAAATAGAAAAGGCTACAGCAATTCACGACTGTTAAGTATCCAACCAGAAATCTGATAGGGCTCTCAGTACTATCAACCCTTTGCCATATGAAGTTTGGGAAATCATTCCTAATCTTTCAAGATTTTAACCAAAGGATGTTCCTTTTTTTTTTTTCCAAGACATGAATACTGTAAAACCAACAAATGGTTCAAGTCAGTATGCCTAATGTAACACTGCAATCTACCACCCCATTAAATTAATATCAGTAAAAAATTTGAGACATAGATAAATTGAACAACTCAGATTGACTTGATGATGATCATGGTAAGAAATTAGTCTTTTTTATGATATGCAGGTCCCGAAGCAAATAGATGAGGATAAGCATAAGCTTTCGTACAGGGTGAAAAGGTGAGTCTTCTGGATGGAATTCAATCTTATACATTGGTTCATGAGAGCTCCGACCAAATGTACCGCCTGCAATAGCAGAAATTTAAAACAGAACAACTGAATGTAAATACAGAAAAAAAAAAGTCCTTAGGAAAATCGTATAATTAGGCAATTATCACTTAATAAACATTTAAAACACAATTATACATGATAGCCTCTCATGACTGATGGAATGTATCAAAATAGGATTTGAAACTGCTAAATTCTAACTATGATGGAGTACTTTTGAACCACTTAAGTGTTTATCATTGTTGTATTTTTGAGATCTCATATTCTGTATCAAAGTTGTTTTGTCCTACTTGGAACGTTGAACCACTTTAAACTGGACAAGAAATCTAGATGACTTGTCCTTGCACCTAGTCACCCTCCTATAGCTTTATAAACCAATTGTCTTAGCTCTTACCAGCAGAGATATGAGAGAGCGGAAAGACATTCCAATTCCCAATTACAAGGATTAACTCGCATATTAACATGTTTGACATACTAAAATTTGAGATCATTTACATTAGCTTTAAGCTTGATTTCTACCCTCCATCCAAAAATCCAAATTGCTAGCAGGTGAATTGACAGCAGGAAAGAAGCCTCTAATCAATTTGACAAAAACAAATATTCCAGCCTAAAAGTTAACGTGACTTCAAAATTTCTGTTCTTTCCGCATTGACCTTAGACATTTTGAACGGCCAGGCTGATCACATAAACACCAATCACCATGCTATTCTAGAACTATACGAAAGGCAATCCATGTGAAAGAAAATTTCAACATCTCTGAATTTATGGCCTTAGCTGTGAGAGTGGAGGGTGTTGGGGTGACTAAATATAAGAATTGCAATATTTAATTCAGTTTCTCAGGAAATCACAAGCAACCAATAACTCTGTATTCTCTATAATAACTTCTAAACCCACTCACCAACCTTTTGGCACTCCTAGAAAAAAAAAAATTCCTTTAAAATTTCTGCTTGAACAACAGAAAATAGAAGAGAACTACAAAAACCCTAATAAAAACTATATCTGTAGAAGGCCTCGAGCTCAAATTGATAAACAGAAATAAAAGAAAGCTAAAATGAACAAAGAACAATCAACTTGATGATAATTAAAACTTACCCACATGACCTGGAAAGATCTGATCGGCTAAAATATGGTTACAGAAAGCATATAAGAAAATAATTAACCATAAAAATCTCATCTTTCTGTAGTTTTCTTCTTCTTTTTCTCCAACTATAATCTATGAACCATCAAAATCGCACACAATTTTTTTAGCTTCTGGGTTTTGTTGAGAATGAGAAAGCTGTGCCTATTGCGAGCATGGATCCGGTGTTGTTGACGTGTTGTCACCCTTGCGCTAGTAGACCAATCATATTTGACCACGTCATGGACTGTTATGACTTGTTTGCCATGCTGCAAAGCAATAATGGGCTCCATAATGCAAATAGAGAGAGATTCAAAACCTAGCCCACAGAAATTGGGCCACACAAAAGGTTCGGAGTGCTGAGCCATTGCTATAACCCAACAGGCTATTTCTTTTTTTTTTTTTTTTTGGAAGTTAAAATTGAATTAAATTGAAACCGGGCCCTAAATGCGTCAATTTGCTTATTAAATGCTCGAGACTTGATTTTAAACAGTACATTGAAGAAACTTAATGAATTAAATTTTGAATCTATTTATGGAGCTTATTTAATAAATAAAACGTGTTTTAAATATCTAAAAGAGCAAATTTTTTTATAGTTATAAATTATTAGTAAATGGTCTAATTTTGAGCTTATTTTTATAAATTGGTGTATATCTCTTCAAACTCAACAGAATTCCGTGTCGTGTACAAGGTTACTTAGTGGTTACTTCTCTTTGAAGGTTGCCACGAGTTAACGCAGCTGCCCAAGTTCCAGGTGGACTCCAAAATGGTCAACAACTTGACAACAGATGCAGACGGTGACTTGTAGCTTTTCTTGCCACGTTTTACAGTATAGTACACAGAATCTGCAAAGTAATGCGTTCTTTACAATGAATTCTTCCCATTTGTTCTTTTATTAATTATTATTTTATTTATTATCACATGCATAGTTTAAATTTTATATAAAAAATTCACACGGGCAGATAAATTATAAATATTTAATAAGCTTTTAAATCAGCCACTGAAAATTTGAAATCAATTCAACTCAATCACTTGTATTTTGAATTTTTTTTTATTAATTTTTTTTATTATTAATAATTTGATTTGTTTGTATATTATGTTTAAATTTTATTAATTTCATAAATTTTGCGTTTATGGTCCACATATTATTTTATATATTAATCGCACATTGCACAATATGTTAAAATTTTATATGAGAGCAAGATTCACAACGGGCAGATAGAATATTAAAATATTGTTTAATACAGCTATCTAAATCGACCACTAGAAAGAATTCTGACAATCAATTCCAAAGCTCAATCATTGTATTTGTGAATTTTGTTTTTATTATTTTTTTATTATATTCAATAATTTTTGAATTTGATTTGTATATTAATGTTAAATTTTTATATATTCTAAAATAAATTTACTAATAATAATGTAATATCCAAATTGAGCACATTGATTTATTAAAATATAATTATAAAAGTCTTAATTGATTATTTTCACTTAATTAAGAAATGAAGAATATTAACTTAGATATAAAGAATATTTTGTTACATGATCATATTATTTATCGAGACGTCTCCCTATTAAATAGGAATTATATTGATGAATGAAATTAACTTTAATAGAATGTCCGGTATATTTGTTTACCGTCCAAACTATAAATTCACTGAGCGAGAACAAAGTTGATCAGGCTATCAGCCCTGGATATGGTTACAACACAAAAATGAAATTTTTCATAATTATTTAAAGTTTTCCTAATCAGAGGGATATTAATAAGGAAGTAAAATAAGAATTGTCCTATAGTTTTTAGTGTTCGCTAGATGCAAAAAGTTCGCTCCTCTGTAATAATGTCTTTTAATTGTGAAGTTGACAACAAGGCGAACCAACGTAAGAGCTTTCCGTCCACGACGAAAGGAAGGACGGCAGTGGCGTGTGGTGGGTGTGCTGTGTTTGGGCCGCATCGGTGCATCAGTCTGATTTCCAGTGTCATTGATGGGGGCCACACTTGTTGTTCCGTTACACTCGCCTTAAAATTTTAATTATTATTTATCTTAAATTAAAGAAATGATATATTTATCTTAAATTAAAATAATTTTTACATATTATATGTTATAATAATTAATAGGAATTATATTTTGATGATGATTTTAAATTTTAATAAAATTCGGTATTTTTACCGTCCATAACTATAATTATATGCAACAACTGTTATCAGCTATCAGCTGATATGTACAACTAAAAAAAATGAAATTTTCATAATTATTTAATTTTTAATATATTTTTATAATAATGAATTTAAATAATAATTGTTTATATTTTTAGTTTTAATCAAAAAAGTTCGCTCTTTAATAATTCTTTTAATTTTTAATTGACAACAAGGTTTAACCACCAAGAAGTTCCGTTCTGCACGAGGGAAAGGGAGAGGCAGTGGTGTGGTGTGGTGTGGTGTGTTGTGTGGGGCAGTCTGTTTTCCGTTGTCAGTTGATGGGGGCCCACTGTTGTCCGTTACTTTGCTTCTGAAACCACATGGCTAAATGTGCCTTTATAGAGTGTGCGTGTGAGTGGAGACAACTTTGCCAGGGCCCCACATAACTTGTTTGTCTATGTCCAAGTCCAAGTCCACCCATTCTTCGAATCTGACCCCATTAGTTTTTGGTTTTGTCAATTTTCTCCCCAAAATTGGCTTATTTATTTCATCACATTTTTATTTAATAAAATAAGGAGCGAATCCCATGCAGAAAATGGCTTGGGGACCTCAATTGCGTTCAAGCATTTTCTTAAAAGTGATATCTTTAGATTATTAATTTAATAAATTAAACATTTTATCTTATGAAATATAAATCCTAACTAGTTGCAGATTTAAAAACAAAAAGAAGTTTGGGGGTTAAAATATAATAAAATATTCAGTTTTGTTTATCTAATTATATATTTTAAAAAGTTAATGATTAATAATAAATTTTTAAAATCAATTATTCAAGTATATCTTGTTAATAATGTTGTAATCTTTGATTGTATAATTGAAGCAAATTAATTATTAAATAGTAAAAAAATGATGATTATGTTAAAGAAGGCATCTTTTGTTGATTAAAAAAAACTAATTGAAGTTTTCTTTTTTAATTACTATACAATTGAGTTTCTCCTCGTAAAGAATAATACTAATTGAAGTTGTTATTATTACCTCACAGTGAATTAGTAGCTGATTTTATCATTATTATTATATCAAATAAATAAATAACACTTGAAAGCTATTTCAAATAAATAAAATTATGAATTATTTTGTCTTGAGTTTAATTAACAAGAATCTAACTTTTAAATAGAGTGTCAAGCACAATTATTTATTATGTCACTAAACTAATAATCAATGATATGTATTCTAAAAAAATTCATATATGATGCGTGGGTGATGAAATTTAAATATTTCATGAATTTTTATTAATTTGAGAAAAATAAATCACAATTCGTAATATTGATAATTCAATTATGATCTCAATATTATCATTTTAAAAGAAAAAAAAATTACCATTTTAAAATATAAAAAAAATTTCTAAAGCATTTTCACTGCATATTTTACATCCATCCATATTTTGCATCCTTCCAAACTAAACATAATTTTCTATTATTTTGTTTTTATTCCTCTAATCAATTGATTTTTAGATATAAATAACAGTTAATGGAGAAGTAATAAGCAGACAAATGATTGTCTATGTCGTTTTCCTCCAAGGGAAATCTTTGCCTAAAACTTGCCGTCAAACGTCCCCAAGATACTTGGAATTCACGGAAACATCAGGGCTCGTTACTCTATTTTCCGTAAATATCAATATTAAAAAATATAAAATATACTCATCATCAAAAGTTCCGTGAGAATTTTTTTTTATCCTTTCGATAAAACTGAAATATTATAAGCATCACAAGAAATTGGATTATCAGCTTTTTTGTTGCGTTCACGTTAAGCTGTCAGAATCTTAGAGATTACAAAAGCACAAACATTGGTCGGTCTTCCTTTCGTTTCTCGTTTTTTGCTTTTCCAAGCCTTCTTGTTGCAAATTTTCCCGTAAAATCTCTGATAACTGCTTGCTCTATCAACAATTTGTGTTCCCAGATAAGTTTCCTGCCAAAGAAGAAATCTTTCTCGCTCATTTTCTTTTTTGTTCAAGCAATATTTCTAATCTTTAACTTGGTGTCCTTTGTTGTTCTCTGAATTGGGGTTTGTTATTTCTTTGGATGAGCAATAATAAATCCTGATTTGGAGAGGTAGACCACGCCATTACTTTGTATTTCTGTTGTTTTATTCTCTGTTTTTCTTCATTTTTATATTCTTGGTGTGGTATGCTTAATATAAAATAACCCAATTGAAGAAAGATAGGTTTTTTTTTTTTTTCTTTTGAACATAGTTTGTAGAAATTGGCACTGGATTGGAGGTTACATTTGAATTTGGTACATGGGTTTTGTTATATAGGAGCTCGGTATTGATGTACTGATGTAATTGTATTCTATTTGTTATATATGTAATCTTGGACGGGCTCGTGTGTATATTTGTTGTAGAGTAAAATACTGGGGAACTAATGCTTTGAAGAATTATATGCAATAGTGGTTGTTGGGTTACAGTTGTTTGTCTTGTCTGGGAACTCTGTTTCTATCATTGTGTCATAAATTGTAGAAGGGTCAATAGTTTGTTCTACATTTGGTTGTATTTATTGTGCTTGTGATTGTTGAGTTCATAATGGGGAAGCAAAGTGGGAAGAATAAGAAAGGGGTAGCCGAGCTGTCAGGGGATAGTAATATGAAGCAAAATAAAGTTAAGTTCAATAGCTCTGAAGCCAGTGATAAAGACAACGAGATTTTCATTTCCATGTCTCAAAAATTGAGGGAGGAAGGAAACAAGCACTTTCAGAAAAGGGATTATCAAGGAGCTCTAATGAAGTATGAGAAAGCCGTTAAATTGCTTCCTAGGAATCATATAGATATATCCCATCTTAGGAGTAACATGGCAGCTTGTTATATGCAGATGGGTCTAGGTGAATATCCTAGGGCCATCCATGAGTGTAATTTGGCACTGGAGATCACACCTAAGTATAGTAAAGCACTGTTGAAGAGAGCAAGGTGTTACGAGGCTTTGAATAGACTTGATTTGGCTCTAAGAGATGTTTGTATGGTTTTGAACATTGAACCAAATAATATCATGGCAATTGAGGTCTCAGAAAGGGTGAAAAAAGCACTTGAGCAGAAAGGATTACGGGTGAATGATACAGCGATTGAACTGCCGCCAGAATATGTTGAACCTCCTAGCATTTTAACAAAGACAAAAGCAGTGAAAGAGAAGACGAGGAAGAAGAAAACTAAAAACATTAATGAGAAGAATGCCATGGAAGAAATTGAAGAAAAGAAGGTTGATGGCCAAATTGAGGAGAACCAGACTGAGGATAAGGCGGTTGTGGAGAAGGAAATTAGTTGTACAAAGGAAGAACCTAAGAAGAATGTAAAATTGGTATTTGGGGATGACATAAGATGGGCTCAGTTGCCTCTTAATTGCAGCCTTGTGCAACTCAAGGAAGTCATATCTGATCGATACCCAGGCTCAGGATCAGTTCTTATCAAATATAGGGATCAAGAAGGCGATTTGATAACAATAACCACTGATGAAGAACTGAAATGGGCTGAAGCGTCAGCTGAATCTAATGCCTCCATTAGATTGTATTTAGTCAAGGTCGATTCTCAGAAAGATCTATTCTTTGAGAAACCTGCGGGTGAGCGAGAGTTGCACAAACTGGATAGTGAACAAAATTTTGTGACAGATAATGGGAATGTTGAAAAAGCTAAGGAAGTAGAAAATGGATCTTGTTATATTGATGAATGGATAGTAGAGTTTGCTAAGCTGTTCAAGGACCATGTGGGCTTTGATTCTGATGCATATCTGGGTCTTCATGAACTTGGTGTTAAGGTATATTCTGAGGCTATGGAGGAGACAGTTACGAGTGAAGAAGCACAAAACCTTTTTATCACAGCAGCAGCAAAGTTCCAAGAGATGGCAGCTTTGGCATTGTTCAACTGGGGTAATGTTCATATGTCTAGGGCAAGGAAGAGGGTTTACTTAACCGAAGATGCTTCAAGAGAATCAGTGCTTGAACAAATCAAAACTACATATGATTGGGCACAAAAGGAATATAGAGAAGCAGGACAGAAATATGAAGCAGCATTGAGAATCAAATCAGATTTCTATGAAGGTCTTCTAGCCCTTGCGCAGCAGCAGTTTGAGCAAGCAAAACTTTCTTGGTATTATGCAATTGGCAACAACATTGACTTAGAATCATGGTCTCCTGAAGAAGTTGTACAACTTTATAACAGTGCTGAGAATAACATAGAAAAAGGCCTGAAGATGTGGGAAGAATTGGAAGCACCAGGCCAAAGTAAACTTTCCAAGTCACTTAAGATTAAACCTCAATCAAAGAATATGGGGTTGGATGGACTATTTAAAGATTTATCACCTGAAGAAGCTGTTGAGCAGGCTAAGAACTTGAGGTCACATATTAATCTCCTATGGGGCACCATACTGTATGAGAGATCGATTATGGAATTCAAATTAGGGTTACCAGTGTGGCATGAATGTCTGGAAGCTGCAGTTGAGAAGTTTGAGCTTGCTGGAGCTTCCCCGACAGATATGGCTGTGATGATAAAAAACCACATTTCAAATGATAATGCGCTAGAAGGTAAATCTAGACTGCAAAGAAATTTTGCGTCAAAAAAAAAAAAAAAGATCATCTTTAAGATGCTAAGAGATACATATGCTGATTTCTCTGATTGCAGGTCTAGGATTTAGAATTGATGAAATTGTACAGGCCTGGAATGAGATGTATGAAGCCAAAAAGTACCAAAGTGGGGTTCCCTCATTCAGGCTAGAACCATTACTTCGGCGGCGAGTTTCAAAACTTTATCATGCTTTGGAGCTTACATGAGGTGCATGCTTTAGAACTTCGATATCATGCCTGCATACTTCAACTACCACTGATGATACTCTTGCATGTTAAGGTACATCTACAAAAGTAATCTCTCTCTCTCTCTCTCTCTCTCTATTTCATAACTGTATCAATGCCTGTTGGGAGCTGTTAACATGATGGCCTGGCCGTAATTGAGCTATTGAAAGAAACTTCGATATCATAGGCTGCCAATACTTCAACTACCACTGGAATATCTGGAAAAACTCTTGAATTTAAGGTACATTCGTACAAAATAATGCTACTCCTTCTCCCTCTTCTCTCCCAATATAATAATATAATAGGATATAACTATAATTATTGAATAATAACAAAAGAGTGCCAAATGAATTGACCACCTTGCGCGACGCATTTCTGGGAGATGTAGATTCAGGTTTATTGTGACTCTTGTTGAGGGTTGACTTCCTTACTTGAGATCAAGCTAATAAAAATATGTAGAGAATGCCGTTCTAGTAATGTGCAGCAATGTATTGTTATGCCTTAATTGAGCAATGAGCGATGTCCTACACCAAAACAGAACAGTGCTAGCGCGCTTAGGACTGAGATTTGTGTATGTATGTCTGCTTGACTTGTTACCCTGCATATATCTTTTTTGAGACTTCAGACATTCCATTCATGACTAGAGCTGCTCAACTATGCTCACTTACGTCGCTTACTCTGCAGAAGCCTATTTCATAGAATTATATATAATAAAAAGATGCCAAATGAATGACACTTTGCCGACCATTTGCTGGGATGTAGAAGTTCAGGTTATGTACTTGGTTACTTCTACTAGAAATAATATGGAAGCTCTAGTAATAGCTGTTCTTTTGCAATACTATGTCCTACCAAAACAACAGTGCTACCTTAGTGCCTTTTTGTATTTGTTTCTGCTGTTCCCCATTTCTTTTTGAGACTTCAGCTTCATTCATACAAGCTGCTCAATTTATGCTCTTACTCCTCTGAAAGCTCTATTTTCATAGAATAGTTAATAGATGTTTCTTGTTGAACAGCTTTTCCTTAAGAGAGCACTGCATTATTAGCGATTTATTGGGAGAGAAGTTTTACAGATCCAAAGTTATATCTGTTTAGGAATTGTTGTGGAAAAAACTCTGGCCGGACCATAGACTAATTCTAAGATTTTCCGCATTTTAAAAGTGTATTCTTGTCATAAACTAGCTTTGTATTTATTATTATAGCTGTGACAAAGAGAATGTTCTGCCCTGGAGAGATCTGCCACTGTTAAACTTGAAAGTATCAGAGAGATAAACATGCTAGATGAATTCAAATATTGGATAAAAATCCAACTTATACACATTAAATTATATTTGAATTTATATATGATAACAGGAACATCAAGTTGATAACACAATTCAGTAAGGTGCACCACATTCCTTGACATCGTTAATGCATAAGATATTTCTGTCTTGACCTTGGTGGATTTATGGAACATTTATTCTTCAATTTAAAGATGCTCATCTTGTTGGACTTCTGCTGCAAACTATGCAGAAGGATTCTTTTATCATTTTCCTAATGCAGTGTGATTTTTAGTACAAAAAGTTTTCGCTTTCAATATTTGGATCTAGCTCCTAGGCTTATAGGGAGAGATTTTTTTTCCCCAGCGAAAACTTCAGTGTCAAATTTAGATTGCCTGTTGATGCTATCTTTTGTCTCTGCTATTTTTGGCTTAATGCACTCCGATAATATGCATCTTCTTTATGCAGTTATTGCAATTGTCTCCTCGAATCTCGAATATATTTTGCAGAGCTTCATTTTGACTTGTTTAACCCTAAATATATGTTGTGCAGGTATCTTTCAATTCATCTTTTGAGATCCAGTTTCAGTCATGTACCTTTAGCAGTTGCTCTGGAATTCCACTGTGCATTGTTTTTACAAAATAGGTTCTTTTATTTATTTTACTTGATGGGGACAAGATGGAAGTAGCAGGATTTCCTTTTTTTGTTCTTTGCTGCCTTCACTTGCAACTTCTCCATGCTGTTTAGTCTAACAGTCAACAGGTCACGTGATATTTGCATTCATAATTCATTTGTTAAGTAGCTGCAATAATACATAGCTTGGTTATCATCTTAAAAATTTGTAATTTGTAATTTGTAATTTTGAGTTTGATTGCAACCTTTGTATTTGCTGCTAGTGATGTTTTTTAGTGTGAGAAAATTTACATTATTGACTTATTTTTACCAGATCAGTCAGTTGCTACTTTGCTCTACAAGTTTGATCTCTCTTAGATATAGATATCCTGCTGATCCTCAGATTGACAGTTTCACAGTCAAATTGTAGTTTAGATTTTTGCATACCACAGTGTTGGACTAAATTTAAAAATGTGAGCTTTGGAACCAAAAAATAAGCTAAAATATGTCTTCGCCTATAACATCTGATGAAACAACATAAGCAACTATTTACAGTTCATATAACAGCGAACCCATATTTACATACAACATTGGCTTTCTGCACCTTTATCACACCCCTGTGCCCAACCCGCTTGTTTCTTTGCAAAATAAATCTTATTTAACTGTACAGTGAAGCTACATGAGGTTGATGACAGACTATATACAGTATCTTACAAGCGCTTTCAGTATTCTGGCCGAAAGCTTACCAAATTGGGGAGTGCAGTTAGCTGAAGTTTCTTGATTTCTGATGCAGTCACCTTGCAAGACTCCAGGGATAATGAACGTAAATTTTTCAAAGGCTTCAGATACCGCAATCCCTCGTTGGTTATAAGAGAATTTGAAACATTCAATGACACCAGTCCTGTCAGTCCTGCATTTGGACAAACAACGGCATGAGTCAATCTAGATAATCTCTCAGTGATTCTAGTTGAATTCTGATAGAGGATCATAGGATTTTTAATTGCAAAAGGGAAGCAGGTTGTCATATTCCCAACCAGAATGACAATAAGTGCTTGAACATAGTAAGAGTAACCTTAAACTGCCTTTATCACCAAGAGTCTAAGGAAAATACCACAAAAGCAACCAAAAGGTCTCAGTATAGTTCTCCACAGTGCAAATTTTGTCCAACCGAACAATGGTTCAACTTATTTCAACATATTCCACAACATTTCAATTTTTAGCTATATATATTGCACAGGCATGAACAAAAAACATCCATGTTCCAGGAACAAGCATTCAGGTCGGTCAATGAAAAGGATGAACGGTTATAGGCATTTGTGCTCATCGAATCACTAGAGCACCATGGATAAGTTGCAATTTATTGGTCATAAAACATGCAATGCAGCATGACCATCCAATTGTAACTCGTACAGATGCACGAAATGGAACCATACAAAATGGATGTTTTAATTCTACTTCACATCATTAGAAACGAGTTTTATTCACCAGCTGGTTCAAGAAAAAGCATATATTTCAAATGATAAAAATAAAGTATTACCGGATATCAACTCCAAGGTTTTGTCTGTAAGGTTACTATTTTGTGATAGATTCAAAACTGTCAGGTGAGCTAGCTCTTTAATATTCTTCACCCCTGCATCAGTTAATCCTCCACCACAGATTTCAAGGGACTGGAGATTCTTGAAGTCTGCTTAGAATAAAAAACACATGGGAGTAAGAGAGCATTAAGTAACAAGATACACTGGCTGCCCTGGTGTGCCATAAATGCATAGGTAGTATTACATGCATGTGCATGCACAGACACAAATAGGGAGCAAATAAACACCATAACAAATCCGTTACAAGTTCTAAAATTTCAACATCAAGATATTTAAGAAAATATCTACATGTATAGCTTATGCAAAACATTTCAGCCACTATGGTTGAGAATTTATAGCTGAAATCTGTTAAAACCAGCCAAAATGGCTGGCCAGGCTTTATCCCAAAAAAAAAAAAACATTTGATAATTATGCCCTTCTTAAGGCCAGAGCAAGATATCTCAACTGTTCTGGCAGTGGAACAGAATTGACTGCTTTTAACTAATAACTTTCTCCAACAGTAGCATGTATCTTACATTGCAAATAATTTGCTCCAGAGTCTGAAATGCGAGCCCCAAAAAGATCTAGATGGATCAAACCCGTCAGTCCTGCATTGATAGTACCAATAAAATAAGGCATCACAATAATATACAAAGACAAAAAAAATTGAAGCAAAGTTAGCTTCAAATGCAACAAGTCAAACACTGGTCTAACTTTGAAGTCAGCTTCTTATGAAAAATGAAGGTTGCTGCATCTAAGCTTGACTAGACTTCAATGGTTTATTAATAGACAAGCATGGGTACACAAAAGGCTGGCTTATATTTCAGTTATAAATATAAATCCATAAGATTATCGCACACATTCACCAGTGCCCAGCACGAACATAATTTGTTTAAAAATATACTTGATGTTCATCATTAGTAGTCTTTGTACCAAGTTAATATTTTGGATCCCCAAAATAAAACTCCCAATTAGTATTAAATCATTCAAACTTTAACACTACTTTCAACTTCCACAATATTTCCCTTCTGAACATCCCAAAAGGCACAAATTTGATGAGGTTACTTGTCCTTCCCGTGTTCACTGGTCCTCAACATAAAATTTCCTCTCGTTTTCAAAATTGCAAATACATCAACCAAAAAGTACTCCTGATAAATATAACTATATTATTTCACCAAATCCTTTAGGACACAAGCATACCTAATGGCTCAGCTAGTTGCATAAAGTAAAATACTTGCATTCATGTCTAGAGGCATCTCAAGGTATCAATTAACGCTTACTTGTAAGGGCTCCAAGTCCAGCATCTGTAATCTGGCGAGCGTCCAAGTTGAGTGATCTAAGAGATGTCAATCCAGACAACTTTTTTAAACCATTGTCACCTACCAAGGTGAACGACAGATTTAAGTCCTCTAGAAGAGTTAAACCTGAAAGAAGAGAATGAGGTTAGAAGTCTTCATTGCGTTGTGCCAACAAAATGAACATGCATGGAACATGCGTTGTGCCAAAAAGGGCTATTCAATCCAGCAGACAGTAGATGAAATTTTACACAATGATCAGAAGTGTTAAGAAAAAGGGAGAAATTGATGCATGATTGCTTGGAATAATATGTAGAAAAAGAGGGTGGGAGGGAGGATATTAAAATGAAGACATCAGTCCTGAGAGAGAGAGAGAGAGAGAGAGAGAGAGAGGAGAGGAGAGACTGCAGCTGCAGAACTTTCTGCAACTTATATCACAGTGACGCACAATGTTATGAGTCATGCAAGACAAATAATAGATGGTAACTGGAGTTAGAATACAAACCAGAAAGATGGCGGAGCCCACTGCTTCCAACTTCAGTATCAGACAACTCCAAACTTTTAAGCGGAAGGCCTGCAGAGAGAACCATAGAAGTATAGAACTACTAAAGCCAATCACATACTTTAACTCAATTGTAATCCAGAGAAAATTCTCTCTTTTCAGAGATCCCTAATAAAACGAAAGTAAAAGTAAAATTAACTGTAAAGAAATGACAACAGCTATAGGAGAAACAATACATTTGTAAATTCAACTTTTTGTCAGTATCAAACTCCAATATGCCATAAAATATTATAGTTGACACAACAACCATCAAGCATATTAGCTTCCTGCATTCCTTAAGATGGACAAACAATCTAGAATTTGAATTCTCCTAGAAGAACATGATCAACAAGTGTTGAAGATCATCACTTGAGGTTCACAACAAAAAAAAAAAAAAATGTTCAGAAAGGACAAGAAGAAAGCAATTTAAGTTGGTTTTTTGATTTCCTGAGGAGTTTTAACAGAGCAGAAAAAGTCATCATGCAAACAGTATTGAAGTTCAGTCACCCATCATCAGTGATCACATTGGCAAAGCAGCAACGCAAGTAACATGGAATAGCATACCTGTCAAATTAGCAAGTCCTTCGTCACCAATTTTACAAGAGTCCAAGTTCAAGCTTTCCAAGTTTCTTAAGCCTGGAAGGAAGCAGAACCAGACAAGTTTATGGTAAAACAACATCGTCAATAAGTTTCGCTTATGGCCCACATGTATAAATAAATAGCTTATGATATTTTTTTGTCAAGATATGTAAAGTATCCAAGATGTGCAATGAACATTAGGTTAAAGATTTGCAACTATCTACTTGTTAATTAAGGGAAATGCTGAAGGATGGTCCCCTAGTCAGCAATAATAATATCTCAAGAAGATGATAACACTAAAAAGAATGGACATATGATTGGCATACTAAGTCAATAAGAAAGTAATGCAAATGAAGCAAATTTGCACGCTATGCTAGAACTTCTGACTTCAGGGCTTTTCACTTCTTTCAGTAACCACCATCAGATGAAAAACTGTTACAACTTGAATATTTCAAATAGAAGTAAAGTAAATGCAATTCGTTTACAATTTTCCTGGGGATGATAGCATTTTGAAATATTGTTATGGGACAATAATGCTTTTACCTATTTCACCAAAAATAGGTGAAAAGGATAATAAGAAAGAGAGAGGGAGAGAAAGAGAGAACACCTTTTAGATGCACCAGACATGCATCTGTTATGTCGTTAAATCCCAAGCTCAACACCTTCAAGTTTTCCAGTCCTGCAGGCAAACAATCAACTTGTTAACTAAAGATCACCCTCTCTTCAACCATTAAAATATAAAGAAATGTAACATATTCCATTGATCAAATATGCGCAGGTCAAAGAAAAGGCAAATTTCACTCACCAGAAAACTTATCCCATCCATCATCTGATAAACCGCATCTGTTCAGGTTTAAGTATGCTAGGGTAACAAGAGCTGCAAAAATAACCATTTATCTACTCATGAACCATAATTGAACATTAAAAGTTCTCAGAGTTATCTTTCACCAAAATTTGACAACTCCTTGAGCAATTTTCATCTGAAACCCATAGCTAATTTGATGGGAAACGATTTATCTTAGTCTCTAAATTCATTCAATAAGTTCAGAGAATCACTAACTTGATTAAAATTATAGTGAGAATTCATAATCATAACAAACAATATTGTTAAAAGGATAATAGAAAGGCCAAGAACTGAAGAGAGAATCAACCAGAGATGGAATCCAAGCATGAGGTGGTAACATTGCATCGCTCTAAGTTCAGCATAATAAGCTTCTGCAACCCTGCCAAGCACAGATAAAGATCCAGTCACTTCTTAGAACAGCAAATATTTTCTTGAGAAAAGGGGAAGTTTGATACTATTTTAAAATAGTCTAAAACCAATAATTAATGCAGCCAGCTTTAGCAAATGGCACCATGTTGGAGTAACATATCAAATCCTCGAGAAAACAGCAATAATTACATAACAATATATGTTCATAAATAGAAAGCCTCGTGTAAGATTATGTATGAGTAAAACTCGACCCCAAGAAAGTAAGGGGAAATTTCAAGGCACTACAAAAAAGGTGGAATAAGCTGTGCAAGGATGGGCTAATTATAAGATACCAAATGCATTAACAAGAATGTTTATAGAATGACCATCCAGTGGAAAAAGACCAATCATGAAAGTAAATACAAAGCATCGTTTCAGAGTATGGAATGCGTACATAAGATGTGTCACCAGAGTGAATGTTATGAAGTAACCTATATTGTAAGATCCCTTTCACATGACCTAGATAACAGAGATTAAGCAATTTTTGCACCAGTTTTTCTTACAGTAAGATGTGTCACTAGAGTGAATAGTATGAAGTAACCAGAGTCAATACATAAGATGTGTCACCAGAGTGAATGATATGGAGTAACCTATATTGAAACATCCCTTTTACATGACCTGGATAGCACAAATTAAGCAATTTTTGCATCAGTTTTTCCTACAGTAAGTTGATTTGGTTACATATCGAATGTTGCCCTATTATACTATGAAGCTCCTTTGTGTCTCTTCTTATGCAAATGGCATAAGACATCAAAAAACTTTGGGAGGCTCTGAAATCTTGTATTGCTCTGATAATGCTTATTCTGCTGATTACCTTTCCCAACTTTCATAGGAGAAATAGTCACCACTGGAGAAGAAGAGGTAAATATGGTTGCACACAAACATATAAAAATTTGTGGAATGAGGAGAAAAGTAGCCGTTGCGGTTGCCATATGATTATATAAAAAACATAAAGTACCTCTCAAATATGAAACTCCAAAATCAGTAACGTTAGTATTGGAAATTTGTAACTCCTTGAGGTTTGTAAGACCTGAAACATTGAAAAAATGAGAATTGAGTGAAACGGACCCTAATCTGACTCTCTCTCTGAGAGAGAGAGAAAGAAGATGGGATGATGAAAAAAAGGGGCACATATGGCAAAAAAAAAAAAAAAAAAGAAAAAACAAGCCAATGAAGGGTCTCTTCCTTTTAACAATCCAAAGACAATAACGGAGCAATTACTCTACTATAGCAAATTATCAAACACATGGAGTAACATCATCAGTCATTTCAATTTCAGTCCCTTAGAAATGGCAAGCAACGGCTAAAAGAATAGGTGAATGGATTCCATATTTTCCAGTGGAAAAAAATGTAGGAAGAACAATTACCTGAGAGTGCCTTAATGTCCAAATCTGTTATGCATTTACAGCATCTCATATTTAGAGACTCTAGTTTGATTAATCCTGGGGACAACAACAAAATAAGAAGGAAGAAAAATATAATATTAGAGCCATTAAAATAAGTCTAAAACATATGCTGCATGATAATTTCTGAATGTGATAGACCAACTGCCAATTACAACTCCATGTGAAAGTCAAATGGCATCTCCTATTGTGTCCGAAAAATGACAATTTCTGAAGAATAGCTATAACCAGCAGCTTACTCTTCACCTATATATAATCATACACCTCAGCAGTGGTGCAGAAGCAGGTTAATCTAAGCTTCTCTTTTTTTTTTTTTTTTTTTTTCAGAAAAAAAGAAAGGAAAGGAAAACTAGAGAAAGAGAGAGAGAGAGAGCATGCAAGTGCATGCATGTTCCCTCATGGCACCAGTGGTAAAAAGGTAAGTACTGCTTGCTTATATCAGACCTGGTCTTCAAAAGAGGAGAAAGAAGAGGAGGAGAAGGTCAAATTAAAAATGTAGTTGCTAGCCTAAATACTTGAATGATACTTACAGACTCAGAAAAATAAAGCACATGAGCAATGCTATCCAGACACTAAAATGTGCAGACCCTTTTAAATAACAGCATATTCTAAAAATACAAATTAATTCCCTCTAAGAAGTATAACGACTAGAAGCAATATACTCCAGGAAATGCACCAAGTAAATATAAGCTTTCATATCACATGATATACAAACCTTTGAGATGAACAAGTCCACCATGAATCCGGGGACACCTTTCCAAGTCCAACTTTTCTAGGTTAACCAAACTGGAAAAGGCACGCATTCCTTCAGCAGTTACAGCATTGCACTTTTTGAAACTCAAACATGTCAAGTTGGTAAGACCTAAAAGAACAGGATCACAAAGATCATCTATGTTATGCAGAAAATAGTGATGATTTGTGAAGCAACAGAATAATTATTCAAGAGATAAGTTACTGAGAAATAGAAGATAAAGATGCTAAATGATATAATGCATGAATCAATACAAAAAAAAGAAGATAAAATCTATAAATTCATAGTAGGGAGATCAAGGATACAGAGCATCATACAGGACAATATAAACCTTGCAAACACCATCACTTCACAGAGTACAAACAGCACATAGAACAAGTACTAATTCAGATTATCAAACTTTTGCTGCATTTGAATTGCAGAATACAACTAACTTCTGCTATTAATGCTTCAACATGCATCTAGCATGACTGCAACTTCTCAAATCACAACTGTTGACAATTGTTCCATACATAAATTTCCACTACAACTATATGCTCAAAATGGCAGCTTTTAATATGTAACAACTTTATATTACATATCCTTTTTTCTTTAATAGAATGCTTTATACACATATCTTTTTGTATAATAAACAAGTCAAAATTGAAAATCAGAGCAATACATGGGGACTTGGAGAACAACAAAGAAGACATTTTCAACCAAAAACTCGAATAAATTGCTTCTGGTATTATCATAACCAGTTTTTCTAGTCATGATATGTATCAAGAATTGCATTATCGTTATTAACTACCATGCAAAACAAGTACTGTCAAATGATGAACTGGTACAGGAACGTATAGTGTTGCAACTCAATATTTTACTGAAGGCAGAAGAAACTGTAAATATGACTAGAAGAAAATCAACATCATCTCATATACTTGCATGCACGCATGTATGTAAAAATTACTCCATCCATTTCTTCCAGCAGTTTTTTTAATTTAAATAGGTTAAAGTAAATTTCTGTAGAGTGATGTAATCTGTTTTCCATATAAAGTATGACGTTAACATCTTAAATTCAGAGATTTAAATCTAATTCTATCAATTAAGAGGTAAATTCAATGAAAAGAAAAGACCCAACTTCCAACTATTTGGCAGCTACCTTGAGCTCTATTTTACAATTGAATGCACCTGGTACAGTGGTACTACAATTCAATTTGCAGAAAAACCTTATAGCCACCTAGGATTTTGCGCGCAAAGAAATTTCATTAAAAAGAGGATGACTGTCAGTCAAGATTATCAAATCCAGACAGTTTTTAAGAATAAAATTTTCAGAAAAATATAGTATACTAAAACAAAGAAGAGAAAAAAGATACAGGTTGTAGCAACGCAATGACCAAGCATCAGAGAGCAAATAAAGCAGTACCACTAAAATGATTCAGTCCACTTTCAGAAATGTGGTCACAATGGTTTAAAGTAATGACTTGGAGGTTTGAGCAATCTTTGAGAAGACCCAATCCAGTATCTGTGACGTCAGAATCAGAAAGATCGACAGAAAGTAAAGATGATCCTTGTGAGGAGACAACATCCATCCAACTATCCTTTACTCCAGGATATTCAGTTAAAAGAACATCCTGTCAATTTCATGTAGAAGGTTAGTTGAACAACTGAAAAGCAAGTGCAAGTGTAAACTTTAACCAGATTAAAGAATTTCATTTCTGAAAGGATCCACAGATTATATACCTGAAGAGCACAATCTCTGAATGTTTCAAGAGAAGCATCAGTAAGGCAACGTGACAGTACCAATTCATTAAGGATTTGCTGACTTATATCCCTTGGAAGAATTGAAAATGAACTATATTTGTCGATATCCTACACTTCAGAAAGTAAAAGATCAGACAAAAGAAATAAGGGAAAAGTCTCCAAGTAATGCCAAAGAAGTCTAGCAACCTCTCGTATTTTGCGTATGCATAATTCCATGAGGGATGGGCAACTGCCTCCTGGCTGGAGGTCTGTAACATGTCGAGCAAGTGAGTTTCCCAGCCATTTTGAACTTCCACTTTTACTATATCTTCCGAATACCCCACTTCGCACCCCTACCTCTATAGCCTGTTGATCTCTCTTCCTTGAACAAATTCCACCCATTGATTGATATCCCACCAGCTAACAATTTATCTCATTAAGCGCACCGAACAATAACTGCAACCAATTACCAAATCAAAGCATATAGCATTAAGACCAATTCATTCTATACGATCCAAACAGAAAACATTAGATAATTAACATATTTAAGAGTACAGAAAAATGTATTTCAAATGCCTATAAAATGCTCGAATCAACTATGACTCTGTTCGGTAATTTTTTCCAACTTTTTTTTTCCTTTTTTGGCTATTAAACCAATCAAATCACTTCTGCAAATACAATCTCAACTCAGTGGTGCAACGAACAGAACTAGAGATTCATCAATAATAAAATTAACTTCCTTAAATATTCTTCAGAAAAACCAAATTTTAAAGCTTTATCCCACGTGCACGTGCACACAAAACCTCCTCAATTTAATATAAGAGTAAGTGGAAACACAAACACACACAACATATTATACGAGAATACAACATAACACAATTAACAAACAGCTGTAAGTTTTTGAGTCACAACCCATGAAGCAGAATCATCTTGATAGCTTCAAAAGTTGGAGTAATTAATAATACCCATTCCAAGAAAAACCGTCCCAACACTTTTAAACCTTAGGTGATAATTTACTATTATAATTAACCAGTGGTATGTAAATGCTTATGGGAATCAACTCCTAGGAACCCCATCATTCCACTCCACAATTCAAAATTTACACCAAAACTCAATCCTTGAACATGATAACCATAAACAAAGAATACTTGTACAGTTGAAACGCAAAAGCTGTTTTCCAAAGAAAAACTATCCTTGATCAATTCTGATTAGTATACCAAACAAATACAAACGAAAATTAAAAAGAAAAAAAAAATGTTGATTACACTGTACCTAAAACCTGTAAGCAATAACAAGCTTTGAAATGAATAGATAATCAAGTAAGAGAGGGATAGAATTCAGAGACTCCCTTTGCAAAGACTGATAGCAATCACTATAGGGAGAGAGAGAAGAGAATGAAACTGAAAGCAAGAAAGCAGGGAGGTGGGGATTGGTAGGAGGAAGGGAAGAGAAGGAGCTGGAGTTCAGAACCGTATGATGGCTGACACGTGGTAAGCTGGTGCGATTGATGAGATAAGGACGTTGTAATAAGCGAGAAAATGAAAGCATTTGTAGGGCCTAGTTGCTTTGTTCGGCGGGAGAAATAACCGGAACATGCACAGAGCCGTAGCTCATAACAGAGTCGTACGACAGGCCGTTCTGTCCCTTGTTATTTGTCACAATTTGTTTTTTTGTCACAGAATGCCAACGTTTTGTGCACACAGTCGAGTTATGGGAGACTGGTTCGCCAAATAGCATACAACAAAAGGTAGACGGCAATGTCGTTTTCCCATTAGCTCATCACAGTTTATTGAATAAAAAATTGAATGAGGCTGAAACTAAAATTATTTTAATGTTGTTTTCAATGCTTTCTGCTAACTCTATTTTCAATGAAGTTACATCAGCATGTTTAGCTTTAATTTTGGATTTGGTTTAAACTGCTAAACTCAATAATTAGTTATTGGTAATTGGTAATTTCTTCTTAAAAAAACATTTATGATACCTTTTTATTAATTATCACTGCTATAAAATTTCATTTCATAACTTAGTTGAGTAATTTCAAATTCATTATCTTCTTATAATCCATTTTCTATGGTCAATTAATTACTCTCCCAGCCAAATTCTCAATTCCTCAAGAGGCATCTCAACTTTTTAAAAAAAAAAAAAAAAAAAAAAAAAAAAAAAAAAAAAAAAAAACACAATTGTAATTTTCTGTTAAATTTAACAGTTTTTTAACTTCTTTTTTTTTATTATTTCATTTAGATGATACTTCTATAAAATTAAAAGTATTAATTATTTATTTCGATCTATCTATATATAAAGCAACAGTTGCTGTCGTTTTTAAACGAGCAATCGAATGAAATGGCATCAAAGCCTCCAGCTTCTTTCTCTTCTTTCAATCTCAATAAAAAATATCCATTTCAATTAATGGCATATCATCCATGCTAGAACTAAGAAATTCGAAAATATACATATATCACCCACTTCTAGAACATCTAAGAGTTTTCTTTTATAGAATTTTGAAAATAATAATAATAATAATAATACGAGCATTAAAGCATCCAAGCAGAATATCATAATTGGAGTAAAGCCAAGAAATCCAAGTGAGGATTGAAAACCGCATGATAAACCAATTCACATGATATCAAGAAGAAAAAAATTGTAATTTCACATATGAAACTTCATGCTCAAATCTCACTAAGTGGATCGGAATCAATGTAAGGAAGAGACAAGTACAAAAATAAACAATGAGGAAGAAGATGCCACCAAGTGGAAGAGTGGAAAAGGCTCACCCTCAGACTGCTACAGTTGTATGCTAACTGAATGTAAATCTGCCATTAACACTGATGGCTAAGTCTACGACCTTATCAGAGTAAAATTTTTTACAAGAATACCGCCATTTAGGGGGGCAAAAAGAAGCAACAATCAATTACATTACAAAAGGTTAATCAGATGCAATATGATACAATACACATCAGTTTCAGACTGTATCAAATTGAAACATCATCATGAAGCTGCAACAGTACGAGCATTGCTCCGTCCAAGACCAAGACCCAAACCCAAAGGAACGCTATCTGTTTTGGACTTCCCATGGTTACTATGGCTGCAATGCGAAGAATGGACATGACCTTGATGGACTTTAGTGTCGGGATTCACATTAATGGCAATGTGGCCATTGCCATTGATGTGAGGAGAGTGTACATCCCCATTTTGCGTGCTTGAATTCCTCATCACATGCATCATTGCAATCCCCTCAGAATGTGGAGAATCTTCAATATACTCCACATCTTCATTGTAGCCATTGATCAAGAAATCTGAACAATTCTTTCTGACACCATGATCATATGGATTTCTGAAGCGACCACTTGGACCTCGAAGATAGCTGTAACGCATCGCATTGGCCATTTCATTTGTTGTTATATTGCGAGATATCTGTGCCAGGACAGAAAGGATTCAGCAGGTGTTAAAGTAACAACTAGGGCAGTAAATGAGCCGAGCCACTTGTGAGCTGCTCGAGATTCAGCTTGATAAAAGCTTACTTGAGCTCATTCGATAAGCTTATCAAGCCAAACTATCAAGCTCATTAACTTGCAAGCCAGCTCACAAGCCCACTTTATCGAGCCGAGCGTAGTTCGTGAGCTAGCTCAATTAGCCAAGACTAATTAGATCTACAACAAAATGATGTTGTTTTGGTTTGATAGATTTCGAGCTAGAGCTTGAACTCGGCTCATTTAAAGTTATCAAGCCGAGCTCGAGCCTAATTATTTTTAACTGACCGGAGCTCGAACTCACTAGAGCTGGGCTGGACTCAGATCATTTACAGCCTTAGTAATAATATATACACACACGCGCACACGTATATATAACAGCAAAGCAAAAAAATCCAACAGCTAGAACTTCAGTTATTTATCACATCAAGAACTAAGTGCATCCACATTGCTCAAGCTGATGGATTTACTAGTTCTGTAATGACTGGTGCAAGACACACACTACTTGAAGGCACATGAATGCAGTAAAAGAGGACAGCTAGACTTACCTGAGAAGCTTGCACGACCGTTAATACTGCCACACCGAAGAACAGGAAAAAATCCACAATCAGAAATGAAACAGCACCAGTATGTTGAACAACAGCATGGTTTATCCATGAACCGAATGTAGAGGGAGCTGCTGGATCAGTCAGAACTCCTACATCCAGCAAAATATTCTCCATCAGCCAAGATAAACTCCCCAAGCAACCAAAAAACTTTAGAAAAATGAAAAAGTTGAAAGATAGCTTGGATTTAAGAAACCAATTAATCACATACTTGTAAGAGCCACCCCACCAGTAAGCAACATTGCTGAAACTTCTAGAACAAGAAACACAAAGAAATCCCATTTGTTTTTCTGCATGAAAAGCAGGAAACAAACCAATGGTCAACAACATGGTACTGATGTCAATTTTTAGTGTGAAGCATGAAATTGTAACATGGTATTCCTACCTAGGAAATTTCAGATCATATACGTAGTAAAAATTCATGCAAAAGTCCAGCATTATGTCATAATTATTTTGCACATATTCCAAATAGCCAATGATTATAAATAGTATGTATGTTGAAGATTGATTCTAGGTTGAATGTTATCATACTAATTATGGGTGCAACCAAAGTCAAATGAGTAACTTTTCATATTGCATCTTTTCAGAAAGATAAATTTTATGTTCTCATCGACAAGCCATCAGGTGAAAAATGTTTGTGCAATTGATGATATACACACCTTGCCGATACAATTAGATACCCATGGGCAATGATGATCAAATTGCTCAACACAACGATCACATGTGGAACAGTGCTTTGCACGAAGAGGTCTAACAATCTGGTCATCACAAAATAAAAAACCTGTAAGCAAAAACTAAACATGCCCATGGAAAAGACAGAAAAACATTTCATAATATTAGTTTTAAACAAGCCACCGGGATCAGCACTTTGAAATAATATAAAGCACCTTGCATGTTGCACAAAGTTGAGACCAATTTCCAGCTAGCAATGCAGGATTATTTATTTCGATCTTCAAAAGAGGTTCCTGGCATAAAATAATACATAAATTGATAAGTAATTAGAAAATATACAATGCATTCTGTCTCTTTTTCACAAGGGAAAAAGAAAAGACCAGCATGACTTGAAAAAAGGAAAGATTGTGTGGATGGGAAAATAAACGCATCTTTATGGATGATACCATAAAGAGACAATTCTGAGTGTTATTTTTGTGCAGGTCAGGATTTTTTTTTTTTTTTTTTTTTTTTTTTTTTTTCTGGAGTAGGGGTGAGGGGTGGATTGTCAGTAAGGGGAAATGAGGTATTTTTTTTTTTTTTTTTTTTTTTCTGGAGGAGGGGGAGGGGTTTGGATTGTCAGTAAGGGGAAATGAGTAAACTACAAAACATGCTAGGTGTAAGGAATGAAACTCACATCATCTTTCATGTTTTCTGGATCATGCACATTCATTCTAATGTAACCTGGATCCTTCCTGCAAAGGGGTAAGGATGAGGAAAGAATGAAAAAGATAATCGAGTTAAATGAGCTTAGCATGTTTCATATCCAAAGGGGAATAGGCAAAACGAACATACAGCAAAAAAAAGAAAATAGAAACTCGTGTTCTCTCAACAATACTATAATATCAGAATGGAAGTGTATGCAAGTCTATATTAACAATAAAGTAAAATCATCCAGGCCATTCCTTATTGCAACAAATCTGGGCAAGTAAAATCCTTTCAATGTAGCTTCATTATGGTTGCTCCTTGCATATCTTCCAAGACAATGTCAATTTTGTGCCCGCACAGCTATTAAAATATGACGATGAGCACTTACCCACGTTATGCCACATAAAGTAGCCTTCAAACTTACATAGGAATCTAACTTCATAGTTCACACCTCAATCTCAAACATTACACCAATTTTTAGTACTGATATTTTATTTGGCGTGAAAAAGAATTAGTAATTACACAGATTGTTCGGATCTGATAATGCAGACATAACTAAAGTCAACAGCTCAACCACTCAAAATGTTAGCTATGGAGCATACCTGCTACACCTATAAAACATAAATAGTCCAACAGTTGCTAGGAAAACACCCAACCAGGCAAGAAGGCCAAAACCAGCTGTTAACCTTGGTAGATTAGGATCTGCAGCATAGTAATTAAAATTATCAAAAAATAAAAAATGTAACCTACTCTTGATTATTATTGAAATATAATGAAAAGATAGGAGCCAATACCCATAATGACAGAATGAATAAAGATCACCAATAGTAGCAGTATTACAGCCCAAAGTACAGGAGCAAGTCCAAACTTTGAGAGACGTCCAAGGCGGCTATTCCCATCACAACGTTTGTCAAGTAATTTCCTAGAATTCCCCTGCATAACCATATTAAACATAGAATTTATTCTAGATTAAACTTCAGCAATTCTTATAGAAACTTTCCAAATTTCTTTAGAGATACATAGAAAAATCAAATGAAATAGTACAGCATGCACACTTAAATAAGAGTCACCCCATGCATCAATATACACAGAACGGTAAGTTACTTCACACAATGCATTTCTCATCACAAATGCAGAATTATTCTCATGTCACCATTAAGGAAACGAGTGTAGGTAGCTCTAAAGGGCTTCACTCTTCTTTATAATAATCATGTTCTATGAGGATACTTGGACATGGATACAATACTTCAGAACTTCAAATTGATAAGAAAAGCTATGAAATTTTGGTGAGTTTGTTCCCAGACATGTACCCATATTCAACAGTCATTCTTGAACCAAGCAACATGCAGTAAATGCAATATAACAGACAGAGCCACTACGAGCAATGAAACAAGCACCCTTTCTATGTAAATCTACTATTCTGTTGCATCTGCCAATTAAACAAGTGCAGATATGATGTATCACATCAAGTCAATAACTAAGAGTCCAAATATGAGACAAAAATATCAAGAAAAGCAAGATACTGCTTGTCTGAGCAACCTTACTAACCAATTAAAAACTATTTTGGTTATGGAGCACCTACAAGGAAAAAAGCAACTTGTCTGTGGTTCTTGTCAGAAGCAAGCTGGGCTGGTGTAAGGCCAGTATTATCAGTAACTATTAAGTCTTCTTTCTTGCCAGCCTGTACTAACACTGTGCATGCCTCCAAGTTACCCCTAATTGCAGCCCAATGGAGAGGGGTGCAACCTAATATGCAAATATAAGAAAAGAAGAAATAGGAAATTTGTCATAGATTCATCCAAAAATATTTTTCCCATAAAATTGTATTGAGAAATAAAAATATTAGGCATGTACCCTCTTTATCCTGCCGTCCCCTATAAGCATCCAGAAACAACAGAAGGCGTATGCAATCGGCAAAACCTTTATAAGCAGCCCTAAAATTCTCCAAAAATAAAACAAATGAATGAAATAAAAAATTCATCATCTTAATCACCGAATATGGGGAATATGACAAATTATTTAACTCAGGAACTATTTAATATAATGAACCATAAAGGAAATATAACTCATTTAAACATTTAATATGACTAGCAAGAAAGCTAAATTATTAATCTAAGCACATAACCACAATAATATATTTGCCAAAGTTATGACAGATTGCATATTTAACTCACAAACCAAAAAATACATATGAACTTCTGAAGACGTAAAGAGCAGAAATGGTCCACTAAAATAAAAGGGATTCAGGAACCATCGCAGTAAGAAATAAATAAGTGGAATCAATATCTTTTACTTTACTCTTTTTTTTTTTTTCCCTTTCCAGCAGCTAGGCTATAAAAATATGTGTTAACTCTCTTCGCTATTGCATCCTAGGTGCAAATGCGGTTCAAATATTATATCTCTTAAAATAATATCATGCAGTTTTACTGCCCAGACTACATGGTAGACAACACATTCCACCAACAAATCTGTTCAAATAACAAGACAACAAATTATAAATCAATTTTAAGTAGTGTTACCAAAAAATTAGAAGATCATAATGAATTTTGTAGAAGATAAAGAAAATCCATAAATTATCATCTCTATGATACAATTTATACGTACAGAATATGACCAAGAGAATTCACAAGTCTTGATTATTGAAAATGTAAAACATAACACAATTTATAAAAATTAATAAATGACAGCTATATTAATCAATAAAATAAGGACCAAAATACGCAATTATGCAAATTAATAAATAACACTTCACAAACCATTCATGATCATGATTGAACAGAAATACTGTAGAGCTATCAATAATATATATAACAAACAGCATCTGAAGCTATTACAACCATTTAATAAAAGGTAAAGATACAGAAGAAGTTATCATTTACCAGTGCAAAGGGCTTCTTCCATCATTATCAGGAACATCAGGGTCTGCGTTCCATTTTGAGACAATGTGATAGAGGAAAGCTGTCTGACCATATTGAGCAGCAACATGTGTTGTCTGTAATTATGTGGAATTAGTATTGAATATTTTGTTTCCAAATAATTCACACTCGAAGAAAAATCCAAACTGAAGTAATTAACATCCAGCAATTTTAAAGCAGAATAAAATCAATGCTACAAAATATACAGATCTAGATTGTTGTTCTCTTTACAAGTTTTTTTTTTTTTTTTCTAACTGACTTTCCATGTTTATCATCTTTCCTGAATTTAGAAACTTTGTTCTGATAACTGCTAGAATATAAATCTAACTTGCACATAGTTGTTTGTTGCTAGTTTATCAACCTAGCTTCTCTGATCTAATTTTGAAATTTTGGCACAACATGATTTTATCACACTTTGAGTTAGAAGACATGACCAAAATGCGAAAGCTACAAACTTGGGGCGATAGCATGAGCTTATCTCAGCACTTATTGGCAAATGTACCTAAAGCTTGGGATAAATAGAAATTATACATTGATTATGTACCTCGTTTTCGTAAATCAATCATTCATCAAGCACGAAATCTCTTCTGGATGTAGTCACCTCAAAAACTAAATGGGTGAAACAAACTGGCACGTGATCATGATCCAGTTTGAAATACAAATATCAAATTTAGATCGTAAAACATTTACCCAGGCAAACATAATCAAGAAAATCATGCTTGGCTCTCCCTTGAACAAAGTATATTTATTAAATAAAGAAGGAAATGGCACTGACCTGATATCCATAAACATCAGCAGCAGTTACGCGAGCACCCTCTTGGAGTAAAAGCTCTGCAACTTGGATTGCACCCCGAACTGCACTCCAGTGCAATGCTGTCTGCCCGGTATGATCTACTGCATTTACATCTCCTCCATGCTGGCAATCAAGGATAAAAAATGGCAAATCAATTAATGAAAACGTCCTCTGATTAGTATGGACTACAACAGCTTTAACTTGGTATAATATTTAAAATCATCAAAATTAATTATCTCCTGACTGATAACTACAATCATTCTGTAGAATTCTTATAGAATTGTTATATATACTTATACATATTAGTATGCATCTGAAATAAAAAAAATAAATAAATAAAAAGAATTGGGTTGCTTTTTTTAAGAAGGATTCCGCTTTTTGCACTCGAATTTTTCATCACCAAGCAGTCATAAAAACCATGCACGCAAGTACTCCTAAGCTAAAGTTACTAGAATACTTCAATCTCACACCAAGAAACTCAAGAAACCCACTGAAAATACATCAAATTACAAAACATATTCAAGCATAACAATCAATAAATTCAAAAATCGTCAAGTAACCAAATAGAATAATCCCGCGAAAAACCAATGCGACAAACAAATCAATATCCAAAACCAAGTAGGGAGAAGAAAGAATCCTCAGTGACATACTAGAAGAACAAACAAAAACCAATAACCCACCACATAACCCCACAAAATGCCCGCTATAATGACAAATTGAAAAACCAAAATAAATAAATAAATTAAAGAAGCCCATGGAACAACCATAATTCATGGGGAGGAAGAGATAGAGAAACCTCAATAATATACTGAGCAGCAGCAGTTCGATTATTCAAAGCGGCCCACTGTAAAGCATAGTAACCGAGGCTATCAGGCTGGGATACAGAACAACCCTCACTCTCCACCAATCTCTGAAGCTTCTCCAAATCCCCATAGGCAGCAGCGGTATAAACATCGTTCCTCAAGCTATCCTCGCCAACAGCGTCACCATTAGCGATCCCATTGGCTCCATTAACAGATGATGCCGCTTCCCCATTGGCAAATTGTACCTCCTCCTCCACCACCTCGATCTCAGATGACATTTCGTCAATACGAAATTCGCAGTCACAGAGCAAAGTTTTAAACAAGAAAAGAATTGGGGTTGATATGGACGGATTGTTTTGGCGCTGACTTCAATCAAAGAATTAATTAAAATGGGAAATTGAAATGATTTAAGGAATTTATAAATGTGATGCCGTAAGGGTTTTTCTTGGAAGGATAGGGAGAGAAAGAAAGAGAGAGAGAGAGAGAGGGAGCTTTGGGCTGGGTCTTTTAGCCGTCCGTGTTGACTGGGGGAAGGGGATTATACATACATTAACCAGAGAGAGAGAGAGAGAAAGAGAGAAGATGACAGAAGTCGAAACCGCATTCGCGTTTCTTTGCCTATGAATATCCGCACCTAGACATTTCCAAAATCCAAAATCTAAAGAATTGTCTGGATATTTTTGTTATTTTCAGTATTTGCTCTTCTTTTTCATCTTTTAAAAAAAAATTAATTTTTGCCATTTGTTTTTTATTATAGAAAGTTATTAAATCCTATTCAACAACTTCAATATTTTTCTATATAAAATATTACTAATATTTAATAATATTATCTTTAATAAAATTTCAAAATCATATTAATATCATAAATTATAATTTAATTGACAAAGAAAAAATTTTTTGAACGACTTTTCAATTTTAACATTAGTTGAATTAACATTAGTATTAATTTCACCAATAATATACTATATTTGCCGATATGTTTAAATATTAATTAAATAATTGATCATATTATTAATATTATTTCAAATAATAAAATTTTCAATTTTTTCCAATAATTAATGAAATTAATAATTTTTTGATAATTAATAAACTTATTATTTATTGCATTTCATTATTGTAATAAATTTATTATTTGCATTATTAATTATTGAAAAAAAAGGAAATCAAAAGATTTTTTATTAATACAATAAACTTATCATAGAATTGTTAATTATTGAATTCAATATAAGTAATTAAAATTTATATCTCAATAATTTGGAATATAATAATAAGAACACAAATAATACATATGTACAAATGTTATTTAAATTCTTAAAAATAATATAATAAAAATTACATATTCCATATAGCACGATAGGTACATGACTAGTATTCCTTAACCATAAGATAAAAAATTAATTCTCTAAACCTCAAATGAAGCCCATATATTAGAAATTTATTTAACATATTTTTTTTAAGAGAAAATTTATTCAACAACTAACAGCCACCAAAAAAAAAAAAAAAAAAAAAAAAAAAAGAAGTAAGTTTATTTAACATGATTTATATATATTGAAGCGAGAAGAAGTTTTATTCAACCAAGAACTAACAGCCACCAAAAAAGAGAGAGCACACCCGAAAAAAAAAACCAAAAAAAAGAAACTTGCGTGACTATAAAAAAAAAAAAAAAAAAAAAAAAAAGAAATCTCTTCTTGACTATATTATTCTAAATCTAAAAACTTATTATATACCCATTTGGCCTTATGATTGAAGCAGTTTGATTATAATTGAAATGAAATATATTTTCTCTTGTTCCATTAAATTTGACAGTTTTTAATTCTCCACAAAAATGTAAAAAAATTATTAAATTACCTCAATTCTAAAAAAAATAAAAGTAACTGATTAAATTACTCTTTAATTAATGCTCAATTAATTGTGATGAATTTTAATAAAAATATTTAGACAATAGTAAAATTAGAATAAAATAATTAATAATATCTTAAATGTCTAAAATTGTCATCTAAATGAAATAAAAAAAAAAATCAAAAACTATTAAATATAGAATACTATACTATAATAATCATTTTTTCCAATCATTATATCTAAATTCAGTTTTAGCTTTAACTCTTCATTAATCTCTTCAATCATAAAATTTTAATCACTTGGGTACAATTGAAACAAATCTTTAGAGATAAGGTAAAACAGTATATTTTAGAATATTTTATAATTGCAATAATAATAAAAAAAAAACAAAATAAAGTAATATTTAAAAAAAAACAAACAGAAATAAATTGAAGCAATAATGAGAATTATTGCTTTTGATTTTTATTATACTGAACTCTATAAACATAACCACCATTATCTTCAGCCGAAAGTAGCGGCTCTTTAGGGATCGAAGGGCATTTCGATGGAATATGTTCAGCCGGCGGTGTTTGTTATGGAGGCAGATCTTGAGGTGGTGGTTTTTTAGGAGGCAGGTGACGGTTTGATTGTTGTTGAGGCGGCGGAAATTGCCAAGTTCGTGCTTTCGGAGGTGAATTTTTACCGGCGGGCGTTCTTTGTTGGACAGTAGATTTGAATTGGCTCCTGCATTTTCAGTAACATAGACAATTTCTAAATTTATCGTACTGTTTAATCATTCGGCAACCGAGGACATTGGCAATAGCAATAACTGTAACTGTATCCATTACAGGTTTGCAATGCTGAGTTTAAGAATAATAATACTGTCATTATCATCATCATTGAAACTTTCTTATGTCCCATCATCATCATTGAAGCTTCTGTGTTGCTTGTTTGCAGTAACGTTATGGATAACATTTTTTTAGAATTAACGTTGACTTATTAAGCATCCATTAACATTGTATATTGTAATCCAAGCTAGCAGAATTCTTTGGGTTTATATTTATAGCTAGGAAGAAACATATTTTCTTCTTTACCTTAAGGAATTTTTCTCTCATTAAGAATTTTCAATAGTCCAAAAATAGTTTGTATTAGTTTAATAATTTCTGCATATGCATGCTTCATTTCTTTATTTCACTACATATAATTTCAAGATTCAAATTATTTTTTATTTGAATGTTAAAAGACAACGTAGAACAGTAATGGAGCCAAGAATTAAAGTTAGGGGCTAAAAAAAATTTTAAGATTTACAAGGAGGATGAAATTGCAAAATTTACTATTTTAAGGGGTAAAATAAAAATTTTTAATATTTCATGTGTAAAATCTTAAAAAAAATTTGTTAGGATAAAAAATTTACTATTTTAAGGAGTAAAATAAAAAATTTAATATTTTATATGTAAAATCTTAAAGAAAAAATTTGTTAGGAGTGGCCGCCACCCCTATACCCCTAACTCCTTCATTGCGTAGAATTGTAAATATGTATTTACCTCCAACATTCTATTGAATTGATTGTGTTTGTGTGATACATTAATTTCTATTTGACTCCATTAGAGTTGTAGTACTGTGACATCCCGACCTGGTAAAGTGATTCTAGGATGGCAGGTTAGTTAGGGTAGTGGAATGCGGGACACATGAATGAATCGAATCATATATCGAAAAGGGGGAAATTAATCATTAGAGGCATCTTTTGGTGGAATGGCTGGAGAGTTGAAAGAACTTCAGGGTTAAGCGTATTCGCTTAACAGAAATCTCAGGATGGGTGACTTACTGGGAAGTTTTTCATTTCACCTGCGGGACAAAACCGTGAGGGCGGGTGTATGTGTTGGCCGGATTAGGTCGGGGCACAACACCGTGGCCAAAGCGAATAAATCCTCTGGTGATTAGAGTCGGGCGTGACAACTGGAGTTTTTCATTTTCACCGTTGCGGACCAACAAACCGTGAGGGCGGGTGTATGTGTTGGCCGGATCTAGGGTCGGGGCTTAACAGCGCGTGCGCAAAGCGGAAGTAAATCCTTCTGGTGATTAGAGTCGGTGGCTATTAAAAGAGCGCCTGACATGTACTATTCTCAATTATTAACGCTATATATTGATTGAATGTCAACGGCTATCATGACAAATGGTTAAAAGGAATTAAGTATGCTCAAAAAAAACAATCTAAAATTATTAATTAGCCATTCTAATTACTCCTCTCTTGTCGAGAAAAATTTTCATTTATTGGTTGTTTTTTTTTATATAAATTATTTTTACTCGTAAAATTGGAAAATTTTGGAAAAGGATTACAAGTTGAAAAAAAGTTAAAATGCTCTCATTTGATATGAGTTTAGACACTAGGTTACATGCCTCTTTTTTCTTTAACCTTTCTCAAACAAGGATCTCGAAATATTAATCAAAGGGCGGGTGTATGTGTTGGCCGGATTAGGTCGGGGCACAACACCGTGGCCAAAGCGAATAAATCCTCTGGTGATTAGAGTCGGGCGTGACATGTACTATTCTCAATTATTAGCTACTATATTGATTGAATGTCAACGGCTATCAACAAATGGTTAAAGAATTAAATGCTCAAATCTAAATATAATTAGCATTCTAATTACTTCCTCTCTTGTCGAGAGAAAATTTTCATTTATGGTGTTTTTTAATATAAATTATTTTACTTAAAATGAAAATTTTGGAAAGGATACAGTTGAAAAAAGTCTAAAATGCTCTCATTTGATATGAGTTTGACACTAGTGTTACATGCTCTTTTTTCTTTACCTTTCTCAAACAAGGATCTCGAAATATAATCAACCTTTGAAAACCATTCCATTACACCTCTTCATAATCTATTAATTTTCACAATCTTGCATTGTGCCTTCTCATTAGCATCAATCTATGATTATAAATGAAATCGTAAAGAAAATAAAAAGACAAACATGGAATCAAAAAAATGAAAAAAAGACTCATCCTCTTTGAACACTATTTGTTCTGAGAAGAAAATAGCAAAAGAGCCCACAAAATCATCCTCTTATCTGATTGGTAAAAGAAAAAATGTACAACAAAAATAAAGGAGAGCTCTAATGACTATTGTCCTTATTTTCAAAAAATTTTGTGAATATTATTACATGTTCTCGGTATGGGGTTGAAATTTATATGGCAATATTGTAGAAATTAAGGAGACGGTTACAATATATTATTGAAAACGCTCAACAATTGAAGCGAGGGAAAATCAAATTTTTAAACAAGTTAAAAATCAAATTTGGAAATTTTGAGTTCTTAAAACAATTATTCCATTTCGTAAACATTTCCTCAGTTCTCAAGCGCTAATTGCCAATTAAATGTGCTTCGGGATTCTCTTTTTGTAAGCTGGCTTCCTCACAATTGATGAAGTAATTAATGCAAATTAGGGGTATATTAAGAAGAAAAAAAAATCACTTCAACCACTACTATAATTTCTTTGCATTTTTTATTTTATCTAAATAAAAAAACAGATGAAGTATAATTTTAAATAATTGCATCACTGCTTTATTAACAACTCAATTCATCAATTACAATTTTTCATTTAACGAGCTAAGAATTTAGATATCAACCATCATCATCTATAATTAAAGATCCTAAGCTTTCAAGGGCCAAATAACAATGGGGCAATATTTTTTTATAGTTACCAAAAGCATTCCTTTCAATCCGTTTAACTGTTAGACCAAAGGTTAATAATTTTCCGACCAAATGCAATTACGTTAATAATTACGTATACTCTCCAGTTTCCACCAATCAAAATAAGGTATTAATGGAATCAGTTTATTGTGACACGTGGCAGAATCAACATTCGGTAATTTTACTGATTCTCAAGATAATGAGATCAAATGATTTTTATGTTTGGTACACGAGATCCGAAGCCTCGCCGCAGTAACAGCACGGTGCTTACAATTTTAAGGTTTTAAATCTCTTAGTAATAGTTTTTATTTTCTAATTTATATTTTTACATAAAAATATAAAATAAAATACTCATTTTGAAATAATAATAGCAAAATATAAACTGCCCATAATTAGATACTATTATCAGCAACTGTCTACAATTCATGGTTTAATCACAGTTAAGACTTTTTTAATAAAAAAAATTTTATATATAAAACTACTAATTATTTTAATGTACACTTTAGTTATTTTATTTTGAAATAGTATCTTTAATCTATTTAGTATTGGTATTGAAAAAAAATATATTTTACAAAATAAATAAAATTTAATTAATTTTAAATACTGGAGTATAGTATAATAAAACATCAAACTTTGAAAATATATTAGTAGAATTAAAAATTCTTTACAGGGCATCAAATTACTTTAACTTTAATTTAATACATGAAATTTTATTAATAACTTAATAATTTAGTATTTGATTATAAGGTTATGGACTCTGTTAAGGTATAATATTTTAAAATGATAATACTTTATTTTAGAGGATTGGAGAAAAGAAATTTGAGTACAGACAGATATATCACCGATAAAAATCATCATTTTATAATAAATTAGTATTAAGTGATAAACATATGTCATAAATTAATAACAATAATTATGTTTGGATAAGATAAGAATAAAAAAGAAAGAAAATAATACTCACTGCATTTATTTTTATTTGTCTTTATTTGTCGCTTTTAATTTTTATAACGTGTTTAAAATCACTTAAATTATAATAAACATGTTTTAATTTGACTAAATTACTTTTTATATCTTGCTTAATTATTTCTATTTGATATTAATCTGCGATTAAAATCAAGAGAAAACAAGGAGATGTTAAGATGATTTTTAAAATATTATGGATAATAATATTAATATGTAATAGAAACAAGGTAAAATTGAAAAAAAATTAATTAATATTTTTTAAAATAATAAATAATTTTGGACAAAATAATTTTTATAAAATGAAAAATAAAGATGCTATAAAAATGAACTAGTGAGACAAAATATTTTTTTTCCTTTACACATCCAAACACAAGGAAGAAAATACTGATTATTTCCTCTTTTTAAAATTTTCCTTAACCTCTTATTTTTTTTCCTATTCAATCCAAACAGATAATATACGATTTAAGTAATATGGGTCACGTGTATATTAATATTAGGATAGTTTTAAGGGTTGTTTTGTAAGGGGATCTTAAATTTATTTACAGAAAAAAATAGGAAGAAATAAACCACTATTTCCAAAACCGTTTTCGATCCTTCCATGACACGTGATGCCTCAAATTAGTACAAATCTGGAACTTTCTTGACTGGAATAAGAGAAAAGACATCTGTCAATATCAATTTTACTGACAAAACCCCTAATCGGACCAAACCCTAGTTTATACCGTAACCGGATCCAGACCCCCGAAAGCCAATCAGGTCCCCTCCTCTGCTCTCTGTCTCTGTTGGAAAGTCCTCTTTTTTCTCTCTTAACTCGCCTACTAATTTTGCTGGTTTCTGTGTTTTTTGGGTATAGTTTTTTCTTTAGCAATGGAGGTGGGTAGTGTCAGTTCCTTGGAGAGGACCTTTCGGGCATGCTCTGTTGCGGAAGCTATGGTGGTGGAGACTGCTGTTTCTGCTTGGAAGTCTCTTGCTTGCCTACTCTTTGTGGTATATATTCCATTAATCCCTTTATTATGTCAATTAGTTAAATAAGTCCTGTTTTTGAAGTCTCTAGCTGCTCCGTTGTTGTTCATTAGCCATTGTTGTTGTTGTTGCTGTTGGTTCTATCCATTTTTGTTTTGGTTTTGAGGGTTAGTTTTCTTGTTTTGGTGGTTATTTCACTGGATTTTGACAATTAGGGTTTTTTTGCTTTACTTGTGTGAACGTGGGTTTGACTGTTGTTTGTGTGTTGAAAATTATTTTGGTATTGTCATTTCTTTGACAAACTCATACCCATAAATCTTGCTGTGTTGAAATTTGGCCTTCTGTTAACTATATTATGGCTTTTTGAAGTTGTATTTTTGAGAGGGCTGAGGAGTAATATTTGGTCTTAGCTTGTAAGTTCTGGATTGACACTTTGTTTTGGTGCATAATTTTTATGTTCTATAATCCCTGTAAAAGTTGAAGTGGGATTTATTTAGTAATTGTAATCACATTATTTTAATTCTTGTTCAACTAATTGCTCATTTCTTTTCTGGTCCTTTATTGCGTTTTCTCCGTTGTTGTGGTCTGAAGTAGTACTTGCCCTAATTTGGTGTTATGATAATGGGTTTTTTTTGTCCATAGTTACCAGAGCTTATTGATTTGGTTTTTTGTCCATAGTTTTTGGCTTTTCTTAACTGATATCCAAATCATTATGGTCTCAGAGCTTTCGGTGAAACAATATTTTCTTTTGTATATGGTCATTGTGGATGGTTACAGATTTTCTATGTTGTAGATGTTTGAGGGGTCCTACTGTTTTTGGTTTTTAGTTTGCATAGAATGTCCCAGTTATTCTACACTCATTCTAATTCTTGGATTTTAACCTCATATGGACATCACTCTATGTGTTTGGTTTTACTCTATTTAGGATTTCCTTTATTTATCTTGTTAACAGTATTTTTTTTGAAACTGGGGTATTGTTTTCTCTGCATTTTCAGTGGACTGAGAAGATTCAATTTCAAAATTTCTGAGAACAAAATATACTCATGACTGGAAATGGAGTCTTGTGGACTAGGAAGACTTTTTTTTTTTAAATTTCGTATAGATATGATGACTTTTTTTGCAGGTGCTCTGTTTCAGAGCATGTTTTGAATCTGGTTCTGCTATTTGATAGTCTGGCACAATAAATGAATGTGCAATTTTGTTTTCTTAAGCATCTTTCCTTTGATATGCCTCTTTTGTTATCGTTAAATGAGATCTTTTTAAGTTTCTTTCTTTTGAGATTCGCTTCTGGTTGTTTGCCATTTGGAGAAAATATGTTAACAAGTTCTTTGCCAGATCATGCTGTGAAGTATGTGGTCTTCTTTCCTCCAAGATATCCTTGGATTATTTAATTATTAACCTAGTCTGGAGATGTTAACTAAATGAACTAGAATCAATTTGTATGCCTTGGGTACCTTGGTAAGGTTATATGTGGTGTATGCATAAAGAACATTAATGTTGATTCTGTTTTGACTAAGGATAGCCAACTGCTTATGATTCTTTAACTAATTTTTGTAATTCGATTTTTATTTTTAAAATTTTCCAGGCTGCGTCATTGCTGAATGATATCAATGCATCCATAGAGTTAACTGCGGTGGATGAGAGGTAAAAAGAAATTTCTTTTGTGTTCTTAGTTCTGCTTGATTTATGTGTACAGAAGAATTGGATTAAAATGGTAGGTGTAACTCCTATTGTAGGTTTCCCTTTGATGAACTTTTCAAGATGAAACGCCCTGATGCAGAAAACAAAGATGCTAGTGATACAGATGATGATGATGAAGACGATGAAGAGGAAAATGTAGATGATCAGGAGGACGATGGTGGTGAAGAATTCTCAGGGGATGAGGGGGAGGAGGAAGGAGATCCTGAGGATGATCCTGAAGCCAATGGAGAAGGAGGAAGTGATGATGACGATGATGACGACGACGACGATGATGGTGATGAAGATGATGAAGAAGAAGATGGAGAGGATGAAGAAGAGGAAGAAGAGGAGGAAGAAGAAGTTCCCCAGCCACCTGCTAAGAAGAGAAAGTGAGAGTAACTGTAGGTCTTGTGTTCCCAGTTGGGTAGGTAGCTTTTAGTAGGGGGGAAGGATTCAGATTGTCAGTATGCATAGAGTAGAATTTACCATACGTGTTCTGAATGAACCTCTGTTTCAGTACCAAGGTGTGATATTGTCACAAATTATTGTGGATGTATAATGTTTTATTTTTCCTAAATTAGTGGCTCTTTTGTTTTAGTTAGCGGCAGCAGGGATCTTAACTTGAGCAGTTCTTATTTAAAGTGAAATTTTCGATGATTGTCTGTGGTTAGATAAGTTACCTGAGGAGTTAGGGGCCATGTGAAGTGTGCTTAAAATGCAGTAGACAGGAAATGCAGTGGCCTGTCAACTATAGCTGGGTGTGGTTCATAGCTTTATGGGGAGCCTCTCAATTGCCAATTTTGTTATTCCCCACCAACCGGCATGTGCGATAGCTAGTGTTTTTATTGAATGCTGGTATGCATTTCACAGGCTGTGGAAGAAGAAAGTCGTCATTCTGAGCTTTATTTTTTGAGCATTGACCAATTTAGAATAAATGGTGGAAAATTTAGAAAGAAACAAATGGAATTTGATGATAAGGTGCAAAAATTAATTGTGAACTCGACATAATATGCAGCAATGAGTTGTGCTGGGAATACCTTATAAAATCATAGGTAAAAAACAATTACATCATATAACCTCCATTAATTCGTCCATTTCAAATTGCCTGGAATCTCAAGCAATTTTAGTAGTAAACATACACAGACTCCCATTAGTTGCAACAGTTAAAGCCCTAGCTACCTGCATCACTCAATTTGACAAACAATGACTGTGATATCATCATATTTGCCTCCACTATGAGAGTATCCAGCCATCTCAGCAGCCCTAGCAAAAGGAGAAACATAATCTTCATCAAGAGCATTGAACAAAGCCCATTCTGCAATTGTCTCTGCCAACTCCTCCGCAAACATTTGCTTTTTCTCATCAGTTTTGGCCAATATCTCCATTATTTCAGACGGGTAGATATTATCAAGCATCCCATCAGTTCCTGCAACGATAATATCTCCGGCTTCTACATCAATCTTTTCCTCATAAGCCATGCAAGGCAGATCTCTACAACGAGTCCCTAATTGGTATGGACAATTAAACCCATGTTGCTGCACCACAGATTTGTGAATACACTTCTTGTCTCTGAATAGCATAAACCCACTGTCTCCCAGATTGACATAATGCAAACAGTTATTGCTACTAAGAGTAATAATACAGGCAGTTGACGAACCTTTAACGTTAGTATTTGAATAAGCTTCTTGTAGAACGCTTCTAGGGTTTACGTTTCCTTTCTCCTCATCCTGCAGAGCAATGACAGAGTTAGTCATGAGTTCACGAGCATATTCGCCGGCATCGATGCCTTTTCTTGCCCAACCGCCAACCCCATCTGCGACACCAATCGTTAACTTCTCTCTACAAATAAAATGAGAGTCTTCTCCTTGTGGCCTATCTTTGTTGTCTTTTGGTATGTAAAAAGCTTCTGCCTTCATATTCAGTTTCTTATTGCCTTTCTTATGAAAATAACCATTATCGACAAAATCTGTATCAAACTCAGTGGCCAACTCTAGTCTCCCTTCTATTCTGCGTTTCTTTGCAACCATGATCGATAGGCAGAAAAGCGAAACAACGGAAATATTAGGTTTGATGAAGATGGAATGCAAGATGAAAATAGCGTGGTTACTAAGAAAGTGAAAAAAATAATGGAAAGTAGGGTTTGAAGGAGAAAATAAAACTGATGAAGATGGGAGATGAAAATAGCGCAAGCATAAAGAAGGTGAAAAAGAAATAGTGGAAAGAAAGTAGGATTTGAAGATGACAATATGTATAGGGTTGATGAAGATGGGAGATGCAAATAGCGTCAGTATTAAGAGGGTGAAAACAATAATGGAAAGCTGGGTTTGAGGATGGAAACACTATATATATATATATATATATATAGATAGATGGTGTATTCAAGTAAAATTGTTACCCAAGTTTTGTACGTAGTACTTCTTCGTACTTTCTTCACACGTTTAATTTATTTGTTTAAGATATGATAAGATAAAAATAACGTGTGGATTTTAAGATATGATACATTTAGTTGATTTTGTTGCCAAATTTTTACTAAGAGAATCATGAATTTTTGCTCATTTATAAATAAAAAAGTTCTAATTAGTAGTTTTCTCAAAAAAAAAAAAAAAAAAAACAATGAAATTTTTGCTCAATTTATAAAAATAAAAAAGTTCTAATTAGTATTTTCCTCAAAAAAAAAAAAAAAAAAAATGATATGTAAAATAAGTGGGGAGTCATGATATTTTAAGAGTAAAAAAAAAAAAAAAAAAAATGATATGTAAAATAAAAAGTGGGGAGCTATGATATTTAAGAGTATTTTATATGAATTTTCCACGAATGTATTTTCCTATCATATGTAAAAAATATATATCAAAATATGTAAAAGATTTTGATGCAGACTAAGAAAATATTTATTTTTTAAATGATTTAATTTAAAATATTGGAGAGATGAATTCTGTTGATTATCCATAGTAATTACATTTGTTATAATTTCCATACATTTTATGGGAATTATTGATAAAATATTTCTTCATGCTATAAATATATTTATTTTTATTTTACTAATTAACTTTTGTCCTATCTCATATATATGTTTAGGTTGTTTCGAGAATATGATGTCTTTTTTTTTTTTTCCCAGAATATTCATAATGTTTTTTTCAGAGATTGATTTTGTGAATCATAGATGATGAGTTTTTACTAATTGGAAATTGGAAAATATCTAAAAGTTGATATATGTGACTCATTTATAAAAATTAGGGAGCGAGTTTTTAAATATAACGAGATAGATTTTTCATGTTCATAATGGAAGTATTTATTTAATTAATTTGAAATTTATTTAATAAATAAACTTAACTTATTTTTCTTTTTTTGAATAGATATACTTTTCGTATCTTGCTACAAGATTTTCCATGTTTTCTGTTAAAGAACACGTTAAAATTAACAAGCGAGTACTTGATAGAGCCACGCAGAAATACCAGAACCGGTAACTAAGGAATATTAGCAGGGAGAAACGCGCAGATACCGATGAGTTCACAGAAAAAAAGCCACGAACAATCCTCAGGAAATAATAATAAAAAATCAGAATATTATGGTATTATTAGCTAGCAAGAAAAATAGTTTCCTGTTGGAGTTTACAAGACAATAATAATACATGAACAGTCATAATTTATTGTCAAATGTCAACTGAATGCCCACCAAGAAGCCAATTTTTCTGCTCTCTCACTTCCATTACAGGACCCTCCACAGTTGCCATATTTCAGGAGAACCTACAAAACAGTGAATCAGACAGATAAGTTACCCTTATAGATGTCAAGAACAAGCTTAATTTCAGATCCCATAAACATGCAATTTATGTGAGATTATCACAATTCATCCTAAATTAAAATCAGCACAGTGTGACATATAATTCAAGAAACCTGAGATGCCAAATTGCTGAAACCACCCTAGGTGAGCATCCTCATAAAGTCAGTGAAATGAACAACTATGATAACAATTATTGAACAGTGCAAGGAAATAATTTTGGCATTGGCAATCACTTTAGAAGGTAAGTCAGCTACTCAACCAGCTGATCAAGATGGATGTTAGTTTTGGTTCCCATGCTAAACTGAAAATAAAATGGATTACATTAAAGGGAAAGAGATGGCAACGCATGGGCTTAAAAATATGTCTTGTAAGGGCTACTAAAAGTAGGTCTTCATAAGGGCTATAAAACTGGAATGAGGGTACCATACACAAGAAGCCTTTGAAATTCCATGGATGTTAGAGGCATGTATTCCACAACACAACAATGACTTAAATATGTGGCAAACCACGTTGTTGCAGAGGCATCTTTGCTGCCAAGGGAATGTTGACAGCAAAATCCAATAGCTAAGGGACTCTATTTTCACTTTGTTAGTGTCCAAATAAATGGTCAGATGAGCAATCATTAAAATGAGAATCAAATGGCAGGAACTGGCAAAAAAGGGAGCTATTTGTATGTTAAGTCAACAAATGTAAAAGGCAGAGCAGAAGAATAAGTGACACCATAAAACCATCAATGATAAATTCAGACGAGCAAGTATAATGACTACATTTTGAAGAATCAACTTCACTTCAGTGAAGGGAAGAAAAAAAGAGGGGGGGGGGGGGGGTATAAGATACATTTGAAGAATCAACTCAACTTCAGTGAAAGGGGTAGAAAAAAAAAGAGGGGGGGGGGGGGGTTGGAATGAAAGATGCAAGCCACTAATAACTTGTTTGCTTTTAAGGCTTATGGAAATAGATGAGGCACTGACTGATTGTTGGGGGGGGGGGGGTTGGAATGAAGATGCAAGCCACTAATAACTTGTTTGCTTTTAAGGCTTATGGAAATAGATGAGCACTGACTGATTGTTATAAGTCATATCCATATTCATAAAACTTCAACAACCTCCTGCAGCTACATTGTTGCCGTTTGATTTGAATATACACTAAGCTAAAATGAGGCTCAATCTTTGTTCTAACACTTTAACTTGGTTCACCTACTTTCAGGAATTAAGTCAATGAATGAATTGCTTGGCAACAAAATTTACATCAATCAATCAATTCTTGCTCAAATTTCACTCCACTAAATTATGATTATAAATAATTTTTCAAAAACGCAAAAATGTGAGAAGTACAAAAGAAAATAAGAATTTTCCAGGTGGACAGCTATTCTGAAATTTAATTATTTACGAACAGGGCCCATTGCTAACTAAACCAACGAATGCTCTCAGAATTATTGATCCTAAATAGGACATAAGAACGCTAAAATTATTATTGACCATGAACATCAGCCATTCAGCAACAATCTCCTCAAATACCAATAAAAAGATGAAGTGTTAAATACTTGACTAGCAAAAAATTAAACTTGATAAGATTTGCAAATTTTCAGAGGAACAACAATAAGCATTTGCCAAAGACTTAATATGAACATCAGTTTATTTTCACTTCAAGATCATTCAAACATCATACAAACTTCAAATTATCAATAACCATGAGTTCAAATTCACTTACAAAGGCAGCTTCCCTGATCGAAAAACTGCAAACTTTGACATCTCTGAATACTTATAATCAATCCCATTCTCCTTTAAAAACCCTTCCAGCTCTCTCTTAGCCTCTTCAGGATCAGCAGTCTCACACTCCACCTCATAACAAACCCCAAAGCTATACTTAGTCTCATCCACCTCTAGTTTCAATCCTCTCCATTCATAAACTTCTCTAACATTCTCAAATCCACCCAAACACACAAAACTCATTTCACCCAAAACTCCAAACTCATCTCTACACCTCCTCAAAACCCTCGATTCGATCGAACTTAACTTTAATGGATCGGCCAGGCATTCACGACCAATTAACGGATCAATTTCCTCTTCATCTTCCTCAACGCGACTTATACCATTGATTAGTAAAGGCCTGGCCTTTAGCGAGATAACGCAGCTAGAATCTTTATCGAAGAAACGAATTCGTAGTACTGCACGTTGAGAGGAAAGAGTGGCGGCGTCAGAGTCAAAGAACAGGTTTTGCTGGTTTAGGGTTTTGAGGTGAAATGGTGAAAGTAGGGATTTGAGGCGGTTAAAATTGGTTTCATCAGGTAAACGCAACTTCACTTCCACTTCCATAATTGGTTTTTGTATTTTTCAAGGAGAAAGGCCGATTCGCTGAGATTTGGAGTTGGGGTTGGTTTGTTTGCGCTCGAGGAGGTGGAGGAGAGCGGTGGAGGAAGTGGAAGCGGTTGTGGCTGAGGTGGAGGAAATTGCAGTGGAGCGCCTGCGAGATTCTTCGAGTTCTTCTTTATCTTCGATTCTGACTTCGATTTTGGACGGTTTTCTTCTCAGCATTTTGGTTGCAGGAACCAACAGCGAGTGTTTGGCATCTGAGAAAAGTGTCAAATTTCTTTATTTTACATTTTGGGCCTCATAAATTAACAAGGCCATGCTGCTTGTGATCTACCTAAACGCTTTAGCTTAAAAAAATGCTGGAATTCATTTATAATGTTTATTTTTTAGTTTATCTAATAGAATTTAGATTTAAATTCAATATTAATATAATTAATGAAAATTAAATTTTTATTTTTTCAAACAACAAAATTAAAATCCTTAAATATTTTACCATATTTAATATATACCTAATATATTAAATAATATAATTTCCTATTTTAGCCAATAAAATTTAAATTTAAATAGAAAATTAATATGACCAATCAAAACTAAATTACTTTTATTTTTCAATACATATCTCGTTTAGTATGTAAATAGATTAGTATTATTATTATAAATAGATTTTTACTATGTTTCAAATATAAAGAATAATTTTCAATTCATTTTCGATAATACAATCAAATAATAGAAAGTAATTTAATATTCAAAAGATACGTGTTTCTCACAAATAAATAATTTTTCTGAAAAGAAATAAAATTTAAAAAGGTTTGCTGAAAATCATCATCTTACCTCAAAATTGAAATTAAATAGAAATATTAAATTTCGTAACTTCCTATATGCTCTGTAAATTTTCAAAATTCTAATCTGACCTACAAAAGTTCTATCAAAAATGCTATTACCCATCCTAAACAGATTACTCATATTGGAAAGCCTTGTTGCAAGGTCATCAAACTATTATATTAACTATTACTCATTCGTTAATATAATAGTTACAATATTTTTCTAAACACATTTCATTAACTCCGGCTAAATGCAAAGTAGGTCATCTTGGCTGCAGGTCTTCATAATTCCTTTCTACTTACTATTTTTTTTTTTTTTCTTATTCTCTTTGGTTTTAGTTATCCGGTACGAGATAAATGGTTTAAAAGTTAAAAATTGACATAATTATTTATAAAAATTTTACATAAATATATTCAAGACAAGACTAAAAGAAACATTAATTTTTACATAAACTATTAAATTAATCAAATATATATTATTTTTATTATTTTATAATTTTTTTTTTACTTTTATTGCCATAATCAAATTATTTCTAAGGGTCTTATAAAAGAAAAAAATATGACATATTCTTTTTCCGTAATGAAAAGAAGAGAAAAATATTATGCAACTATTTTTTTGGACAATCTTCTATAAGAAAAAGAAAGAGAAGCAAAAGATTAATTAAATATTTTTATATACACCACACTTTATCACGGAATTATAGTATTTTCTTCCATAGAAGAACTAAAAAAATTAAGTATCAAAATATTTATATATAATATATTTTAAAAAATTTATATTACCTTGTAGGTTGCAAATAATAAGTTTCTTTTTTATAACCTAGTTTTATTTAGGTGCATAATAATAATAATAATAATTATTATTATTATTATTATTTTGCTATTACATAATCAGTTTTATATATTTTAAAATATTTTATATCTAAATTTAATTTAAATTCATCAATACAATAAAATAAATTTGTGAAAATTAAAATTCATATTCAATTAAGGAATGATTTTTTTTATTATTTCAATAAATAAAATTTAAAATCCTTGAAGATATATTTGTCCATTCCTAATTTAATAATAATAATAATAATAATTGTCCATTCAAATGCAAACTTGTTTGCATGATTCTGGCACGGAAGAATACAAAAATTGGAAAATGATAGGTTAAAGAAATCTGGCACGGAGAGTCAGAGATTACCCAGTTGCACAGAATTGTTGAATCCAGACACAATTAAGTAAAGTTGCAGCAACACTGCAATCAATCAATCAATGGTTCTTGAAATACCCAAAAAGGGAATATATTGAATCTTGAAATTTTTTTGTTTGTAATAGCGAATGAGTTGGGTGGATCAAAAGCTTAAGATGGTTGAAAACCAAGAGTTACGTGTTATTTCGAACAACAAGCCCGTTTCTCCCAAATATTAGGGGAGGAGGAAAAATTATTATTGCAAAAAATTATAATTTATAAGTTTTAATTTAGGGAGTAGATTGTGTGGCAAGAAAATTAATTTAATTAAAATTTATCAAATAAAATATTATATATGTAATTATATTAATACTAATATAGAGGTTTAATTTAGACAATTGTAAAGAATATAATTAATTAAATGTAAATTAAATGATGGACATCGATATTTTATATATCATTGATATTACTAAAAGTGATAAAAAATAAAATTATGTTTCATCGATATTAAATAAAATATATATTACTAATCCTAATTCGAATGTTTTGTCTAATCTTACTTATGAATTATTTACTTTATCCTGATAAAAAATACCATAAAATTTATTTATTTTGTTAAAGAAATTTTATTTTCTTTGGCTATCATGAATTTATATGAATTTCATTTTAAAAAATTTTTAGGTTCGCTGCAAATGATACATTGAAGGCTTACTTCCTTCGTATTTCGCAATCGATTTCTTTCTTTGACTATTTAAATGATAATTTTTTTATATTTTTAACTAATTTTCAGTATTTTAATCAATAGAAAATAAGTTGCGAAAAATATTTTTGGAAAATAAGTGAAGTCTTAGGCTCCGTTTATTTTTGTAAAATAACTTGCAGGAAAATATTTTCTACAATTTTCCGTTGTTTGAGGCGTTACAGAAAAATAAATCAACGAAAAATATTTTCCTGGTGAATTTTCATTTTAAAAAAAAATTTTTTAGTTTCGCTGCAAAATGGATACCTTGAAGGCTTACTTCCTTCGTATTTCGCAATCGATTTCTTTTCTTTTGGACCTACTTTTAAATTTTGATAAATTTTTTTTTATATTTTTTAACTAATTTTTTCAGTATTTTAAATCAATAGAAAATAAGTTGGCGAAAAAATATTTTGGAAAATAAGTGAAGTCCTTAGGCTTTCGGTCCGTTTATTTTTGTAAAATAACTTGGGCAGGAAAATATTTTTCTACAGTTTTCCTTGTTTGAATGGCTTTATTTTTGTAAAATAACTTGCAGGAAAATATTTTCTACAATTTTCCGTTGTTTGAGGCGTTACAGAAAAATAAATCAACGAAAAATATTTTCCTGGTCAAAGAAAAATTAAGTCAATTTTTAAGAAAAACAACTTCCCATTTTTGAGAGAGTAAAACATTTTCTGGATATTGGTAAACCTTATAAATCCATATTTTTTTATTTATTAATCATTATAGTCACTACCACTAGTCACTATTTACCACCGACTACCATTACTGGCCACCGGCGGCTTTCACAATTTATTTATTTTTTCATTCTTTTCATATTTAAGAATAAAATTTTTAAATTATAAAATTTCTATTATTAGTAATATTTTTTATGGTCTTATGAGATAAAGACTTCAATATTTTTAACTAGTTTCAATATTACAACCAAACAATATTACAACCATGAAAATATTTTTCAACAAGTCATTTTTCTGGAAGTTATTTTGCGGAAACAAATAGGGCCTTAGATTTATTATCGCTTTGTAATTTTAGAGGTTTGTTACATATAGACATAATATGTTATTTATGCTTGATATAATTGATTCTTTCTTTCAGATTTGTTAAATACATGTTAATTTTTTTTTAGGAAATAATTTTTTTTTTAAATTTGATTGTAACGTTATTTACTATTTTTTGTAAGAAATTTATTACTCTTTATAAGATTATAAATTAATGGGTGAGGATGAGGTTCAAACCCGAACTTTGATCACGACTTCATTGATTTATTAAGTTATGCTGTAATTGCAATTGAATATATAAAAAAAAGTGTCATTAGCTATTTTAGATAGAAAATGTCTCACTTTTAGTATTAAAAAAATTAAAATACATATTAAAATTTTAAATGGATAAGTTTAAGATATGATTTGAAGACAAGATTTGTAACCAGTTTTCCTATTCAAAGATTCTGTTTGAGTTAGGAATACCTATCTTAAAATTGATAACATTTTTAAAAAATTAATATTCAATTTCCCAACTTAATTAAAAATCTTAAGGATTAATATTTTACAATTGACATTAAAAAAATTAACATTTGAATTTAATCTATAATTTGAATATTAGAATTAAATTATAATATTAAACGAGTGTCACTTGAACTCATTTATCAACAATAAATACAATTAACATGCAAAACGTGTCCTTAAATATTAGTTGTAACTAAAATTTGAGATGGTAAACAAGATTCATAGGCGTGCTTTACCCACAAATAGGTGGAGGTTTAAATTCCGTGGGAAATAAAACTTTATTCCTTATGGTGAAACATGTCATGTTACCCTAAACTAATCTAATTTTTACAAAGAAAATTCGAATAAAAATTATATAACCAATCAAATTGAACTGGTTTGGTTAGTTGAACTTAATTTTTTTTTTTAGTTTTAATTTAATTTTTGAGTTAAATTAATCTTTTAAGAATTGAATTGAAATGAAAATTTTTTCTTTTTATATGTAAAATTGAATAACAATTTTGATACCCTTAAATAGTAAATCGAATTGTAGATTTTATCCGTTTTTTTTCCACCTAAATTATGCTTAAAAAAAAAAAAAAGAATACAATTATAAAAATGCATAAATTTTAGAGCAGAAACTCTCAATCTACCACATTTTCTAGGTAAAGATTTTGAAACTGAACAATTTCAATAGCAAACAAATTATAACTAATAGAAAGAATTTGTATAGGTCAAAAAATTAAATAGAAAAATGAAATTTCCTAACATTCTATACATCCTTCAAATTTTCAAAAAGTCTTAACCCTACAAAAAATTTTATCCTGTAGAACACTATAAAAGCCCCCCAACTCAGCCAACATGCATATCAAATATCAATGCCAATATTGTCAACACAAGTTATAGTAATTGGGTTGATATTTTCATGCCTTGCAGTGTCAATTCCATATGGATTAGCCCAAAGTCCATTGCTTCCAATTCCAAACATTTCGAATTGCTTTGCCTCTCTAGCTAGCGTTGAAGGATGCTTCAATTCTATCAGTCAAGCTATTACTAATTCCACACAGAGCAATCTTATTGGAAAGCCTTGTTGTAAGGTCATCGCTGAAACCAATCCTAATTGCTGGACCATTTTGTTTCCTCAATCTTCTGGCCTTCTTTTACTACTCAAAGGCATCTGTGCTCTCGCAGAGGCTCTCCCTCCACTACCATAATATCAGTGAAGTATACAAAAGCTATATATATATAGTTGCATGTCTTGTATAATTCTAATGAAAATAGGAGGATGCTTTTATTTGCAACTTCAAGTCTCACGGTTGTTGAGATTTACTTATTAATAAAAATAGAATAAACGTTCTATATTGATTTGCTCATGCGCTTTTGTTTCTCATCTTGTGCATTTCACTATCAAATTAAAGTAATAATTATTGGTCATATATAAAAATTTCTACATTTCTGTTTCTTTTTTTTTAGTGGTCAACTAGATAATGTAAGGCCTTTAAATCCTTTTTTTTTTTTTTTTTTTTTTTTTTCCTTTAAACCACAAATGTAACAAATATTTTGAAACAAACTATTTTCTCAAATTTTTTTTTTTTTTTTTTTTTTTTTGCTTAATTGCTTATGGAATTGTGCAGTTAGGGAAGGGACTCCTTCAACAATTGGGCTGGGCTGGGCTGGGCTTGGCCCTAATTTTAGAGTCCTCATTATTACAATGCAAATACTCCGACTATTAATTTCTTTAAATCTCTTTGATTTTTTATATTACCGTTTGATTTCATTAGTAATTTCTTACCCATGGATGATATATATAATTATATATATAGTATATGATATAATCTTTTAAGTATTGACAAGATGTGGTTACCCTAATCAAAACAATTCAAATGAAATAAGTCATTTTCTAAAGAATTATTTGTTTCTTTTCATGTTTTGAGGAAAAAAGATAAGGTCTTTTTGGTACTATCAAGGTTATTCTCTCACCTCCCGTTTCATGGTTAGATGAGAGACTAATCTATTTCGACTAAGGAGCAATTATGTTAAATCCTCCCAAGATGGCTAACTCCACAACTCGATCATGAGATCACTTCAACCACTAGACCAAGCTATCTTGGATAAAGATAAGGTCTTTTGATATCATTAAATCTTGTGACTATAAAAAATTAGGTTTAAATTCCTCTAATAAAAAAATAAAATTAATGAAAGGGACAAATATTAGGTTAACGATCGTTCCGATTATGAACTCCAAAAATCCGCCTTTCTTTTACAATTTATCAGAAGCCCTAATCTGTCTTGCATGATAATTTGTGACTGGGATTAGACGGAGACATTAGATTGAAAGGTTCTTTCCTTGAATCAAACATCATGTATACTTTCTTAGGCCGGCCAAGGAATGAATAGATGAGTTTACGCAAAGCTTCCATCCAAAATTCTAAAGTATTAATCATGATTCATAATCAAAACTTTTGATACAAAGTAAACAAAACTGTTTCTTTCTTTCTATATATATATATATATTTTAGAGTAAGAAAGTAGAAAACTTATATACTCCATTGGAATATGCCTAGATATGATAAGGAAAACTTTGTTTGATAGCTATAAAACAAAACTGTTTTATTACATTATGTTACGTTTATTGAATCGTTATGAAATGTAATGTAATAAGTAAATAATAATAATAATTATTATTATCGTTAATTAAATTAAAATTGTATTTTTTTTATCTATTATTAGACTTTTTATATAAAAAAATATAGGAATATCTTGATCTGTATCTCATATTTATATATAGTTTCCTTTTAATGAAATTTCAAATTTGATTTCTTCTCAAAATAAAAACCTGAAATTTTTATTTTTAATTTAGAAATTTAATAAAAATATTATAAGAACAACATTAATTAGTCAAATAATAAGTAAATATATTAACTATATTTTTTAAATTTATATAAAATTCAAAGTAGATGTATTTATTTTTATGGGACAAATGGAGTGTATATACAAATATCGATGTTGGATTTATGCTTTAATTATTTGCAGGCTTTCCCTTTTTGGTCAAAAGAAAGAGGTAATAACCTTGAGATTGGGAGATATTTATCCTATAAAGTGCAGCCATTTTCCTTCTATTGAGGGATTACATATAGATAGTGATAATGTAGTGGGTAACAGCTTGAAGATATAATGATTTCCAAATAAGAAAGGAGTTAGGTTTAGACTTAACTAACCTTGAATTTGATGGATTAGGTCTTGTTTTGGTTGTCTTTACCGGATATCATACAATCCCACAGATAATAAGGATGAGTATATTTATAGATTTAGCGTAATAGTAATGTATACCTATTAAGACTGTGATGTTGTTTATGATATTTTGTTATTTGATACAGTAAGAACACAAATTTCCATTTGATAGAAAGAAGAAATTCGAAGGCGATCAGATCGAATTTATGAAAAAATTATGAAATCAAGATTATGGAATCGAACAGTGGCTATAAATAACTACCAAATAGAACCAGCGACTGCCGCATAAATAATTAGTTATAACCCCTTTTATACACAATAGTAACATAGGGTTGTTGTGGACTTGTGGGTTGATTGTTGTGACTCAGCCAGGTTATGGTAAGGCTTAGCATCACAAAATACCTTTGTATGACTATTTCGTAATCTTTGTATTTATGCTTGTCTTGACTTTTGACACTTACGTTATATATATATATATATATATATATATAGTACCTTCGGGAAGAAAATGGTAATGTGGTGATTGGCCTTCGAAACCCAGAAGTACAATCATAGGAGTTGTTGTCACATTAACTTATTGGAAAATCTTCACTATCAAGCCTTGGGACCCATCTCGTAGCCTCAAAGATTTTTTAAATATTTTTTTAAATTTATATTGTGCCTTTCTCATAATCCAGTATACTTGTAAACTGGGATAAATTTTTCTGAGGAGAAAGAAAAAAGAAAGCGAGAAAGAGAAAAAAGAAAGGAAATAGAGAAAGAAAAAAGAAGGAAAAAGAAAAGAAAGAGTGGCAGACACTCAGAAGAAAGAAAGAAGAAAAGAAACAGAGAAAAAAAAAAAAAGAAAGTGAAAAAGAAGAAACATAAAAGAAATCGAGAAAAATTTCACATGTCTTTCCTAATAAATTTGCATGGCCTGTGGCTGACACTTTGGACAAATATGGTAAAAAAAAAAAAAAAAAAAAAAAAATTGGCATCGGCCTGTGCTAGACACTTTGGACAAATATTGTCAAAAAAAAAAAAAAATAAAAAAAAAAACACGTATACAACACTTGAACCCAGCCTTGGTTTCACAAATAACGATAGCCTACACCACTATTCTAGAACATACATTTGAGCATCTTATGCTACATCAAAAGTATATGAAATGCTCAAGTAAAGGGGACGGCCAATGATGAACAGTGCAACTACCCGCTTGCTTATAGAAATATATATAATAATAAAGTTCAACCTTTGACTGAAATAAAATTTATAAAAAAAAAAAAAAAAAAAAAAAACACGTATACAACACTTGAACCCATAGCCTTGGTTCACAAATAACACCTACATCACTATTCTAAACCATACATTTGCATTTTGCTAACATCAAAAAGTATATGAAATGCTCAAGTAAAGGGGACGGCCAATGATGAACAGTGCAACTACCCTTGCTTTAGAATATATATAATTAGTTCAAACTTTGACTGAAATAAAATTTATTTTATCTTATTTAATAAACTTAATAAGTCGAACTCATATCTATTTATTAAATTCGTATAATAAATAAACGAAATTTAAACTTATAAATGAGCTATGATTTTATTTTAATTACAAAATAGAAATGAACCGATGATTTTTTTTAACTTGAAATTAAGTTCAATTTCAAGAATATCAATTGAGTTAAGCTCAAGTAGAATCTCAGACGACTTGGCTTGTTTATAATGCTAACATAAGGTTAATTGGTTATTACTTGTATGAGCATAATTAAAAATTATTTTTATTATTTTCCTACTATTTAGATATTAAAATAACTATGAAATAAAATTTTGAACATACGAATTATGATATAATTTAGAACAGTGGAGTCTAAAAGTATAAAAATAATTACGATTTTATAATTAATGATTAATTTGAAAACTTTTAGAGACAAATCATTAAATTTAAAATAATAAAGATCAAAATTGATATTTATACAAATCTAAATATTTTATTAATAATATGTTATATATTTGCAAAAAGAATAAAAAATTTTACACCTCAAAAGTGTATATCAACCAAAGTTTACACGTGAAATAAAGTAAGGCACCGAGAGCCATCTCCAAGATTTGGAAGGTTGGCAACTTGTTGCTTTCTTGAAGGAAAGCAAGCCATGGCCCACCTGCAAACAAACCTCGCATTATTATCCTAACCTGCTGCTGCAAGCTTCCAAATACCAACCGGAAGAAAAATTCCAATTGAATTTTTTCACTTTCAACTTGATTATATTTGCTAATTATACAATACAAAGTCATGAACTTTCGGCTAATCTTACCATTTTGTTAAATGTTACGTTTTTCCGTAATTAATTTTATGCCTAAATTGTAAGTTTTAAATATGCACTCTTTAAAGTCCAAATCTTTATCTCTTTCTCCTATTATATTCTATGGGCAGTGGGCCTCTAGCTTCTAATAGCACCCTTCCTCTGCACTTTCATGGCCACCTTACCCATTTATAGAGAAAGACTCAGATCTTGAACTCACCAGTTGTTTGCAGATATGGGTTTTCAGATTTGGCTGAAAGGGTTGTGTTTTGTGGTGTCACTCTTTAGTTACAGCTTTGTTTTTGTAATTTCTCAAACTGTAGTGGCTGGAGATGGTAGTGTAGTAGAAGGGACTGTTTTTATAAATGGAAGAACTTCCATTGGAAAAATTGATGAAGATTTCATTTGTGCCACTTTAGATTGGTGGCCTCCTGAGAAGTGTGATTATGGAACATGCAGTTGGGACCATGCTTCTCTTATTAATCTGGTTTGTGTTTTCATTTTAGCTGCATTTCTGTTCTCTAAGCTTCTTTTAAATATCTAATTAGGATTCTTCACTTTCTTTCTTGTTCCCTCTTTAATAATGTCATTTGGTTTCTTTTGACATTGTAATGTTCATTATTTTGGGAAATAGTTGATGAATTATGTATTGCCCTTCTGAAATTATTTCATTCTCCTCTAATGCAGGATCTTAATAATAATATCTTATTAAATGCAATAAAGGGTAAGGGTATTTTAAATCTAAGAACTTTCTTTAATGTATTTCTTCATTGTTTCTGATTCTTTATGGGCATGAGCTACATTTGATTTTTTGGATAATATTTCAGCTTTTTCACCATTGAAGATCAGATTAGGAGGCACTTTGCAAGATAAGGTCATATATGACACTGAAGATAACCAAGAACCCTGTAAGCAATTTGTTAAAAGTACTTCTGAGATGTTTGGTTTCACTCAAGGCTGCTTACCCATGTATAGATGGGATGAATTAAATGCCTTTTTCAAGAAATCAGGGTAATAATAATAACAAAAAAAAATCTCCTTTATTTTCTCAATTCATTTTTTTGTTATATTTTCTAGTAATTAAACCACCTTTGTTTCCCTCTTAGGGCTAAAATTATATTTGGATTAAATGCTCTTGCCGGGCGGTCCATACAACCTGATGGTTCTGCAGCAGGGGCTTGGGACTATACTAATGCTGAATCTTTTATAAGTTATACTGTCAAAAAGAACTATTCTATTCATGGTTGGGAGCTTGGTAAGGACATATTCAATTGTTGTCAAAATTCACGGTTGTTTTTTATTTAATAAGATCACCAATACATTTTCTCTATTGGTCAGGGAATGAATTAAGTGGAAGTGGAGTTGGAACAAGAATAGCAGCTAATCAATATGCTTCTGATACGATCTCTATGTATAAGATAGTGCAAAAAATTTATAGTGATATCAAACCTAAGCCTCTAATCATAGCACCTGGAGGATTCTTTGATGCAAATTGGTTCAAAGAGTTCATTGATAAAACAAGAAATTCTATTGATGTGATCACCCACCACATTTACAATCTTGGTCCAGGTATCTTTAATTGGAGACTGAATTAACTTTTGTAGCTTGAAAATTCGAATGTTCAACCTGATCTGATAATTTTATTTCATTTCGTTTTTCTTAACATATAGGAGTTGATGAACATCTTGTTGAAAAGATCCTTAATCCTTCTTATCTTGATGGTGAGGCTAATACCTTTAATGGGCTCCAAAATACCCTCAAGAGTTCTGCAACATCAGCAATTGCATGGGTTGGTGAGGCAGGAGGGGCTTACAACAGTGGCCGTAACCATGTTTCCAATGCTTTTGTCTATAGTTTCTGGTATATTAGATCAAATTTGTTATTCTTTTTGTTTTCTTGTCCAAGTTATTTAGGAAAAGATTTATCTTGAAAATCTGCAGCTTTTTATTGTGGACTTAAGTGTACTTGCGTTGAACAGGTACCTGGATCAGCTTGCTATGGCATCAACTTTTGATACAAAAACATACTGCAGACAGTCATTGATTGGTGGAAATTATGGTTTACTCAACACAGCTACTTTTGTACCAAATCCAGACTATTACAGGTAATCCAATAAAGTATTATTCCAACAGATTGTAAACAACGCCTCAAAGTCAAAGATGACGAGTCAGTTCCAAAAATGATTGGTTACTAGGGTAGAAATCAAAGTACTGTAGTTTTATCTTCTCATTGTGACTAAAATTTTTATGAGCTTGAGCTGCGCCAAAGGAAGGAAGAGAAAGGTAAAATACTTGAGTGGTTATCATATTAGAACTACGAGCAATAGTTATGCATAATAGAGCTTGATTAAACTACATTGCTTGACTGATCCTTAGTCAGACCATGAAACAAAGCATGAATCTTTTAGTTCTCATTTCCCACACTGAAATATCAGAATGAATCTTCTGAGATCCTGAAAACGCCGAGGATCTGTTTGGTACCACTGTTTGGATCATGCTGAAAATGTTTTGGAGGTTATTAAAGTTTGTTTCTAAGATAAATTTCATGTGTTCTGGTCATAAAAATTTCGAACAACTAGACCATACTCTCGAGTCTATCTTGTTTTCCAACATGTAAAATGTTTTTCTCTGACAAAGATTTAATGCCAAATAAATTTTCCAATGTTGCATACTTTGCTTTCTGTACTGCAGTGCTCTTCTTTGGCACCGGTTGATGGGAAGAAATGTTTTATTGGCAAACTTTTCTGGGACCAAAAAGATACGTGCTTATGCTCACTGTACAAAAGAATCCGTAAGTTAATTGCATTCTGCAATTATCACAGTAAGCAATAGAAATAGTTAGTATCTAATTAAATTTATGATTTGCAGAAAGGAATCACATTACTGCTAATCAACCTAGATAACAGCACTACTGTCCAAGTGAACGTCGCATTCAACGGTACAGAGAAATTGCATCAGAAACACTGGCATCACAGATCCTTCAGATCTCACCGATCCTTCAGACCTCACAGATCTCATAAAACAAGAATCATTCAAATGCATGAAGGTTCTGCAAGTAGCACTAGAGAGGAATACCATTTGACAGCAAAAGATAGAGATTTACACAGCCAAACAATGCTACTTAATGGGAAGACTTTAACTGTAAATTCATCTGGGGACATACCTATCTTGGAGCCTATAAATGTAAATTCATCAACTCCAATAATTGTTGCACCTTTCTCTATTGTATTTGCTAACTTGCCATATGATATTCCAGCTTGCAGGTAGGTAGTATTAGGTTGGAACTGAAATTGGTTCCTTATAGTGATTTGATTGATCCAATAAAATAGAGAATACCTGAAGATGTCACATTCTTTTTTCTTGGTGAAGAATACTATTGAAGTAATTAACCAATCATTAAGCAATTATACCTGTTTGCAAATGTGTTTTTTTTTGTTTTTTTGTAGATATATATATATATATATTTTTTGTAGATATATAATTTTCGACTCATACTTAGATGTAATGAATATTATTGGATAAAATAGCCAAATATATAAATTCACCCTTGTACCATTTGTGAAAAACTGTAATGCCTCAATTTTTATTTTGATTCAAAACACTTAAACATATAAAATTACAGTTATTAAACACTTCTATTTGCTAGCTTTCCTCTAATTTCTTATTCTTTTTTTGTAGTTATAGATAATTTATAAGAATTTTTTCTCGAGTATTAAATAAGTCATACACATTAAATTAAACAGTAACATTCACCTTAAGATTACATGGCACCAAATGGAATAGTAATTGATCCAACAAGACATAAATATAAGCAAATATAACTTTCATTCCTTATTGAAACTTCATGCAAGTTCTTTCTAATATAATGCACAACAGGTCATTATCATGTTTCATACATATTTTTTGCTGGCCAACTATCACCACTTAATCAAAAAACTATGTAAAAACCTATCTATCAAATACAAATGGAATTGCGATAAAAATACATGTGGAATCAGGTTCAAGGATTTCCTTTTTCTCTTTTTTGGGTATATATATGTAGATTTACAAAACAAGGCTAGTTAGTGAGGGTTGTGGTCAGTTTCCACCAAAAGTAGTGGAAGAAATAAAATTAGTAACATCCTGAATGCTGCTTTCTCCAGTTTGATTGCAAAGAAAACAAGCTAAACTCAGGATCCAAGTCAATCTGTGTTGGAAAAGTTTTGAGGCTTACTGCTTGCAAATGCCAACCATACGATCGTACCGGTCAAATAGAAGAAGATTGATGGTGCAAACAATGATATCTGCATGATACAAATGCGGGAGCGGAAATTAATAATATAGGATAAAAGTGAATGATAGGATTGCTGATAAAATATTCAAAAACTTACACTCCACGAATGGGTTGTATCAAGAAGATAACCGGTCAACGCAACACCAATGATTCCAGGTATTGCTCCAACAGTGTTTGTAATGCCCTGAGTCAAACAAAAATTCAAAGAAAAACTTCTCACTTCTCAAATTAATCTGCAAGAAGATATCTTTCTTTGGCATTCAAGTGAAAACTTTAACTTGGTGGAAAGCATTAGAAGAGTTGACTAGTCGTTAAATAATATAGGTTGGCCCTAGAGACTAGAGCTGAAATTGATATCAGTGTAGACACAATAATGTGATTTAATCGTTGGCCAGCAACAGCTAACTCACAACCTTTAAAACCGATCCTTAATATTATGCTACTATAATTTAGTGTTTGCAAGCTTGCATACCAACAATATACTTGCATATTCAGGAGACATATCTTGATGTGTACAGTATAGTCCTGAACAAAACGGAAGATATGAAATTAGAAGTCAAGCCTACAAAATAAGCTGTAGAACCTGTAAGAATTTAGTCAATCGTTTTAATGTTTTCTAAATCAAAATATTTCTTTAGGTGGTTTACTACCAGACAAAGCAAAGCTTGAGAGGGCCAAGCCACCAGTTAGAATTCCGACAATTTCCCAGGGTGGCAGTCCTAGATCTACAGAGGAGAGAGTCATGCAAATGGCAGGAGACAAAAAGGCAATTGTCTGACAAATCTTTCGCACCTACAAGAAAATGTCAGAAAAATCAAAAGAAAAGCAGACATAAATAGAAGTGAGGTGATTGCAAGTTCCAAAAGCTATAGCTGATTTAATGTATATTAGACAGATCCTGACAAGATCATGGTTAGAGGAAGATACAACTAACTTTCAATGTCTTTCCATACCGTAGTGGTTTCAACTCCATTGGCAATTAAGTTGTCGGCTAACTGTGAAGCGATGCTAGTCACAAAAATTGAAGCCAAAGGAGGAAGAATTGATACCTGAAATGATCAAAAGATGCTTTATTGGAACAAAAATCTTAAAAAAGTTCAGATGGGATAAAAGTATTTTTGATCATGCCATGTTCAGACATGGAAAAGGAACAGCTTCTTCAAATTTATGGGCAGAGGATTAGGTTATAAAATCTAAACATAAAATTCCACACTCATAGTTACTCCAGTGCTTTGTTAATATCACATGTTGTGCCTCCAAGTCACCAAGGAAATAGCTAAACAGATTTGCCTCAATAATTAGTTGATAACACAATAAAATTGAGGTTTTCTAGATCTCAAATGTATCAATATATCGCATTAATTAAATAACCAAGAATACTACCTGTTTCTTTTCAAATGGTTAAATTCTCTTCCTCATTCTTTCAGGTATAATTTACCAACAATTTTGCCTTTGAATCATCGGTAAGCTAATCAATGCTTAAGATTTTGTTCTAAGCAGAATGCAGAACATCATTCGTTTTGTCTTTTTAACATTTTTGACATCAAAGATGCAACAGATGGAAAATTTAGATTTAAAAGACATCTCAATTACATGATGCATGAAGCTAATATCAACTTATATACATATGTTTAATCATGGTATTTCTTGCACCTGAAAAGTAACTTTCTCCTGGCTAGTTTTGAGACCATGATTCAAACTTCATATATAATGTACGTCAAACATTAAGGCAAACACCATTCTTCCTAACACGCACAACAAGGAGACAATAATATATGTTTAGACTTACCCATGCAGCTTCTGTCAAATTTAAGTTCAGCTCCTCACTGCATGGCAAGTTGATTGAATATTAACTTTCCATGAGATTACAGGATTATATTAAGGAAACTGAAGCATAGACAGCGATGCTAAAAAATTAGTATTAACGATGATCTGACAATTCAGTGATTTTGGGGGAAAAACCTTCAAAATCTAAACTTTTCAAGAGAACCAGCATTAGGTTAATATTATAGGCAAGTGCAGCTGTCAACTTGAGGGAAGGCAATTTAGAATTTAATGTACTCTTTTAAAATTAATTACCTAAAATAAGAAGGAAGCCAAGATAAACAAGTATAATGACCCCAGCTTCCACAAAAATGGGCATATATCATTGCCCACACAGCTTGATTCCGCAAAAATGCCCTCCATGGTACCTCCTGTCCTAACAAAGCTGGTAAGAAATGTGATGAACACTAAGAAAAATTCCATTACATTCCAAAAGCATTAAAAGAAATATCATACATAATGCCCAGTCTACAAAAGTTCAGATCCAGTAGAAAAACTGAGAAATGAATTTATTCAACAAGTCAAGAATACGTTATCAAATGGCATTTCACCGATCCATGTCTCTTTCGGTCAATAAATCTCTCAGAGTTCAACCTTAAGTTCATTATATTTGGCTATACCCATAGGTCATGCAGTCAATCAATTGCATGACAGAAAGCATTGGGCTAATCAGGTAGTCTGCATAAAAACAAAGTACCCGTCTCTAATGAAGATATAGTCTGACTTTAGATGCAAAACAAGCCCTTCAAAATTTCTTTCCCTCCCATATTAGGAGTATTAGAAAAGCACTCAGCCCACAATCAATTATAACTCCATATGTTCTTAGGTTTCAGCAGTGAAATAAAAGAACCCAGTTTGGCAATTCATTGAGAGATTTGGAAGAGGCAAATTACTTAGAAAGTTATGCATGATGGGAGCTTTTTGTCATGTTGTTATCCTACCCTTTATGAGCACTGCAGTGCCGATATCAAGTCCAACAAAGGGATTCTATTAAGGAAAATCTTTTCCTAATACTCTGACAATATGGCGATGTGAAGATATTTTGCATATTGTAGAACCTAGCTCTGAGCAAAGTTCTCTTTTATGATGATAAAACCTAAGTTACTAATTTTTTTTTCCTGTACATATATAAAGAACCAAACACATGATACCTAGTTATACAAGACAGAGCTCTGACCTAAAAAGCAAAAGATTAAGAATGATAAGGAAAAAAAAAAAAAAAAAAAATGTGAAGAATATTTTGGCAGTATTGTAGAAAACCAGCTCTGAGCAAAGTTCTCTTTTATGATGATAAAACCTAAGTTACTATTTTTTTTTTCCTGTACATATAATAAGAACAACACCATGATACTTTAGTTATACAAGACAGAGCTTTCTGACCTAAAAAGCAAAAGATAAGGAATGAATAAGGAAAAAAAAAAAAAAAAAAAGCTGATAGTGTAGAGGATGTCATAACAGCATAAAAAAAAAAAAAAAAAAGCTGATAGTGTAAGGATGTCATACAGCATTGGAAGGATGAATAAAAATAAGCCAGTTCCAATGTCCAAGCCTCAAGAGAAGTTGTCCAAATGAAGGCCTTTAAGATGCATAAATGATTTTGAAGGTTTCTACACTATTACATTCTATATCTAACACTCAAATTTTGAGCAGTAGTAATGACCATATCAACTTTTACAGTAGAAAGATGACCGTAACTGCTGTTACCTGTATAAAAAAGGGCATATTCTTTTTCTGCCAGGTCCAACACCAATAACTCTCCTCCAACTTTTCCAGCCACAATTTTCACTCTTTCTTCAATCTAATCCTTCAAAACCCTTACAGCATGTATTTGAACTTGATTTCACTTGGTAAACAAGGCATAAATCAAAGAAAGGAGTGTAGTAGGGGCAAATAGTCTCAAACCCAAAGCCAAAAGGCTCAACATATGCCTAAACCCTCAAAAGTCCTAGAAGAATCCAACTTACATGATTTGGGTACCATGATATTGGGTCTTTTGAATTGGCTACATTACCAAATCTCACGTCTGATCATCATTTTTTATAGGGAGCTACTCCAAACAATGATAAAATAAGTTCTGGCTGATTTGAGGTACTTAAAATGACATCAACATTCACACATGGACTATGAGCTTATGGCCACGAATTTTGGCTGCATTTCACATACACTCTAGTGAATGAATCAAAACAATCACAGTTTCAAACACTTTCAGCACTCAAAAGTAATATTGAGAAAAGAAGGAAACAGATCACAGCATCATACCTTCAGTGAGCCACCCAATTTTGCAAGAGAACTATTCCATGATTTTCCCAAATACATAGACTGGGGCCCTGTTAGGTACATTAGGAAATGTTATCCCTCTACATATGGGAGGGGCTTAAAGAAAAAGATGACACTTCCTGAAGCACCCAAGGTTTGAGCCTTTCTAGAGAAGTGCAAGTGAGAGAACACATTTGGCATTCAGTAGGACTAGCTAAAAAACAGTTCCACCAGAGATCAATGGAAAAAAATAAAAAAAAAATAAAAAAGAAAAAACAGACAGGATCTTGATCTAGTTCCAGTTAACGAGTCAACTTTTCACAATCTATATTCTATATGACAATTGGGAAAAAAGAAAATAGCTTCATTTTTCAAACAAATAATAACAGAAGGAAATAGGGGTTAAGCACTCACTTGATGTGGTCACAGCTGCATGTGAATCTTGATTCTCTTGAAGAAACTGAAATGTCAAAAACCTTCATAGTTTTTGGTGGTGTCAAAAGTAGAGAGGTGAACTCAGTCAACTTTTCACATTAGCAACATAAATAAAAAAAATGAATGAGTAAACAAAATAAAATCAACCAAGAAAAGCATTATTTGATAATATTTCCAAAGCAGAAATTATAGAAAAATATGATTGTTTTACGCTGGAAGAAGTATCAGTTTGCATAATACATATAGGTAGAAATATTTTACTCTGAGCAATACAAATAAGCGCAAGAATTTGTGAATTTCATGACAGATACTTGCCAAGCTATCCCGAGAAGGCCGAAAGTATAAAACACAGATTCCCAACCAACATTTTGAATGAGCGGAGGAGCGAAAAGAAGCCTGCATTAATATTCTTGCTAATGTTAGAAAAGACTAGCAAATGAAATCTGATATGTTTTTCAACTCAATGAAAGTACACACATCAAAATTTTGTCCAGGCAAACCTAACACCATTTGGGGTTTTACTTATATTATTTGTTAATACGGGTGACATCAAATAAGTATTAGCAGATAAACAAGTTTCTGAGTGAGTACATAGGTTTGACCCATGTAAAATAATAGAAGAAACAACTTCCTCAGAAAGCCCTAATGGTGACAAAATAGTGAATTGATAAATTAAAGAAGGATACACAAATATGCTACCATGCATGTACAAGTATCCTAGAGATTTAAATGAAATTTGGCTATCTGAAGACGCTAAATTTTCTGAATAACACAGGATGCAGAACATTATAATTGTTAGTTCCTCTTCTTCGCTGATAGTCTCAATTGTCAATGGGATTGGATATTCAACTTGATAAAGTCTGCAGTTAAAATTTATTTGACAAACCAAATCATGGTCAGTATCTTCAACAATAACATGAGTTCCTATAAAAGAAAAAATTCAACAGAAAATACCCTGTAACACTTCCTACACTTAGTCCGCCAAATACAAATGCTACAGCCCTTGAGCGCTCTTCCAAAGGTATTGACCTGCATGTATGAAAAGCAACTCAGTTAAAAGAAAAAAGAACTTGATGAGCTCTTCATGAAGATTGGACAAAGCATTAAACAGCATAAAAATTACATATTATGCAAGTAGCAAAAATAAACATCAACAGTATAAAATCAGTGAAGGCTGGAATATTATTCTTCATTAAGCAGTGTTCCATTAAATTAGACAAAAACAAATGATATACAAAGGAAAATTAATGATAAAGAATCAATAAACACAGATTTGGTAGTAGAGAACAAAATGAACAAGATATGAACAGGATGCTCTATTTAACTTCAAATAGACTCGATGATTTGAGCAGTGAAAGCTAATACCCAAGTCAGTGCACACTAGTGATACATCACTTGCCTATAGACTGAAAAAGCCATCTAACTAACCCAGCAACTCTCTACTAAGATAATATAATTTATTTTTCTGGATTCAATAAATTTCTCCACTTCCCATGAAATTAGCAGTTCATATATTTTTGCAAAGGGAAAATTAAAAGGTATGCAATCTAGATATTAGCATCAACACCAAAAAAAAAAGGTCTAACAGAAAAAACATACGGTGAAGGATAAATTTTGGCCAAGTGCTGCATTTAATACTTTTATATGTCTATCATCAAAAAGGTTGTCATACATGCCTGGCAATAAGATCAGTCGCAGCGGATGGAGAAACACCTTCTCCTATTCCAACCTAGTTTTGAAGACCAAAAAAAAATAAAAATAAAAAATAAAAAAATCAAGGATATTATAAAGAAATATAAGAGAGAAACAGAACCAAAGCATCATGTTGAAGCATAAGAAATTGAGAATGGAAATGGACAGAAGATATAAATTTGCACAAGGATGGATGTAAATTTGAATGTGAATAGGAGCTTCAGATAATTTATAATACCAAAATCCTTGACAAGATAAGTCCAGGCATAAATCCGGCCAGCAAAGGAACAAGTGCTGTCGCCACGGACCAAGACAATACCCCAATCTGAAGAACTTTACTGCAAAATGAAAAAATGATGATAAGAAAAATGGGTAACATATCATACATATGACAAAATCAAGAACAAAGGTAAAAAATTAGTGGTACATTTCTAGAAAGCTAGCTTTCATTAAACTTAAAGATAGAATTTTAGGATTTTGTCTCTCTCCTGATATCAAAATTAGATTAGTTAAATATGGTCCATTAAGTTACGATTTGTTTTAAAGGCTAGCCTATTTCTTTGACTTTATTTTCAAAGATAAGGCAAAATGAAGCAAGGAAAAAAACTTGAGGGTCAATCAAAGGTACTTCTTGATGATACCCATTGGAGAAAATGCATTCGCATAATGAAACTGAAAGCCAAAATTATAGTTGATAGATAGCTTCATGCAAAGTGTTGCTTCTTAGTTTTTGAACTGCATCCTGCTTTGTCTATTCGTTCAGTTAGTGGCCCACACTATACAAGTGTTAAGGCATATTGCATTGAGAAAAATATTACTAATCAATGTAGCTCAGATACAGTAGAAGAGCCCTCGTGTAGCTAGAAAGATATATGGACAGCACAAATAGAAAGAATCGAGTTTCCAGGGAATTGAGTGCATGAGAAAATATTGAACTAATCAATTTAGCTCAGATACAGTAGAAGAGCCCTCGTGTGCTAGAAAAGATTATGGACAGCACCATACGAAATACAATAGAACGAATCGATTCCAGGGAATTGAGGCATCGCATCTGGCACATATACGAGCTGTGCATATATGAATATCCAATCATCGTGTAACAGCATCTTTTCTTTTGGGGGAGAAGATATAATCTTACAAACAAATGTTGCCAATAAATTTCTGTAATAAATTTTAATACGTAAAAAGTGAAATACTGTACAAATATTAAAAGCCATCATCAACTAACCTGCCACCAAATATCTTAGATAGCCAACCACCTGGTAATTGACTCAGCGCGTACCCCCAGAAGAAGGATGACTGCACTAGCCCAGCGACTGATGCATTCCACCCAAACTGATGAGACATTGGAATAATTGCAATACTCAAGTTTACCTGCCCAATTTAGTAAATGAATTAAAAAAGAATAATTTAGTCCGAAAAATTAAACAACCGAATCGCTACCTAATGAACACTACTTCACTTCTTTACTCTTTGTCCAGATACACAAACGAAATTGATAAGCTTTTCCCTTTCAACTTGACTTGAATAACCATTGAAGGCAGTCAGAAGTTGCTCATATCATATTAAGGCCACACCCATCACTCCTTAACATAAATATAAATGAACTTTTCTTTGAATTGTCTAACAGAAGATAACAAAGAATTACCTTATCCATATTACATATAACAAAGGCAAGTGAAGTAGTGCCAATAAGTTTATATCTTTTATATCTTTAGGAATATTCTTCCATTGCGACCAATTCCAATCAAAACCCAGTTCTGTAGACCTCGATTGAGTCTCAGTATCTGTATCCAATTCATCCACTCGCAATCCAGTAAGAACTTCGGGCACCCTGTCGCTTTCTTTAACATTCTCCTTTTCTTTCAAGCTACACAAAACCCTGAACTTCAATCTTCGGTTAGAGGGAATTAAATGCAAGTTTCGATTAAATGCAAGTTTCGGTGCTTTACGTAGGAATTGTTGAAGAATGAGGTGTTTGTGTTGGTGCTGTGAGAGAGAAAACAAAAGTTCTCTGCTTTAAGAGTAAATTTTGCCATCTGTTCAAGAAAGATAGCAGGCTTTTTTTTCAGGAATAAAGGAGTGAAAATAAAGGGGACAAAATAGTTTGGACTAATTTGACAAATGAAAGGAGAAACGCCATGGGAAAGTTTCCACGGCCTGGAGGTGTCCACGGAAAAGCTTGCTTGTGGCTCTGGTTTATAGATGGAGAAGCTTTTGGTTCTCTAAGATCGTTAGTCGACACGTAACTAAAAACTAAAAACGAATACCATAACGGGTTGGGCTTTGGTGGATCGGACCTACAATACCCATTATTATGATATTCTCGTAATAACAGTTCGAAAAATTTTAGATGTTATTCGAAAAAATATTTTTGGAGTGCACATTAATATTGTTATGAAACTTTTATGAATAAAACATGTGAAATTTATTATAAATTTTAGTGACCATTAACTAATATTTTTCATATATTGATTTTTCCAACCATAGCTCAAGATTTTTCCAACCATAGCTCAAATAGTAATGTCAAGCATATTTTAAAATTAATTACTTCATACTCCCTCCATTCCAAAAAATATCCACTTTCTATTTTTTCTAACAGATTAAGAAATATGATTAAAGAATTTTATTCATATAAAAGTTCCTATTATGTCCATATTAAATAACACATAAGCGATTATTATATTTGAATAATAAATAATAATTAATAAAGATTATTGAAAATAAGATAAAATTTAATAAAAGTATAATAGACAATTTAAATATTAATTATAATACAAGAAAGGAAAGTGAACTATATTTTGAGACAAGCCAAAGATGAAATATCTTTTTTTAAACGAACGGAGTATAAGTTTGTCTTCACCTCTTGTTTACCGTCCAAAGTTTGTTTCATGAGCTTTTTGATATTTAACTTTATAAAAACTTACTTGAACTCTTTCATAAATGAGGCTAATTGAGTTAAGCAAAACCATCTGCTTGGAATTTTCGTAATCAGAAGTACATCAAATTAATTGAAAGCATACTTATTTGCCCATAAATGTGACCATCAAATTAGAATTTGCTTCTTAAAGAAAAAGTTTAGGAGGTGTTTGTTTTAATTTAATGACAATCGAATAAGTTTGTTTGTTTGAACTGAATCAATAAATGATTTATTTGAATTTACAATTTCAATTTTGACTAAACGAAAAAAATTTTTTTTTAGAACTATTCAAGTTATAGAACTTATCGGATGAAAAGATAAATTATTTCTAATAATTATATATTAATTCTTAATCATTCAGTTTAATAAGATAATAAATTAAAATTCAGTATTTATAGTTCAGCCAGAATAAACCACCCTTGAGTAACGAAATTAAATTTTTGAAAACACAATATCAACTTGTTAATTGTTGTGTTTGGTTTTCAATATCCACTATCAATATTACCCATTATGTTTTTGCAATACTACATAAATTCAATTTCTTGGCTAGAAACATAACTTCTAAGTCAAATTGTTAAAACTTAAAAAAGTGCGTGCGGTGCATATACTATCTCTATTTTATAGTACTTATTATATTTGAGAAAATAATTTGTTCCAAAATACTTGTCATATTTGTAATTTCAACGAGTAATAAATATTTTTTTTCATGTTTATTTTTTATATATGACCAATAATTATTATTTCAATTTAATGATTTTCTTATAATTATTATTTCAAACGAGTAATAAATATTTTTTTTCATGTTTATTTTTTATATATGACCAATAATTATTATTTCAATTTAATGATTTTCTTAGAGAATTAGTATTAAATTAAGGGTAATATAATAATTTACTTAATAATTTATCGTAACTTAGATAATTTTTTTTTTAAGAGATGTGAAATTCTAAACGTGACAAGTATTATGGAACAGAGGTGGTATAATATAAGGAATTTATAAGCTTTAAAAATCCTCTTCCTTCAAAAATTTTCCATTTGAAGAAAAGGTTAGTGTAGAGGGAGACAAAAGCATCAAAAGTTGCCGAAAGGCTCCAATATTAAGACTTTGAGGTCCACGTTAAATTAAAATATTACATATCAAACCTTTTATCTTAAAACAATAGAAATTTAATCCTTAATTTTTTCTTCTGATTTTTTTTTTTCAAATTTATAATAGTTTTTAAAAAGGCTAATTAGATTATATCTTATTAGCTCTCATCTTGATAGAGTATAAAATTTAATATTTTGAATTTCAGTCTTTTTTCATGCTTTAATAATTTGAGATTAGCAGTTTACAAGTTTCAATCAATCCAGAAAAGGATCATCCTAAATAATTAATTATGTTGCATTAATAATTTTATATTGGAAAAGAAATTTTGTTAAAAAGGTTTGTATTTTCATATAAAATAATGACAAGTGTCCTTAATTTGCGAACCCACAGGATTTTATAAGAGACCCTGTCGGATGGCTTATTGTCTTCGTCTCATTCATAGTTTATGCCTCTCTTCTCTGTTGTGAAAAAAATGGCATCACTGTCCAAAAAAGATGTTCAGGAAATGTCAGCGGCCACTGAGCAGCCACATCAGAATACATAGTCAAAGGATGCACTTTTGCACCTTCTGATAATTTCTCTTCCTCATCGGCGACTCCTTTTCCAATCATCGACATCAGTCTCTTCTCCTCTTTATTATCGGATTCCGGTAACAGTAGTAACAACGAAGTCGAAAACGCACTACAAACACTAAGATCAGCTCTTAGCTCGACCGGCTGCTTCCAGGTTTTTTACTTTCTTGGTTTCATTTTCTTCGATTGCATCATTTTGACACTTTTATACTATTAGGCTCGATAAACCATAAGAATTTTTTGATTGGTTAGGAAATATTGTCAAAGAGTTTTGATATTTATATGGGAAAAGTAATCTTAAACATGTTATTATATTTTAATCATAATTCTAATTTTGAATATTGATAATTTATTATCATTCTTTTTATAACAATTAAGGCTTAATTGTTAGGTTTAGCATGTTGTTGATGGACAGTAAATGTTATCAATTGAAAGCCCATAGTTGAGTTCTAATGTTGACAATTTTGAATTATTGATTACCAATATCAAATACTCTCAATCACATAACTTACATTTTATATTCTACTATATTTCAATACTATCCTTTTGGCTAACGTTGATCATTAAGTATTGATGGGTTTTAAGAAATAGTATATTTCTCTCAGGCAACAGGACATGGAATGTCAAGTTCATTTCTTGACAAGGTACGTGAGACGGCATGCCAATTTTTCGAACTCCCAAAGGAAGAGAAGCAGAAGTATGGTCGGTCTGAGAATGAAAGTGAAGGGTATGGAAGTGATTTCACCAAATCAAGTTCTTGACTGGTCTCATCGCCTAAGTCTGAGGGTGTTCCCTGAAGATAAAAGAAGGAACAACTTTGGCCACAAAACCCACCTGATTTCAGGTTAAGATTTTCTGATCTTATATACAAAATCGTTGTTCAAACTAGCAATTTTAGTTATACAATATTCTTTTTGCAGAGAGACCTTGATTGAATATTCCTTGAAGATGAAATCTGTAATGGATCTTCTGTACAAAGCAATGGCAAGGTCGCTGAACTTGAAAAAGAATAGTTTCTCTGGGCAATTTGGGGAACGAGCACTAATGCATGCAAGGTTTAACTTCTATCCAAGTTGTTCGAGACCTGATTTGGTTCTTGGAGTCAAACCTCATACAGATAGATCGGGCATTACAATTCTTTTGCAATCCAAGTTGTTCGAGACCTGATTTGGTTCTTGGAGTCAAACCTCATACAGATAGATCGGGCATTACAATTCTTTTGCAAGATAAACAAGTCGAAGGCCTTCAAATTTTAGTAGATGAGAAATGGGTAAGAGTTCCTGTAATCCCTGATGCTCTTGTTGTCAATCTTGGAGACCAAATGCAGGTATATGCCTCATCCGTAACATTTTTCATAATTTCTAGTTCTGGATTTCTATTGGCTTTTCTTGTATTTAATTTTATATTATGGAACAACCAATGCAGATAATGAGTAATGGAATATTCAGAAGTCCAATGCACAGGGTAGTAACAAACTCCGAGAGGTTGAGGATATCTGTGGCCTTATTCCATGAACCGGAGCCAGAGAAAGAAATTGGAGCTGTGGATCGCTTGGTGGATGAGCACAGACCAAGATTATACAGAAATGTTAAAAATTATGGTGTTATAAACTATGAATGGTACCAAAAGGGTTTGGTGGCACTTGAGACTGTGAAACTTTAATCCTTAAGCTAGTTGATGTTACAATACTCATGGGATGGTACTGTAAACTTATTGCAGAAGCTGAGCTGATGAGCTGCAGGACTAGACGAAAATAGTCTTTTCTCTCACTTAAACGACAAACATTAATAGTCGTTCAATAAATTGTTTAGTTGGAAATGAAGAGCGAATTTCCAAATGGTAAGATATCGATCCATTTACTATCTCAGCAATGTGAAAGTTTGACGTGTATAAAAGCCCAACCCACTGAATTTGGACGAAGGTTAAAAAAAAAAAAAAAAAAAAAAAAAAAAAAAAAAAAAAAAAAAAAAAAAAAAAAAAAAAAAAAAAAAAAAACAGAATAAAAAAAATTTGATATAAGAAAATCATTGAACAAAAAATATATCGAATTAAAATACATAAAAATAATAATAAACCATTTCTGTATAAATGATAATAATTATTATTTTGAATTTAATATTCTAGTTATTTAAAATGTTAAACAAATATGAATTTTGTTTTGTAGTCCTAGATTTAAGATACAAAAAATATTTTGTTAAAGCAAGCATATTTCTTAATTCAGTACATATTTGACATTGAAGATGAAATTATTTTTTCAACCAAATTTCATTTTAGATGTTGTTGGCATACATTTTTAAAGTGTTGTTTAACTATTGTAAAACTTTCATGGCTAAGAAATTTATTTTAAAAATAATTTTTTGAATTATTAAATTCACATTATAAATTTATTTTTAAAAAATAAAGTGGGCTCGTGAATTTATATAAATTTATTGGTATTGCGCTTCGTTTAGCTCCTAACTGGTCAAAATTCAAAATGTGCTATTAAAAATGTGATTTTAATAAACCCAAAAAGACCATCAAAATAATTAATTTATGTTCTATTAATATATTTATATTTGGAGAAAAGATTTTTATAAAAGGGTCGTATTTTTTCACAAAAAAAAAAAAAAAAGTTTTGTGTATCAAAAAAAAAAAAAAAAGTTTTGTATCTTCATATAAAACAATGGGCAGGAAGCCTTGATTTGCGCACCCACGGGATTTTTTTTGAAGATTCCTCGTACCCGGTGGCTTATTGTCCTCATCTACAGTACCCACGGGATTTTATGCCTCTGTTTTCTGTTGTGAAAAAATGGCATCACTGTCCAAAAAAAACGTTCAAGAAATGTCGACGGTCAATGAACAGCCACCATCAGAATACATAGTAAAAGGATGCACTTTTGCACCTTCTGATCATTTCTCTTCCTCATCGGCGACTCCTTTTCCGATAATCGACATCAGTCTCTTCTCCTCTTTTTTATCGGAGTCTGTTAACAGTAGTAACAACGAAGTGGAAAATGCACTACAAACACTAAGATCAGCTCTTAGCTCAACCGGTTGCTTCCAGGTTTTTTAACTTTCTTAATTTTATTTTCTTCAATTGCATGGTTTTTTACTTATCAGTTGTATGTTGTTGATGGACAGTAAATGTTATCAATTGAAAGTCCATAGTTGAGTTCTGTTAAGAAACTGGTAATCAGGTTCGAGAACAAGAAAGTAAATTAGCAGAGAACAAGTAAATGAGTTTAGGATAGTACCTGCAAAGCTAGTGAAATTGACAGCAGCTGTATCATCTGATGGATTGACTTGCATTTTGCCATTGAGTGCCTTCATTATTTCAAGTTGCACAAATTTTGCCAAACTTTCATTCAAACCTCCCTGATCACTGGGTGTTTACTCAGAGTACTCTTCAAGTGGTGTATCATATCATTGATTCAAAATGTGTGCTTTAGGACCATTTTGCTTCTGTTTTAAGTCCTTGAACCAATCTGGATAGCCATGAATTTTGAAGCATGTATCTTTGGTGTTACCTGGTGCTTTTACAATGCCAACAGTATCTGTCTTCCTTCTTTCTGGTAGTTCCCTTGTTTTCATTAGAAACACCCTTCTTATAGGTAGCATTTCCTTGAGCATACGTAACAACTGCAGATTCACTTGAGTCTAGTGTTATATGTTGAACCACTCTCTGCTTTTCCACCTTAAGAATCACGGAAAAAGCCTTACATCCTTAGAATGGTCAAAACTCTCATTCTACCCCATCAGAAATTGCATTAACCTGTCATTTTCTTCTATATCATGCAAATTCTTAACTGCTCCACATTCACACACTAGAAGAACTAACTACGTATCTAAAAACTAACTATCACATATCAGCAATTCTGTTAGAAGAGAATAATTAAATAAACAGGGCAGTCATGTTGTATGGCTAACAGTCATAAGTCTTAAGTTCTAACGTTGACAATTTTGAATTATTAATTACCAATATCAAATACTCTTAATCGCATAACTTATATTTTATATTCTACTATATTTCAATACTAACCTTTTGGCTAATGTTGATCATTAAGTATTGATGGTTTTAATCAGAAATTGAGGTAGTTATAGGAGCATTTAAAGAAATATAGCATATTTATCTCAGGCAACAGGACATGGGATATCAAGTTCATTTCTTGATAAGGTGCGTGAGACAGCATGCCAATTTTTTGAACTTCCAAAGGAAGAGAAGTCGAAATATGGTCGGTCTGAGAATGAAATTGAAGGGTATGGAAGTGATATGATTGTTTCAACAAATCAAGTTCTCGACTGGTCTCATCGCCTAATTCTAAGGGTGTTTCCTGAAGATGAAAGAAGGAACAATCTTTGGCCAGAAAACCCGCCTAATTTCAGGTTAAGCTTTTCTGATCTTACATACAAAATTGTTGTTCAAACTAGTAATTTTAGTTATACAATAATCTTTTTGCAGAGAGACCTTGATCGAATATTCCTTGAAGGTGAAATCTGTAATGGATCTTCTGTACAAAGCAATGGCAAGGTCACTGAACTTGAAAGAGAATAGTTTCTCTGGGCAATTTGGGGAACGAGCACTAATGCATGCAAGGTTTAACTTCTATCCAAGGTGTTCGAGACCACGAGCACTAATGCATGCAAGGTTTAACTTCTATTCCAAGGTTGTTTCGAAGAACCTGATTTGGTTCTTGGAGTCAAACCTTTCATACAGATAGATCGATAGATCGGGCATTACAATTCTTTTGCAAGATAAACAAGTCGAAGGCCTTCAAATTTTAGTAGATGAGAAATGGGTAAGAGTTCCTGTAATCCCTGATGCTCTTGTCGTCAATCTTGGAGACCAAATGCAGGTATAAGCCTCATCCGTAACATTTTTCATAATTTCTAGTTCTGGATTTCTATTGGCTTTTCTTGTATTTAATTTTATATTATGGAACGATAAATGCAGATAATGAGTAATGGAATATTCAGAAGTCCAATGCACAGGGTAGTAACAAACTCCGAGAGCTTGAGGTTATCTGTGGCCTTATTTCATGAACCAGAGCCAGAAAAAGAGATTGGACCTGTAGATAGCTTGATGGATGATGGCAAAAGGGTATGGTGGCAATTGAGACTGTGAAATTTTAATCCTTAAGCTAGTTGATGTTATAATACTCATGGATGGAACTCTAAACTTATTGCAGAAGCTGAGCTGCTGAACATTACAAAGTCTTTTCAATTAAACGAAATTAGTCATTCTGCTTGGAAAATTTTCATGACTAAGAAATTTATTTTTTAAATAATTTTTTGAATTAATAAATTCATTTTAAAAAATTAAGTTGGGCTGGTGAATTTATGTGAATTAAGAAATTTATTTTTTAAATCATTTTTTGAATTAATAAATTCATTTTAAAAAATTAAGTTGGGCCGGTGAATTTATGTGAATCTGATGATAGTGGGCTTAGTTTACACGACTGGTTTGCATCCTTAGCTAAATGTGCAATTAAAAATGTGATTTTAATAAAACCAAGTTTACGAATACAAAACAAAGGGTTGACAAATGACAAAGAAAATGTCAAATGTGTTACATAATCATCTGCTTAGAATTTTGTAATCCCATGCATCTAACTCAAATTGACTGAAACCTACGACGACGATAGGTAATGTAACCCTTTTCATGTTTATCTTATATAGAAACATCTAATGGTTCATATTTGAGTTTGTGCACGCATTGTGCACGCATTTCTTCATTAATATTGAGTGGATTAGTTTAAAAATATTTTTTAACCTCATTTAAAAAAAAGCGTATCGAACCACTCGTCCCAATATTCATCGGTAATTTTTTTTTTCATCAAATTTAATAAAGATTGCTTTTGCACCTTTACATTAGACGAATCTTATAAAGATAGTATTATATAATGATTGTACACTGAGATATTAAAATATACTATGAGATCTCTAAATTATGATTTTATTAACACATTAATTCTTCCGTTCAAAATAGATGAACCAAAATATTAACAAAAATCATATTTGAACATTAAGCCCTTTATCATGATTAATTGCACTACTGTAATTATATATATATTGTGGCGATAGGCATGGTCGGTGGATCTAGCAGCCATAATTTTTTAATTGTGGTTAATGATTAGAAAATTCAAAACCTTGCACGATAAATAGAAAAATATGATCTTCTCTTCCAAATCATAATTAGCTAGATCACTTGTATTAATTCTTTTAGAATAGGATTTCTAGGCAAAGAAATTGCAAATAATTATAACTATCCTCCACTAGCCCCAATCCTCCACTAGCCCCAATTCCTATCATTGATATCAGTCTGCTATCTTCTTGTTCTAAAGAAGGAGAAAATGAGCTTCAAAAACTGAAATTGGCTCTCACTTCTTGGGGTTGCTTTCAGGTTTTTCTTTTCTTGAAACCTTACCTTATTTCTTTTTGCAATTTGATTTCTATTAGGGGTCACATTCATAGTTAAAGCTTATTAGCATTTCTTTTACTCTCTTTTAGTTCTTACAACCATGTTCTTGAATTTGATGGTTTTATACAAACTAATATGCAGGCTGTTGGGCATAGAGTAGAAAGTTCATTTCTTGATAAAGTACGTGAAATTACAAAACGGTTCTTTGCACTTCCAATGGAATTTGCACTTCCAATGGAAGAGAAACATAAGTATGATCGAGAAGCTAACAGTCTTGAAGGACATGGGAACGATCCAAATGTTTCCAAAAAGATCATTTTTAATCAGTCTGAACGCATTCTGCTTAAGGTAGCTCCAGAAAATGAATGAAGGATTGAACGTTGGCCATGCATTCCTACAGATTTTAGGTAATTTATATATATGATTTTGACCTAGAGGTCATGGGTTCGAAAGCTATTACATCTCCCCATATTCTCAAAATAATTTTTATAAAACTTTTGAAAAACTTGCAGAAAGGTATTAGACGAATACTCAGCAATAATGAAGAGTACATCACGGTTTCTTCTAAAGGCAATGGCAAGATCACTGAATTTAGAAAAGAATTGCTTCTTGAATGCGTACGGAGATGAAGAATTGATAGGAGCGAGGTTTAATTACTATCCAGAAGCTGCAAGTTCAGACATATTTGTAGGAGCTGAAGCTCATTCAGATGGATCAGGAATAACAATTCTCTTGCAGGATAAAGAAGTGGAAGGGCTTCAGGTTCTGAAAGATGGTCAGTGGTTCAGAGTTGCCATACTTCCTGATGCATTATTTGTCAATGTCGAGGACCAGTTGCAGGTATGCAGTTTTGACCCCTACATATTACGTTTGTGGCTGAACTGAAAAAAAGTAATATGTATGAATTAATTTCCAACTTGATGGCCATGCAGTAATTCGTACATTATAAGTTTTATCTAAAATGTTAGATGAAATATTAATCAATTTTAGTTTATATTTGATGAAAATAATTAATTTGTTGAAAATGTAAAATTTCATATAGATAATAAGTAATGGAATCTTCAAGAGCCCAATGCATAGGGTAATAGTGGAATAAGTAATGGAATCTTCAAGAGCCCAATGCATAGGGTAATAGTGGAGTCAAAGAAGGAAAGAATATCAGTGGCAGCCTTTCACTTGCCCAAATATGAGGTAGAGATCGGACCGGTTCAGAGCCTAATGGATGAAAATAGACCTCAGCAATATATGAGACTTAAGGATTATCGTGGATTCTATTATGACAGCCTTTTTCAAGGAATTGCACCGCTTGACTTGGTCAAACTTAATCCATGAATTCTCCTATTTTTATATGTTTTGTTCTAATAATTGTGATTGTGAGTTAGATGACGTGCAGATAATGATTGAGTGGATAATCTAGCAGCCTATGATTACTTAAATATTACTTAAATATTAGACGACTCAAAAGTTCAATATATAAATAGAAAATTATAGTCTTCTAAATCATGATTAGCAAAAACACCTGTATTAATTTTCTTTTCTTTTCTTTTTTTTTTTTTTTTTTTTTTTTTTTTTTTTTTTTTTTTTTTAAAAGTAGGAATACCATGGCTGCTACAACTGCAACTCCATTTTGCCTAGCCAAAGAAATTGCAAATAATATAATTATCCTTCCATAGCCTCTAGCCCGTATAATTGATATCAGTCTAACACTTCATCTAGTGGTTAGAGTGTAATACAACTTAAATTTAGGCTGTATTCAATAACAACTTTTTAAATAGTTTTAGTCAAAATGCTAAACGGTATTTTTTGTAGTGTTTGATAACATAATGTTTAAACTAACTTTTAGAGATTAAGATAACATGTTGTGAAATGTTAACTCATGTAACCTTTAACTTTTAGCGTTTTATGAAAAACTATTCAAACAGTTAATAGCCAAACTGAAATATCTCGAATTTTTATTTTCGAAACTTTTAAATTTAATTTAAATCAAAAATCGAAAATTTTGACCGTATGCGTTGTAAATATAATACAGTCTCAATTCGAGCCCAAATTTTCGAATTGGGCCCAAGCCCAAAAACAGCTTATTCGGAATTTTCGATTGGACAACACTTAAAATTTCTTATTGCGTGAATTTTTTTCGTGGTACAATAAACTCACTTAAAATTTTCTCGATGAACTAAAATGGAACTCTAGTTTACTAATCGATTATAAATGTTATTGTATATGTATTTTAACTACTATATAAAGTAAATATTTCTTAAAATCAAATAATCAATTACTATTTAATAATTATTATATGTATATGTATGTAACTACTATATAAAGTAATTATCTTAAAATCAAATATCATTACTATTAATATTTTTATTATTATTGAGTAAATGGAGAAAATGTTATGAACCTAAATAAAATAATCAAAATAAATCGAACGGACCTGAAAATCAATTTGATTTGTCGAAAACCACACGAATAATCCGAAAACCGAGTAAAAAACTCGAGAACCAAACAAAATGAGACCAAATCACTAAATCGGACCACACCGGTTCGAATCGAACCGGAATGGTCTAGAAGCCCAATTTTTCTTTCTTTCTCTTCTTTTTCTTCTTCTTCTTCTTCTTCTTCCTCCTCTCGCGCGACAGCACCCCTTCCCTTGCTCCACTGCGTTTTTCGTCGACGGGCCACGGACTCCGGCAACCAAGCCCTCTTTCTTCATCTTCTCGACGATAGGAACTCGCCGGTGGTGTCGTTTCGCAGAACGGAGGCCAGGATCGAAGGAGGCCGCGACTGGAACTCAGCGTCGCGCTATGAAGATCCGGCGACCCACGCCGTTTGCGACGGCTGCAGCTTGAAGGAACAGCGCCGATCACTTCATCTCCTCCACACGAACATTCCCCTCCACCGATTTGCGATTTCGCCTGAGTTTTGAGGAACCACCATGGATGGCGGCGTGGAGAAACTGTCGGGCTTGTTCCGGCCAAACGAGCCACTGGCTATAGGTCATGGGAAAAATATTTTCGGCGAAATACTAAAAGATTTGATTTCCAAGAACTGGATTTTCTGGAGAAATTTCTTGATTTGTTAAGTTACAGGCTATAGGTCATGGGATTTCAGATTCTTTCCTTGACAAAATACGTGAAGTTGCAAAACAGTTCTTTGCACTTCCAGCAAGGCAAAATATACGCCCGAAGTTTGCAAAACAGTTCTTTGCCACTTCCAGCATAAGTGACAAAAAGAAAATACAGTAGATAACTCTCAACGATATGGAACAGGCACTATGCCCGAATGACCCAGTTCTTTCTGATAAGCAAGTTTATACTGTGTGTATCCTAATGAGCGATCGTCTCTATCGTCTCTTTCTTAAACTGATACCACAAGACTCAAGAAAGCTTCATCTTTGGCCTACCAATCCAACTCAATTTAGGTACAGAAAAACCCTATTATAGTATTATAGCATGCGTTTTCTGTTATATTCATTTCAAGAAATTGGTTTAGAGTTTCTTTGTCCATTTTTTCAAGAAATTAATTGTTCTTGCAGAGAAATACTGGATGAATGTTCAGTAAAAATGAAGAACACGGTGGAGCTTCTTCTTAAAGCAATGGCAAGATCATCGAATTTAGAAGAAGATAGCTTCTTGAAACAATATGAGGACCAAGGGGTAATGGCAGCTAGATTTAATTACTATCCTACATGTCCAAGACCAGACTCAGTTCTTGGTGTTAAAGCACATTCAGATGGATCAGCAATAACGTTTCTTTTACAAGATAAAGAAGTAGAAGGTCTTCAAATGTTCAAAGATGATCAATGGCATAGAGTTCCCATCATTCCTAAAAGAATGATCAATGGCATAAGTTCCCATTCATTCCTTATCTTTTTTCAATCCATATGCCGGCGATTTCCAAGATGCAGGGTAATCAATTAAACTACTGTAATTAAATCTATTACTTACTATGAGATGACATCTCATAAACTACTATCCTTCTCTAAAATTAATATAAATAAATTGATTGCCAATCATGGAAATCTTTAGGGGTTTTTATTTTTAACTCTCCATCCAGGTAAACCATTCTCATTTGTTTTCTTCCCAAGATTATAATTATGTTTTAATTTCTTGTTGGTTTGACCCGCACGGACAAAAACTCCTAATTACCCATTAAATTTCACGTATTAGAACATATTTAGTTATTATATATCTAATAATGTGTATATAACTAAAAAAATAAATTACTACTTAAAAAGTAAATTTCTATGGAACTTGTTTGTTCTAACAATTACATAATGAGTGTAGATTTTAAAATATTATTCAATTAACTAAATTTCTTTGAATTTTTATTCAAACTTTATTTATTTAATAATAATAAGTCCATTCGTTTAAGTATTTAAATGATAATGACTTTGAGTATGGAGTATTTTAACAAAATTTTATTATCATATATTAAGCCAAAATATCGATCAAGTATAAAATTAAAAAAATATTTGATCAGAGTGATTATCCGTGTTATCATCTTTAAATAATTGAAACTTGAAAGAATACTGTGCATTTCATTATGGTAACAATATGAATTAGGAATTAAAGAAACATTCTAATATTATTATGGCACAATTAAATGCAGATAATGAGTAATGGAATTCTTCAATGAGCCCATTTGCACAGAATATGGATTATGGACAATTAAATGCAGATAATGAGTAATGGAATCTTCAAGAGCCCATTGCACAGGGTATCAACAAGTTCAGAGAAGGATAGAATATCCCTAGCAATTTTTCACTTGCCCAATTCAGAAGTAGAGATTGAACCTTTAAAAGTTTTGGTTGATGAAAAAAGACCACTGGACACTGTCAAAATAAATACTTTCTCTATATAATTATCATTTTCTTTTTTAATTCTAATAATCCCATCCCTCCCACTTGAATATTACTAATAATAATTAAATGAGAAGTCGCATTGCTGTATGTCTAACATTGATGATATTTTAATTTGTTAATGTTGGTTAAAAGCAAATAATATTTTAATGGCAATAATAATTAATATTGCTTTCACAAAAAATGAACCCAGCAAATATTTTTTTCTAATCCACAAATCTACTATTTGGTTTTACGAAATTATGATAGTAAAAAAATCTTATTAGAGATATGGGGACATGCAATATTGAGAAGAGATGCGGAGAAAAAACACAAATAAATAACAGAACTTTATGAAAAATTAAGAGAGATACATATTTAATAAATTAATTATTACAAGTACCATTCATCATCTTAAAACCACAAAAATGTTAAAAGTGACTATGGAAGTTTGAACTTGAATAGAACATAAACATTGTCTTCTAGAAAATATTGACAATTTGTAATGCATACCTCAACGAACCAAAACCATGCTCGTCGCCATTGAGGGTTTATACACAAAACTGCAGCTATTGACAATAGTACCAATAGTTACCATCAAGTACGCTTACTGAAAAGCTAATAAAGAAAATATCATTGTCTATTTGAAGCCATTCTCCTCTTGTTTTTTCAATCTGTGAAACTCCAGGCATCATGTATGGGGTGATAATGTTGCACTGCAAGTATTTCCCGGTAATGAAGACCACCTGTTGCACTGCAAGTATTTGGTAATGGAAGACCACAAAGATAAGGATTTCCCTCGTAGCTACTCTTATCAAATGTGGCAAATTGAGCGACTCTATCAGGTGTCTTTCCAGATAAATTGTTATATGCTACACTGAAAACTGCTAAATAATTTAGTTGAGCAAGCTGAGTAGGGATTTTTCCGTTCAACTTGTTGTAAGAAAGATCCAAACTCTCTATTTGACTGAGGTTGGAAAATGTTGTTGGAATTTGTCCCGTCAAACTATTGTGAGAAAGGTTCAACACTTGCATATTCTCAAACTTTCCAATTTCATGAGGAATTTCTCCTGTCAATTTGTTGGCGGAAAGATCTATTCCAGAAAAGAAGAAAAGAATGGTTCGTTGGAAAGAATATGTCATCCACTTTGTTGTAAATTCTAGAGGATTTAGCGTAAGTTCTATAGAATTAATTGGTGTAGACGCTTCTATTCTAATTCTACGTTGTCCTCTCAACTTTAGACAAGGAGGGATATGACCAGAAAGATTATTGTTAGACAAATCAATTAACTGTAAAAATTCCAAATTGCAAAGCTGGTTTGGAATTTGACCTTCAAAATTGTTATAACTCAAGGAAACATAGCTTAAAAATGAAAGTCTCTCGCCAATCCATTTTGGAATGGTTCCGTTCAACAAATTATTTCTAAGATCTAATACTTCCAATTGAAAGCAATTGTAGAATGCCTTGGAGATTGTTCCTTCTATTCTATTTTCAGATAAGTAAACATGTAATAATTGTGGAGGGTTGAAGTTTGATGGTAGATTTCCAGATTGAAGTTTGATTGGTAGATTATCCAGTAGATGATGTTTCTTGAAAGGTCTATAATAACTCTAAGAGAGAGTGCATGGTTGCCCATTCCACTTCTTGCATACATGTGAGAATGTTATTCATTGATACCTAGCATTCATAGAGAAACAAATTGTGGATATAAGCTGTCGGAATTATTTCCTGTGATATTGATTTCCATCCAATTTTTAAATATTCCAAGAAGCTGAATTGCTAAATGAATTGGAATGCTATCACTTGAAATCATTATTGGGAGATATCTAACCTTAAAAGCCTGTATGAATCGGCAATTGAAAATGGTCCCTGAAATGAATTATTGGCTAAAATGAAGTTTTCTAGTTTTGTATAGTTTTGTATTGTTCTTTAACAACCAAATTGGAAAGCTTCCCTCCAGTTTATTATTTGAGAGATCAACTTCTTTTAAGTTACGCTGATAGTAGAAGAATTTGGGAAAGACTCCACCGTATCCCAGACCAGATAACATAAGACTCTCTAATTGGAATTTTGGAATCGACTCGTATACTTTTATTTCTGAATAGACCTCATTATCCCTCCCATAAAAGTACTTGAGTTTTGTATGGTTGAAGAATGGACCAAATGAAATCGGGATTTTAAAGTGATTGTTTGAAAGACTTAAATATTGAATGGATGTCAATCCACCAAGGGGGAAGATTTTTCCAGTAAAATGATTGTCAGAAACATCTAAACTTTCAAGGGATGTCATATTTGCCAAGCACCTAGGCAATGTACCATTTAGATCATTAGAGCTCATATCTAGAAATTGGAGATGTTTCAACTCACATATGCCTGCAATTTATTTATAATTAAAAAATTTAATCGTGTGATGTAGAGAAGAATAAGAATACGGAGAGAGAGAGAGGGATGACCAATCTTACCTGCGTTTACCTGATCATATGCCTGCAATTTATTTATAATTAAAAAATTTAATCGTGTGATGTACAGAAGAATAAGAATACGGAGAGAGAGAGAGGGATGACCAATCTTACCTGAGGCCACTGGTATAGTGCCATTGAGTCCACAGTTCCTTAATGATAAAGCCTTAAGAGAGGTCATTTTTGCAATTACTTGCAGGATGTCGATGCTACTAGAGGAATAATTCATGTGTAAAATTTCTAGGTTCTTGAAATTTGGCAATCCTACAATAATAACAGTAATATGAAATTTTTAAAATTGTAAACAAGATTAAAATAAGACACTGGTAGTACTGTGGGTAGAATTGTCATATTTGATGCTAATTATTAAGGTTTGAATTACTATTATAGTGAAATATGCTAATTTGCTTTTCAAAAATTAATTTATAGTCCTTCTATTTTAACTCTATACATGTTAAGGTCTTTATCTTCAAAAAGGATTTTAATAATCTGGGTATTTTATGAATTTCCAATTATAAAATCTTTTTGATAATTTGTTAAATTTTCAATTATAAGGTTGAAAAAAAATATAAAGAACGGGATATGAAGAATACCAACTAATTATAATTTTTAAACAAAAATTTCATCTGAGTTATTAGTTAATTAATCAATACAAAAGGTACACATTATAATGGAAGGACTACGAATATTGTCTGACAAATATAAAATGTAAGAAGTATTGAATTCATTTATTAAAAGAAATGACTAATGTAATATACTATAACACACCAAGTAATTCACACTATTATCAAAACCTAAAGAGGTTAATTAATAATGAATTACCTTGAGCTGGTAGGGTGCTTTCCAGAAAACACAGAGATAAAAATTTAAGAGAAGGCAATGCTCCAAGACTTTGAAGAGAGATTTCACGCAAAGATGAATAGTCGAGTCTCAATTCTTCCAAGCTGTTCATATTATGTGACTCTATTTGAAAACAACAACAAATGTTTTATTTAAGACTCGGAATCAAATACAGTTACAAAATTTTAGGCAATTTACCTTGAGCAAATATTTTTCCTTTGAAATCATTTTTTTATTTAAGACTCGGAATCAAATACAGTTACAAAATTTTAGGCAATTTACCTTGAGCAAATATTTTTCCTTTGAAATCATTTTCTTTTAAAGAGAGAATCTTTAGATATGGAAATGCTCCCAATGATTGTAGCAGTAAAGAGCTTCTTCCATTTGTGGTCATGTTATCCAGAGTTAGTTTGCTTAACTTGCTTAGACCTCTTGTGTCTGCAAAATTAGAAAAGACTATATATGATCCTTGATTTGATTTAATTAATCAAGTTTAAATTTAAGTTACTTTGGTACCTTCCTTAACTTCAAACTTGATTATTTGATTTCCGCTCATACATTGGGATTTAATTAATCAAGTTTAAATTTAAGTTACTTTGGTACCTTCCTTAACTTCAAACTTGATTATTTGATTTCCGCTCAAATCTAGCTCCTCTAAGTTACTCAGATCATCCAATTCTGGACAATTCAAAACGACAACTAATTATATCGCTGTAAAAGTTCAATCATATTGCTTTATCTGAACAAAATAAATAAGAACCATAATTGACTGACCTTTCATGTGAAATATCCCTTTCAGAGAATTATAACTTAGATCCAAATGTTTCAGAGAAGGAAATCCATTGAGAGATGAGAGTAAGTTGTTAATGCGATTGTAACTCAGATCAAGATATTGCAGATTGGGTAAACCTGAATTATTTGTATTATCAATTGAAAAGATATAGATAAATTGGGTAAAAGGTTAAAACCCATGAGATGAAAATGTAAGATAGAGGAATAATTGGCTTAGCCAACTAATGCTAAAAGATTAGTATTAACCAATTAATAAATTAGCTTACCACTCTTATATGTCTTTGATGAATATGATATTTAGTTGATGTGAGATTTTTAACAGTTTGCGCATATATACAAAGTGCTCATCTACTTAAATTAAACAAAAATAATTAACTATATAAAAAATCTATCAGGTAGTAATCTCAATTGATTAATTAATAATCAAATATAATTTATTAAAATTGTAGAGTTTACATATGATATGTGCTAAACTCAATTGATTAATTAATAATCTTAAAATTTTTATATATCATTTCCAAAATGAATTTTATATATCAAAATTAAAATCTAAGAATCATAATTTTTTATGTTAAGTGTTCCTTTGATTGACTTATATAACTTATTATATATATATATATATATATATATATATATATTATTAGTATATATATATATTAGACCATATATATTAGACCAATATGGGAGATGGAAATCCCTTGAGATATGAGAGCAAGGTATTGTTTATGTGATTACTACTCAGTTATATATATCCAATCCTAGAAAAGTAGAAATTGCTTAATACCTGTTGTATTTCTTCAATTAATTTTAATAAAAGAAAAAAAAAAAACCTATTAAAGATAAATTCATACCATGAGAGAATTTGAAACCTTCAATTTCATTTCCAGATAAATGCAACTCCTCCAAGCTTGTTAAATTACTCAATTCTGCCCCTTTGCAATGATCTTAATTAATATAGGTTTTACTTGAAAGAGGTAAAAGAGAAGAGAAATTAAGGAGGAAATTGAGGAAATTGAACTCACTTTGAATATTAATTATTCCTTTGATTCTATTGTCGTTTAAATATAAATATTTTAAAGATGACAATTTGAACATAACCTCCTACATTAAGGAGAATTCACTATCACTATCACTATAAACTACATAATAGCCTTCTGCGGTGATTTTGTCTAAGATATTTTATTATTTAGACAATTATACTGAAATAAGTAATTTATCAGATAAATTAAACTAAAACATTGCAAGTGAGATCTATGGTTTATACGAACCTTTCATTTTCAAAACACAGCCAAAATGTACTTCCATACAAGTAGCAGACGTTTCGAATCCTTTGACAGGGGAAGAATGAAAGGAGGTCATGAGATACCAATCTCCCAAAATTCCTAAGAAAGAGGCATTGAGATACCAATCTCCCAATTCCTCATCCCTCCTAGCATAGAGTAAGGTTACTCTGCCGGTAACGGGATCACAGCTCACATCGCTCCATTGACAACAATTGAAATTATTGTTCTGCCAAGTCCCCATAGCCTTGCCGTTAGGATGATTAAAGTAAGCTTTGAGGTTTAACAAAGCAATTCTGTCATCCTCCAAGCAACCATTACACCACCACTTTCCTTCCAATAACAAAACCATCATAATTGATATCCACAGCTTCTTCAAAATCATAGCCATTTTTCAGTGCACAACCACTTCATCATCACTACCATTTTATAGGAAATGAGTGGACCACCATAAGTCTTGTTCAAACTACGCTTTGACATCAACTCGACAATATATTTTTTTATCTTTTTCCACAAGGCATGCATTATAATAGAACAATTTTAAGCTTACTTTACTTTCTTTTTTCACTAATTGCAAATTATAATTTTGTTTCTGTTTTTAAAAAAGGGTAATATTTACAATTTTTTTATTACACTCAACAAATATACTATTATTACTCTTAATTATATCGTAAAATAAATAACTCTAAATTTTTTTAAAAAAAACTTTAAAGTTATTTAAAAAATTAAATAAAAATTATTGCATAACCATGTTATAGTTTAAAGAAACACAAACCATATATTGTCCTTTTTCACAATTCCGTTTCCTTGATGAAAGAAATATTTATCTTGTTCATTTTTTAGATTCTAAGAATATGGTTGCTGGTTACACATTATTTTTTTATATTCATAATTAATTATTTTCTAAATTTCCTTGCCCGGTCTGGAATCCCTTCTACCATTTCTCCAACAGTGGATATGTCAATTCTTGCAACATCCATTATCTGCCCTTCTGCATATAGTTAAATTAACATTGGATACCTCTATTTTCAAAAATTATTTTTTTCTAAATTATGATTTTGTTGATATTTTGGTTCCTCCATTCAAAATAGCTCTTTTAATTGTCAATTGATTGAAAAAAAAAATTGAAATTGACCTTTCTATAAAAAAAGGATTTTAAGGCGACAACAATATTTTGGTCTCTGACTTATGATTCTATTAACACTTTGATCTATTTTGAAATTACATAACTTTAAGGAATGAATTTGGGTTTAAAATTTAATTTTTATATTTTAAAAATATAAAAAAATATATTTTAAAAATATAAAAAAAAAATGGCTCAACAAATATTTAAACTCTTAAATTTGTCGAGTTTTTTTATTTGTCAATATTGAGCCTATCAAACTTTGATTTAATTAAAAAACACCTAAATTGACTGAGAATAAAGGGAAACTTAATAAAATAAAAGCCTAATTTTTAGTAAAAATAAAAGATTAGAAACTTAATTTTAATTAGTAAAAAATAAAATTTCAAGTGCTTAATAATTAGTATTTTTGATTAATTAAGCCATTATAATCAACGCATGTTTAATATGCATAATTATTACTCTAACACTCAATCAAATAATAATTCATTTAAAAAATAAAGAATTAAAGAAATTGATATCGACAGATAAAAATCAAGTTCTTAACTTAAAAACATATTTTTTCACCGAAAATAATTTTGAATTTACCTCCTGTATTAAGAAAAATTAGTCAAATGCTTAAACAATGTGCAAAATGTACAATTTTTTTTAAAAAAAATTAAATAACATTACTTTTTAACGATCATATGGTAGTTTGTACGTAGAGAGGTAACAATCTAACGTTATTGTGAGTGAGAAAAGTAGAGAATATATATAATTAAAGTAAACAAACGATGTGAATGCAATTAATTTATTATGGGTTAATAATTACTTTTTCCAAAATGCCTGCCACGTACTTTCCAATATGAAGACTTGGCCATTTCAGATAAGATATTAAACAAATAGGAAAATACCTACCACGTATATATTGTCCGTTTTGATTATTACATTTTGACTGGTGAAAGAAATATTGGCGTTGTTGATTAATTTGATACGTGTTGTTTGGTTTTCCAATTCAAAATCAAAAACGGGTTAGAGAAATTTTCCAGGTCTAATAGTTTGACCGTTATACTCTCTCAGTCTCAAAATATAAGTCATTTAAGATTTTTACATAAAGATTAAAAAAGCAATTAACTCTCTTCGATTATAACAAATTCAATGGTAATTTAATCAAATTATCCTTTATCTTAAAATCAATAGTTGCTTGTAAAGTATAATTTATTTTATTTTGTGTAAACAAGAGCAACATTGTCCGTTTTGATTATTACATTTTCATTGCTGAAAGAAATATTGGTGTTGTTGATTAATTTGATACGGGTTGTTGGGTTTTCCAATTCCAAAAAAGTCTTTTAAGTCTTTGTATGCACAAAATTGAAATTGAATGGACGGAACTAAATTTCAATTTTTCATTTTTTTTTTTTTAATTACAATCTATCAAAACCGATAAAAATTATTATTTCCATTCCATAATACTTGTCACATTTAATAAAAAAATTTATTCCAAAATACTTATCACATTTGTGATTTCAAAGAATAATAAATCTTTTTTTCCATATTTGCCCCTTATATATGACCAATAATTATTATTTTAATTACCAAACAATTTACTTCATAATTGAAAAAAAAAATTAATTTTCAGTTATCATTGCGACTCACACTCACTTCCGACTCGTTTATCTGCTCATTTGAAAATCTCAAGGTTTTCTAGCCAAAATCCACTTTGTTTGCATTTGGTTCATTGTCAGGTTTGCTATTTCTGTTAGAGGCTGTTTTTCTTGATAAGGTTATTAAAAAACTAAAAGTAGAATTATCCCTTTTGTTTTATTGTGTTTCTACGATGGTCGTTCTGGACTCTCGATTTCACCCTTCAATGTAATGAATTTAAACAATAAATTTTAATAATTATTACTTTGGTGCTTCTGCAACATGTCCTGTTTTTGATTATTACATTTTCATTGCGGGGAAAGGAATGATCTGGTTTGGTGGTGATGTAATTTGATGATTAGCGTTGGTTTGGGTATTTCCAATTTTCACAAAATTAAGTTCAAGGTTTCATTTTGTGTATGCACTCAAATAATTGAAATATTGAATGGGTTTATCCTGTTCAAATTTACAATTTTCACTAAATAATAGTTAATCATTTTTGCATGTTTTTTTTAACTTAACAATCTATCAAACCGATAAAAAATTATTATTTTCCATTCCATAATACTTGTCACATATTAATAAAAATATATAATATTTTCCAAAACACTAATTATCACATTTCTTTGTAATTCAACATGAATTAATTAGTATATCTTTTTTCCATGGACTTGCCCCTTAATATATGACCAATAAATTATATGACCAATAATTATTATTTTAATTTAATGATTTTTTTTAGAGAATTAATATTAAATTAACACATATTTTAAACTTTCTAAATTTATCGAATTTTGTCCATTAAACTTACGGACTTCAGTTGTCGATATAAAGTCATTAACGGCAAAAATTGAATAAAAGCTAAAATTGGTTACTACATTCTATAAAAAGAAAAAGGCCAAAATGCCTACCACGTACTTTCCAATATGAAGCCTTGGCCATTTGATTACTACATTTTCATTGGTGAAAGAAAAATTGGTGTTGTTGATTAATTTGATACGTGTTGTCTGGTTTTCCAATTCTATCACTCTCAAATCAAAAATAGGTTAATTTTATTAATATTGGTTAATTTTCAAGGTCTGTTATTATGGTATTACATTTTTGTTTTTTTCAAAAAGCAAATAGATTCCTAACATCTACTTACTAATTGGTATAGAAAGTTTTTACAGCTAATTTCGCATTAACCTATTTTTTCTTCTTATGTCATAATAATTTTTGTATCTTAGTTTGTCTTATATATGAGATCAAAATTATTGGATCACTTTTTGCATTAAAAAATACCTATAGTGAAACTCTTGAGGAGATTAGACTGGAGAAGGAAATGGATCAATTTTTCCAAGTTTTTAAAGATTGAAGTCCCTAGGTTTTATGGTTGAGTCCCTTTTTAAACACTAGGGGAGGAAGCGCCTTTTCGAAGCCTAGCCCGCGCGAACCTGGATTAATCCAGCAATAGGGGTCTTCAAATTAACGCTGAAGCCTCTCTTTATGGTCCTGGATCCAAGCGCGAATCCGATTAATCGGTGTAATAGAAGCTTTCCATAACTAATGGCAAATGGTTTAAAAAACCAGAAAAAAAGGGTTCCCATATAATTAAACGTGATTGAAGCCAGTTACCGTATCATTTGGTGTTTATACTAAGAGTTTAGGATGTTATAGTAGTCTAATGAACCAAAGTAATAATTTTCTATGCCTAAAAAGTCTTTTAAGTTCTTTGGTATGATCAAAGTTGAAGTTGAATGGATTGGAACTACAGTTACATATTTTTTCATTTTTTAAATTTGGATTATTCGATCGAAATAACTGATAATAAATCTCTATTAATATCTCAGTTCCATAATATTTATCAGCATTTAAATAAAAGAATTTATTCCAAAATACTTATCAACTTTGTGGTTTCAAAAGAATAATAAATTTTTTTATAATTATATTTCCATTTTATATATTGACCAATAATTATTACAAATTAACAAAAATATTTTAACGTTGTCTAAATTTAATCGAATTTTTACTACTATTAAAGCTTCACGGACTTTAAAGGTTGGTGGATATCAGTGGCGTTGATCAGACTTATTTGATTTTACTAGCAAAATTTAAGTCATTAACTGGCCAAGGAGAATGAAATAAAATAGCTAACTTTTATGAAACAAGAAATGAAAAGTTGTAATTATTGGGTAATGAAGCTAATACCTTGTTAAAATTAAATCCTTCCCTAACTTTTATAACAAAAATAAAAGTTTAATTATTTAATAGCTAATACTTTAATTAAATCCTTCCTTAAGCATGTGTTTAATATGCATAATATCACTTTAACCCTCAAATAAATATAGATTTAATGTTAAAAAAATAAAAATTGAAAGAATCAATATCCAAAATTTGATAATATTTGAACATGACCTCCTATATTAAGGAGAATTCACTATCACTGTCACTATAAACTACATAGTAGCCTTTTACGGTGATTTGTCTAAAGTATTTTACTATTTAGATAATTATACTAAAATAAGTGTAGATATTATCTCTAATAAAAGGAAAAAATTTAAAATTAATCAAATTAAACTTGTAGCTAGATCATAAAGTCGAATATTGGCTATAAATAGCCACTATACCAAGTGAAGTAAGCGATTATCTATGCATAAATATTATGCTCTGTCAACTCGATCAAATTCTTCGATCAAGATTGTGATTTTTTATTTTTTGTATAAGTGGTTTATTATTAAAATTTCTATATAAAAAATGTAGAAACATATTAATTTGTATCTCATATCTGTATACAGTTCCTTTTAACGAAGTTTTTAGTTTGACTTCTTCTAAAAATTCTTTTTTTTTTTAAAATTAATTTGATAATGTGCTAGAGACTTTTTGAAAAGAATGGCAACCAAAATAAACGCATTTTAGACAAGATAATAAAGAAATATCTGCCATTGTATTGTCCTTTTTTGTCATTGATGAAAGAAATATTGGTCTTATTGACTAATTTAATACTTGTTACTTGGTTTTCCAGTTCCATCCCTTTCAAAATAGAAAATGAGTTACATATGGATTATGACTTAGTTGACAATGCAAGTTAGGCATATAAAAAGAGCTTTTAGGTTCGGTCACTATTAAATGCACCTGTAAAGAGGGTCAAGAAACCTTAACTGTGATTAAAATCCAAGCTGGATTATACAGTTCCAATAACAGAGTCCGTGTTTTACAAAAAAAATAGTTAAATTTTAAAAAATATACATATATATATAGGTCCCATATAATTAATGTGATGTAAGTGAAGTTACCGTTTTATTTGGTTGTTCTATTAATATACGTTACAGTCGTAATCAAAGTTCGATTTTCTATGCCAAAGAAGTCTTCCTTCCACCATAATTGTGGAAAAATGTCATGAAATTTGTTTTGAGTGTGGCTCACGATAATTAATACCACTTCCGTTCCATAATACTTATCATATTTGAAAAAATGGTTTATTTTAAAATATTTATTAAAAGAGTAATAAGTTCAATTTTTTTCATATTTACCATTTTTATAGAATCAATAATTATTAATTCAATTTAATGATTTCTTAGAGAATTAATATTAAACTAAGAGTGATGTAATCGATTTACTCAATAATTTATTATAATTTAGACAAATTTAATGATTTTCTTAAAGAACGTAAAATTTCAAATATGACAAATATTATGGTTAAGAACGGTAAAAATTTCAAAATATGACAAATAAATTATGGAATGAAGGGTATAATATAAAGGATTACTGCTTTAGATGGAAATGATATAAATGATTACTTTATGGAGTAATATTTGGATATCATAATTTGAAAGATATTGAATGTTTTAAATTTTTTTAGATTTTTATTTTTTTAACACTCAAAATTCAGATTATATTATTTCAAATCACTACCCCAGATTATCTAAATCAAAATCTCATATTCTTTTAATATTTTTTCAGCTTCTCTATAATGATTAATATTTTTATTAAAAATTAATTGTTTCATTACATATGCTAAATTAAAATTTTAATATATATATATATATATTATATATATATAGTATATATATATATATATATATATATAAATAGTATTGACTATATAAATAATATATAGTATTACCTATATAAAAACATATGTTAGTTAGTCATCTCCAGATCTTCTCTTTATTTTAAATATAATTTATTAAAATTGTCGAGTTTACATATGATATGGGTTAAATTCAATTGATTAATAATCTTAAAAATTTCAATGCTATTTGCAAATTTATTTGGCCTCTTTTGACATGAATATTTGAATACTACATTATATTAATATTTTTATAAATTTTCACTTGAACCATGAACCATAAAATGTAACATGTGAAATAATTTTTAAATCATATAAAGTTTTCTCAACTATAATATATTATTTTTCAATTACGTTATTTTAAATTTTCAATAATATATTATTTTTAAAAAAAATTAACTAAGCAATTACGTGTAATCTGATTGATCCTTTATAATTTCATAAATTTTATTCAAAAAAACAGACTAAGGAACAACTAAAGGAAAGTACAAAACTTTGACCTTGATGGGCAACTGCTTTTGAGGATAGTGTTCAGCATTTTGATTCTAATAAGGTTAAGGTTCTATTCAGCAAAAATAATTGTTTTAATAGTTGTTAGTTATTTTAGTAGCGTTTAGTTGTTAGCTGTTTTAGTAGCTTTTCATGAAATGCTAAAAACTGAATGTTACATGAGTTAATTTTTCACCAAAACGTTACCCTAATTTCAAAAAACTAGTCCAAACGTTATGTGACCGAATAACTTTTTAAGTAGCGTTTAATCAAAACGCTAAAAGCTAATTAAAAAGTTGTTGCCGAATACGGTCTAAAACATTACCTTTATTAATTATATTATAATAAGGTTTAGAGATTGAGGGAGTATTTCAAGAGATGCTATTCCCCAAATATTTAGTGTTTGACAATAATTAATTGAACTTTTTTAATAATATTTACATTTAACAGCTAATCAAATAATTATTTTAACTTAATACTTATGCTTTAAACCACTATGGTCCTATTGGGTGACCGTTTTTAGTATTTCAAAACATTATCTCTATTATGTATAAAGTTTGATAGCATAAAGTGTATGCTAGTGTTTAGAGTTTGAGAGACAGATTATGAAATGTTATTTCATTTAATATTTGATGAAACGCTAGTAAAACATCTCATAACTAGTAAGATGGTATTAGCTACCAAAGACTGTGTTCAGCAACAGTTTCTCATGTAGTCTTTAACATTTTGGTTAAGATTAAAATACTATTTTCATTATTTCTGGTATTTGGTGATATAATATTTCTATTAGTACTTATAGTTCGAAAGAGAAAATTACAAAACAATTGAAAACTACTAGGATATATAATAGCTACTAAGATAATCCACGGCTTCTAAAAAAAAGTTAATTTTGTCGAACAGATCTTAAAAACTATCAAAAAAGTTCTATATAAACAACTAACCACTAACTACTAAAATAATTAATATTCATTCCTTTTTGTTAATTAAACTATCAAAAAAGTTCTATATAAACAACTAACCACTAACTACTAAAATAATTAATATTCATTCCTTTTTGTTAATTAAACTATCAAAAAAGTTCTATATAAACAACTAACCACTAACTACTAAAATAATTAATATTCATTCCTTTTTGTTAATTAAACTATCAAAAAAGTTCTATATAAACAACTAACCACTAACTACTAAAATAATTAATATTCATTCCTTTTTGTTAATTAAACTTTAAAGGTATTTAGGTAATTCTTTTCTTTTAACTAATTAATTAATATGAATTTCTAATGCCAAGTCAATTTCAAACTCAATAAAAATAATGATCAAAATACTTTTTAATAGCTTATATGCATGTTGAGTATATCGTCAGTCACATCTTCTGTATTTTGGCATAAGAGTTTTTGCTAAGAGTACATCACATATGTAAATATTTCCTTTTCGAGATCACAAAATATTAAGTTTTCATTTTAATTCAAATACGATACAGTAATCATGATCAAATAATCTCATTATATATAGATAGGCCCAAAATTGGAGCCCTACCCTAAATTTCCACTGCCCAATATTTGGCACTTGCCAACTCAAGTCCAACCACCTTAGGCGGATCTCCGACAAGGCCGTTGGCGTTATGGGTTAGGGGACGCATTTAGACTGAATTTTGGATAATTATACTAATTTGTATTTATGCTTCCTCATTAGGACCTGTAATTATAAGATCAATGCCACTAATACAACTTCTTAGCTAAGCATGACCATGGTTCTAATACTGTCGTTTCAGTTTTAAAATCTCTAATTTCGATTATAAAAAAAATGAAATTAAAATTGAACTATTTTTAGACGATTTTGAAATTGGCGCTCTCGATTTTATTTCAATTTCAAATTGAAGTTAAATAATATATTTTCAAATTTTTAAAATGCTTTTTTAGATTTACAGATTGAATAAATAATAATAATAAATATTATTATTGAAAAAAAATTCAATCAATTTAATAAAAATTTTTCAAAATTACTTTAAAAAATATAATAAGACAAAAAAAAATATGTTGTGAGTTTTTTTAAGAATATAGTTTTCATGATTTAAAACCGGAATATCCAATTTTAAACCAAAACGATTGATTTTGATTAAAAAAAATAAAAAATCAAAATTTAACCTTAAATACGATTTCAGTTATGATTTCAACCATAACCAATGACTATAATTTAATATTGATTCTGATTTGAAATCCTCATCCTTTTGTTAGCCACAAATTTGTTCCTCTCTCCAAGGGTGTGCTCTCCTACTTGGCCTATGGATCCCACGGCCGATGGCGCTAAAGCCTATGCAGGGCACAGTACATTGCTATCCTTGAGCAGAGCACAAAAAATATAATAATGAACTCCGTTGTTCTGCAACTTTGAATTGAATATTAAATATTAAAAAATAGAAAATCTGGATCAGCTAACTGGAATTCAATCTTTTTAAAAAGTAAAAACCCATCAAACTGCTAAGTGGTAACAGGTCGCCATGTCAGCCGAGATTGAATCAATGTCAAAATCCGTCCAAGAATCGGCCATCGACGGCGAAGAATCGCTGGAAAAGTACATCCAAAAAGGAACTGAGAGTGGAAAGTTGAATACTTCTGTTTCGTTGATAGAGGTTCCTATTGTTGATATTGGTCTTCTCAAATCTCCATTAACCAGAACAGAGGAGCTTCACAAACTCAGATCAGCTCTTACCTCTTGGGGTTGCTTTCAGGTCCTTTATTATTCTTAAATATCATTTATCTTAATTTCAGTATAATCACTGCATATAGATTAAATTCGTCAGTGTAGATTGTGATTTTATCAGTAGATTTATATTTTTCGTTAGTAAATTTTATAAGTAGAATCACTGCATATAGGTTGTATTTCATAAATATAATTACCTGTATGTGTGCAGATAATAAATCATGGAATGACAAGTTTATTCTTGGAAGAAATGCGTCAAGTTGCCAAGCAGTTTTTCTCACTACCAATGGAAGAGAAGCAGAAATACTCCCGAAAAACTGGCAGCATGGAAGGGTATGGAAATGATATGATTCTTTTAGAACATCAAATACTTGATTGGACAGATCGTTTATATCTTACACTAAACCCAGAAGACCAGCGACAGCTCAGATTTTGGCCTGAAAATCCTCAAACTTTTAGGTAATTATCTTTTCAAACTTTTAGAGCATGTGCAGGGAAGCTTTCAAACTTTAATTAATTATTACTCTGCAAAAAATTGAGATGTACAGGGAAATGCTTGATGAATTTGCCAAGAAATCACAGCAGATAAATGAAATTCTGCTTAAAGAAATGGCAGGGTCATTAGGGTTGGATGAGAATTGCTTTTTGGATCAATACGGAGAACGACCACTCGTCACTGCAAGATTTAATTACTATCCTCCATGTGCCTTTTTGGATCATACGGAGAACGACCACTCGTCCAACTGCAAGATTTAAATTAACTATCCTCCATGTTCCAAATGCCTTGATAAAATTCTTTGGGCTAAAAACCACATGCCGATGGATCAGCACTCACCAAATTCTCTTGCAAGACAAAAGAAGTGGAAGGTCTTCAAGTTTTCTGAAAGACAATCAAGGTTCAGAGTTTCCCATCATTTTCCAGTAAGAGTAATTAGAGCCATTGAACAAAGGAGGTCTAGAAACAGATTGTCCTTTTAAAGAAGTAAGAGGAAGTGGGGTTGCCATGGGATCTTATCTCTTAAGCAGTTAAGCTTCGGTAAGTCAAGAGCCAAATCTCTGATACTAGATTGTGGGTCCCGTATATGTATGACAAAACCCAAGAGGGGGTGAATTGGGTTTTCTAAAAACAGATATAAATTTTAGAATTTCAAGATGAAATATAGAATTCTAAGTGCAGCGGAAAAATACAGAACTCATGAGATTAGAATATGATTAGAACTACCTCACAAAGTTCTATTCATAAAAGATAGAAAGTGTGCAAAGTGCAGCTATTGATTAGAACTGCTTCACACTGACTTATTCAATATTAGAACTTCTTTATGAAGGAAAGCTATTGAAATTAGAATTTCCTCATAAAGTTTAGAAAATTAATTAGAAACCCAAGCAGTAAAATATACTGTGAATAGAAGAACTGTTTAGAACATGGTATATTCACTATACCAGCAAGGGGAAGAGAACAATGAAGGCAGCAATAATCTAATTTTCTTTATATACGTACTTTTGGTTTCTTGTACTCTACTCTCAATTTCTTCTGGTTTCTATGAGTTAAAGACAACAGAAACTGATTTCTCTAGTATTTGTCAGAACACTAACAAGAACCGAAACAAAACAGAACATGATTACAGATCCTTGAGTAAAGAATTGTGTTAGAAATAAGAAAATGAACAAGAACCTGTACTCCAGACAAAAATGTAGCTCCTCTCTTCAACAAAATGGAGTTCCAGAAAAGCTAATCAAAAAAATGCACCTACAAAAATGAAAAGTGATGACCCTGGTGATGGGAAGTAACACAAAATCTGACCTCACAACAAAAACTTCCCCACTTGAATGAATCTATTAGGTAACATGAGCAACAAAAATTCAAGCACACAAGCTGTCCCCCGGCCCGCGCCCTTCGTTCCCCCGCGCGCCGCCGGCGGCTGTGGCCGTGTTTCCTGGTTTCTCTGGGGTGGCGCTCGTATCCCGCGTCTTCTTGACCCCCCAATAAATGAAAATCATACACAATCAAAAATACATTCACCACAATGAAACACAAATCTTTTAACGTGGAAAACTCCTCCGGTGTGAAGGATAAAAAACCACGGCGACCTCTCTCCTCCGGTCCAAGAAATAAATTCACTATCACAATATTGTCTTAGCAACTTAAAGCAACTACAACCGATCAAAATTGTAGCTATACCACAAACAACCACAAAAAATGTGTGGGAAACAATAGAGTGATCACAAAACACAGCTGCTGTTCATCAATACATTTAAAAAATGTTCCTACTCATCCAAAATTAAAACTGATCAGCCAAGAAACCAAGAGTTGGATGTTAGGAAACAAGCTCACCAAAAAATCAGCTCAATCCGATAAAGGATGACTGCGAAAACGCTGAAGAAGATGAAGCTATGCAGAGCTAGAAGCAGAAAGACCAGCTTCGGATTCAGACCCTAAGAACTCAATCTCCTGAACCTCCAAACTACGGTGAGAATCAAGAACAGAGAGCAAAGAACAACATATCCAAAAATCACAACGATCCAACGGTTGAAACTCCAGGAATCTCCAGAACACGGTGACTGGTGCTGGATGGGGCTGTGCAGAAAAACCCTCTCCTCTCCTCTGTTTTTCTCACACGATTTCTGGTTGTGTGTCGATCAAATGAGAGCCAAAAAATATTAGGAATATGGCTGTTAGTTGAGGGGTATAATTGTAAAACAATAATTAGTTAGTGGACTTCAAAATATGGGCTTTTACCACATAGGAAGGGAACCCAAACCCAACAATTCTCCCCCTTCCCGACTATCCCCTTCGCCGACTATGTGGAAGAGGTGCCCAAACCGGCACTCAACGCATATTTCAAACTTTCATTCTTGGTAGAGACATTTTTTTTTTTTTTTTTTGTGCACATATCAGCACCATTATCATCCGTATGATCTTCTCAGCTCAATTGACTTAGAATAAACCATCACGGATCCAAATGATATCCTCACATCAATATGTTTTTAGATCTACCATGAAAAGTTGGATTCTTAACCAAGATGAATAGCACTCTGGCTTTCGCAAAATAAAACATACCTTTCCTGATGTAAAGCCAAGCTCATTCACAAAATTTTTCAATCCATAGGCAACTCCTTGCATGCTTCAGTAGCTGCAATGAACTCAAGCCTCTGTAGTAGATAAAAGCAATACATTTTTTCAAACCTGGATGCCAATGCCACAGCTCCGCCTGCAAATGTAATCAAGTACCCAGAAGTAACTTTCAGAATCATATCCCCAGCCATATCAAGAATCCAGTGTACCAACAAAGCATAAGCTTTCAGACAAAAACACAACTTCCAAACCTGAAGTACACGGAGATATTCAAATCATCCATTTAACTGCATTCCAATGCTCCTTACCTGGATTAAGAAAAGAATAATCTACTAAAACTGTACCAAATGCATGAGCTATATCTGGTTTTCCACAGTACAAACATAAGCATTACATCAAACTTGCTACTGCAGATGCCTAAGGAATCCTTTTGCAATGAATTCTTTCTCTTGCTCAATTGGAAGGAGACTGCTTCACAAACCATAGCATACATCAAACTTCCTACTACAGATGCATAAGGAACTTTTTGCATGAATTCTTTCTCTTGCTCATTGGAAGGAGACTACTTCACACTCAATCTAATAGATGTAGGGAGAGGTGTACTTACAGCCTTAGCCTTTGCCATATTGAACCGTTGTAGTACCTTCTCAATATACTTCTCTTGTGAAAGCCATAATTTCTTGCATCTTCTGTCACGAATGACCTTTATGCCAAGAATCTACTTTGCCAGGCCTAAATCCTTCATAGAAAAAAACTTGCTCAAGTCTTTCTTCAAATTCATAATTCTGGAGGAGTTAGGACCTACAATAAGCATATCTGATAAAGTCATTGTCAGAAAAACTTTGCACAAAAAACAGTGATCTGAAGTAGTCTTTTGTAGCCTTGCTCCCCCATAATAGACTCAAACTTCTTGTACCACTGTCTTGGTGCCTGCTTTAAACCATACAAGCTCTTCCTCAGTTTGCAAACATAATCCTCTTTTCCTACGAAACCCTCTGGTTGCTCCATGTATATTCCTTCTTCCAAATCTCCATGTAGGAAGGTAGTCTTCCCATCCATTTGCTCGATTTCCAGTTCAAAACTAGCAGCCATTCCGAGCACTGTTCGAATGGATGTCATTTTCACAACTGGTGAAAAGATCAAAATCAATACCCTTCCTTTGATTGAATCCTTTCACAACCAGTCTAGCTTTGAATCGTGATTGGGAGCTGTGTTCTTCCTGCTTGATCCTGAACACCCATTTGTTCTTCAAAGCTTTCTTGCCTTTGGGCAACTTCACCTTTAGGAAGCTTTACCAGTTCAAAAGTATCATTGTCATATAAGGATTGCATTTCATCTTTCATAGCAATAATCCATTTTGTCTTCTCCTCACTCTCAACAGCTTCTTGGTAGCATCTCACTCTCAACAGCTTCTTGGTAGCATTCTGGCTCATTTGCATCTGTCAACAATACATACTCATTAGGAGAATACCTTGTAGATGGAATATGATTTCTGGTAGACCTTTTGACTGGAGCCTCTTGTTGTCCCTCAAGTGTCTCATACTGATCATCAGTTGCATCATCTATAGGAATATCAACCTCATCTGCCTCTTCAGTATTATCCTGAAGATCAACCTGATTTCTAACATACTGCAACAGGTGTTGAAGCTGACGGAATTGGATCAACATCAACCAAGCTGTTATTCTGAGGTTTTGGTTTCTCCACTTTGCCAATATGTTCAATAGTCTGATTTTCAATAAAGACCACATCACGGCTTCTATAAACTTTCTTCTCAATAGGATCATAACACCTATAGCCAAACTCATCTTGACCCTCATCTTGACCATAGCCAATGAAGATACACTGTCTTGTCTTGGCATCTAGCTTGGACCCTTTCATCTTTAGGAACATGAACAAAACATTTGCACCAAATACCCTAGATGATCATATGAAGGCCTTCTTACCATAACAAAAACTATCAGGAAACATCATATTCAAAAGGAAACGGTAAGGAGTAAGATTGATGAACAGCAACTGCATACAATGCCTCACCCCAAAAAGAATTAGGTAGTTTTGCATCTGAAAGCGTACATCTAACTCTCTCCATCAAGGTTCTAACTCTCTCCATCAAAGTTCTATTCATCCTTTCTGCCAAGCCATTCAACTGTGGAGTCTTAGGAGGTGTCTTCTGATGTCTGATACCATGCTCTCGACAATAGGAATCAAATGGCCCACAATATTCACCTCCATTATCAGTAAGAACACATTTCAACTGTTTACCTGTTTCTCTCTCAGCATAAGTGTGAAATTCTCTAAATGCACCGAGTACCTGATCCTTTGACTTTAACACACGAACCCAAAGCTTTCTTGACTGATCATCAATAAAAGTCACAAAGTACTGTGCACCACCAAGTGACTTATCCTTCAAAGGACCACATACATCTGAGTGTACGAGCTCTAACAACTCTTCTTTTCTAGTATAATATGTTTAAAGTAATAATCCCCTCTGTTTTCCACCAACATATGCTCACCAAGTGGTCTAACTCTCCACCTCTATATCTCAGAAAAGCAAATTCTTTCTTAGCTAGAATATTCAGACCCTTTTCACTGATGTGACTCAATATCTCTGTGCTCTAATAACTTTGAACTATCATCTAATACTGCATCAATCTGTAGGCGATAGTAGTCAGTACCAATAACCAA